TCACCAAGCCATTGCCTGCCCCCAAGGTCGCATTCTGTCGCACTGGGATGGGTATTGAGGTGTCCTAGTCTCCCTGTGGGACTTGGCAGATCAGGGGGGGTATGTCACAATGTGCTCTGCCACAGTCCCCTGGTCGGCCTAGGACGATCCCCCGGTGGCGGGAGCCACCACACCATGTGACCACATGGTTGTATCAATTGCGGAGCAATCGGACAAGAGCAGAGCTCCGGCCACACTTCTTTTGTTGCATTGTTCCTGTGGCCAAGTGGCCCTTGTTCTACTTTTGGACTCTATTGTTCTTTTCTCTATTGTTCTGCCGTGGGAATGCTTTCCCCTGCTCATGTATATAAAGGGCTGCTGTAGCGACCTGTAATATCACTTCTGTGACCCACTTCGACTTCAGCCCCACTTGTGGCATTCAGTCCTTCAGTGCTAGTCCTGTGCAACTGCTCCCTGCATCGCCTGTTGATACTTACCCTTGGTAAAATGTTTGGACAGAGTGGAAACCCAGGGAAATTAAGAGTAGGCAGCAAAGATAAGGTCAAAATGCAAAGAAGGTAAGAAATTGCACCAGCTATGATTGCACAATCAGCAAAGTTCAAAAATACTGTCAATGGTTTTGAAGCTTTTGAAACCATTGATAGGTTTTTTGAACTCCTAGTGGGCAGCTGCAATGCCAGATTTTTGGGTCTGCCCAGCACCCTGTGGTTGTGCCACATGGGGTTGCATGCCTGCCTGTTTAGTGACTCTCACACTACTCCCCACTACTGCCTCCTTTCCCTTTTCTCTGCCATCTTCACACCCATGTTCTGCTGCTGTTGCTGCCTCAATGCATGCACCATTAAGACAATGACATGCCTGCCAAGACAAAGATGTATAGGAGGAGCCAGGAAGAGGGACAGCAGAGCAGAGCCCTAGGTAAGCACTCACCACTTGTACCACCCCTTCCTTACTAACAACAGGGTGGTCCATGGTCCTCTGCCCCTTTTCAGACAAGATGATAGCAGTGTGTAGTAAATGCGCTGCTGTTGTTGCTACCTGCCCACCCACAAAAAGGGTGGACAGCCTGATTACACCACCCTGCCATCTTACTCTCTTGATCCCCCAGCAGTGTGCACAATGGGTATGCACTGATTGTAATGTCACAATGTGCTCTGCCACAGTCCCCTGGTCGGCCTAGGATGATCCCCCGGTGGCGGGAGCCACCACACCATGTGACCACATGGTTGTATCAGTTGCGGAGCATTCGGACCGGAGCAGAGCTCCGGCCACACTTCTTTTGTTCCATTGTCCCTGTGGCCAAGTGGCCCTTGTTCTACTTTTGGATTCTATTGTTCTGCCGTGGGAATGCTTTCCCTTGCTCATGTATATAAAGAGCTCTGTAGCGACCCTTAATTGATACTTCTGTGACCCACTTCGACTTCAGCCCCACTTGTGGCATTCAGTCCTTCAGTGCTAGTCTTGTGCAACTGCTCCCTGCGTCGCCTATTGATATGTAATAGATCACATGAACAAGGGTTGGAAGAAAATACTGTCAGATACAAAAGACCATATGCATCAGCTGACAAAGAGAAAGAAACTGGTGTCCGATCAGCCAGCACACATTGTTGATGATATTAGCAATAGCTCTGCTGGGTATTCATGATCCCTTCACCCCAGTCAAGGACTCAATGCTTACCTCAAAGATCAGCAATCCAGAGGGGAAGCTTTGCTCCTATGCTATTTGTAAGCTCACTTGTCATCTAGATAAGATTATGTTCATGCTTGTAGTGCTGAATGTTTTTCCCTCTGGCCATGGTATATTCAGAGGAACAAAATTTACACAACATCTCCTTGGGCCTTCATTGCCAAAACCATTATATTGTGAATAACTAGTTTTTCTGAATGTTAGAATACCAGCAAATGTCATCAGTAATGGACTCCAACAGCTTGACCCTGGCATTCTTACTCAATAAATGGGCTGAGCTCACCATGCAGTGGCTTAAAGGCACACAATGGGGCCTAAAGAGTGGAGCAGGGGGTGTTGAGGGGTAGGGGAGGTAATGAGGCAACCAGGTGGCCTACCCTTTTGTGGATGGGCTGGAAACAGACAGTGGCAGCACATTTGGGATATATCACTATTGCTGTGGTCACCAAAGACTGGGCAAGGGTAGTGGGTGTGATGGTGCCCACCAGTGTATTTTATGGTCAGAGTGGAGGCCAGGGGTAATTCATGGGGCCTTCCAAGGGGTGGTGGTGGCACCTCTCTTTCTATGGTGGCTTGAATGCGGTCTTCAAACCACAACAACCTTTCCATTGACTTCCATGAGTATACCAAGCTAGTTGCAAACTGCTACAGATACAGTTTACCACAAAAGTGTTGATAAAATTGCTTGATTCAGAATGATCACTCTATATCTCTGCAACAGGAGTAGCTACCTACATGGATGTTGCTGCATTGGAACACCCTACATATGAGCTTTGAAACGCAGCCACATTCATGTGATTTGCCTATGTACTTCCCATGCAGTGAAAGGATCTTTGAGGTCATGTCTTATCAACCCTTTTGTGGCAGTCACTCTGGACAACAGAATTCATTGCTAGTAATTCTTTCCATATGTCTAGCATGTATCTCCCAGCTGGACAATAATCCATACTACCCAATTCATCATTGAGAGGCATAAACAAGTGTGGGAACCCTGCCAAAAGTAGCATACAACCTGCCTTTTTAGGTGAATATGACATTCTGCTATTTTATGTTATTGAGGCACATACCTATGTCAGGCTGGTACTTGTACTTATCTTATCCATTCATGGGAGTATATATAACATACCACAAGCAGGTTCTACCCTCACAGACACTCTGGAGGCTTTACAACAGGCAGTTACCCTAGATAATACTAGTGTTGCCAGGTATTGTATCAGTAATAGAGTGGCCCAAAGAGCTTACAATGTTATATAACTTTACACACTTATGCATTAGGTATACTACAGTGTGTTCAGACCAGTTGTGGACAAATACAAAGCAGATTACAGTCTGTGATCAGTGCAAACACTCAGTATGTCACTGGCTTAAAACCTGAATGTAACTGTGACCTGAAACAGTTCATCTCGTGAGAAGACATCCTCCTACCATCATCAGGCCTGACTACCTCTATTTTCTCAAACAATGCTGCATACACTTGATCAGTGACAAAGGTGGAAGATACAGATGCAGGATCTACTCCAAATTTGTATTCAAATATATACTGCAAATATCCCTAAAATCTATTCCGATGTTTTCATAATGTGCTCATATACCCCCAAAAACAATTCTGCACACAAACATTTGTATCAACAGTCTGTGCTGTACCAGTATGTTTTTTGTGTCTTCTGATTGTTTAATCTGTTTGCTCTCAACTTTTCACATATCACAGTTAGACATTAGCATTATGCCTCAAGCCCCCTGTAAACCACAAGGTAGCTACTACACTCATTATAGCAGGAGCAGGAAAATGATATGTGATGGATTGACTGCTGAGCTTTGTGAGTCGAGAGCATGCAAATTTATTACCATATATAGACTCATTTGTTCTGGCTCACAATAGGCAAGATAATGGGCAATCCTGTTCTGAGAATGTGCTGGACACCACATACCTTTCACTGTCATATTCACTTGTGTTACAGTGTAGAGCTTGTTGGATGACCTTGAAAGCTCTTGTTCACAAGTCTCAGCAAGCTCCCTGGAGGCAACAAATCACTGGACAAGCTGCTTTCAAGGCAGAGGTGTGACAAGCTACAGTTCCAACACTGTAAGCATCCTGGTGTTGCACCACCCAAGCTGCAATGATGCACAAGGAGCGACCTTAAATCATTGTAACAATCTACTTCAATGGCCATAAGAACCTGCTTTGTTAATTTTAATAATAATCCCAATGATCATAACCACTGACTATAAATGACAATAACAAAGTATGATTATTGCTATAATGTCCCACTTTAACCATGATATCAACTCATTTTAACCATGATATCAACTCATTTTAATGATCATAAGAACTTGCTGTAATGATCATAACAACCCTGCTCTAATGAAGTCACTGTAATCATTATAACAACTTTCTCCAATCTCTATAGAAGCTCACAATAATTACTATAAAAAATTGCTCAAATAACTATAACTAATGACTATAACAACTCACTTAAATGATTATAACAAACTTTTCTTATGGTAGTAACAACTTGCTCTAATGACAATAACTACTCACTCTAATGATTATGGATATTAGAACTGATTCTAATAATCATACTAAAGTGTTCTAATGATCCTACAAAGTTGCTCTCATGATGGTAACAAAGTACTGTAAAGATCATAACAACCCATTATATATAACATAACAACTCACTGTAATGACCATAAGAATGTGTGTATATCAAGTGCTATATAAGCCATAAGAACATACTTTAATGATTATAAGCAAGTGTTCCAATGATGTTACAAAGTCACTGTGATCTTCATTAGAACCAATTTAATAACCATTAAAGTCTGTTTTATTAACTATCACAGTGTATATCATGCTTGTTGTAAGGATGTATTCAAATGAGTATAAGCATCCACTCTATTGGCTATAAGCACAGGCTGTATTAAGCATTATACAGTATAAGAATCCAATATAATAGCAGTCTGTGATTGGATCAACCACCCAGAAGTTAAATCCTGACATCCTGGTGCTCCTTTTGGAGTTCAAAAAAAAGGTTGATGGTATCAGAGAGTTCAATTACCATCAACATGTTTTTTGAACTCCAACAAGATGCCAGAATGTTACGATTTCTGAGGTACAAAGAATCGTTCTTATATCGGAATTTCATATAACACTTGGCATTGAGCTCAATAAGGAAGGTTGTTCCCATGGTATTCAAACACCAATAAGCAGTGATTGTATACTGTGGCTGACACAAGCTATCTGAGTTTGAAATTATACTTACTGCCATCACACGACTTGTGTCAACACATACAAACAAATGATCTGTGAGTGCTTGTAATACTTGATGTTGAGCTCAATTGCGCAGGTGTTTACACAACCTTATAATCTGTGTAATTAAAACATAGTATATATATAGGATTTGTTATTCATTGAAGTATGCTCATGTTTTGAATGATTTTTTGTTGTTATATTAGCATCTGGGCAATGTTTCAAACACTTTGATGTGTTGCCTGCATGTTACATTCCCAATATATAAGATCAAACTGTTTGCACGAGATCCTAGCAATTGGCCTTGACTACTAGTGCTGTTATATATGATAGTCACTTTATACATTATCTTATATTCCAGTTAGTAATGAGCAGTCTTAGCTAACTGTTCCATGATTTGCTTTATGCAATTCAAAAATCTTTGAAGTCTACAAAGGAATGTTGTCTAACAGTTATAAGAACACTCTGAATATATAATGTTGTGATATGGTAAACATCCAAATTGCAAAGGATTGTTCTTTGTTCATGATAAGGTTTATACTTGCACACTTGATCAGTGATGTAAGCCTCCAAACACAACATAAAAAGTTGACCACAGCATATAAAGCAAGTTGGATTGCAACTACATAAGGTGAAACTTTAATACATGCTAACAATGAAAGTCAAACCGCCTTATCAAGTACTTATCAAATGAGTCTCATAACACATTCTCAGTCCATGACTATAATACATACAACACCAAGTATTATTCCATTCAAAAGCTATTAAAAAGAAACTGTAGCTATTCTATGCATAAAGGGTTTATTGTACTAGAAAAGAGTTTTGTCTCTCTGAAAAGCTTTTACATGCTGTAGTAATAAATATAACACTGATTGTCAGAAGGTATATTATTGATTTTATTGTAACAAACAAACAAACGGGGACATTAACTACAAACACAAGCTTTGATTAAATGATACCAATGACCATATGTAGCCACTCATATTGTGGTAAGAAGGTGCTCTAATGTTGATAAGAAACTACTCCAATGTTGGTAAGAAAGTGCTCTAATATTGGTAAGAAAGTGCTCTAATGTTGGTAAGAAACTACTCTAATGATAGTAAGAAAGTACTCTAATGGCGATAAGAAACTCCTTGCATTGCTGATAAGAAAGTATTATATTATTCATAAGCAAATGCTATTGTAATTACAGGCATAACACTACCAATAGCCAAACTTCTAAGTCATTGGTGCTCACTGCGCACTTAGGTGCTCAGTATGATTAGGCGCCTCGTAAGACCATATGGACTTAGGTGCCCCGAAACGGTAAGCACCCATTTCTCAGTTTTGGAGCTGGTGGGAGCAAACCTTGGCCGATTAATATGAAACATGTATGCACTGAATCCCACAGACCAGGGGAGTCAGGGTGTACCCATTTCGTAAAAAGTGATAGGCACACTGAAATAATAGGTGCCCATTGCTCGGTTTTTGAGCTGGTGGGCGCAAAAGTGGCCCGATGGACATGAAATGTGGATGCCCTAAATCCCACAGGCATGGGGAGTCAGGGTATGCCCATTCCATACACAGCGACAGGGTTCACAAATTGAACCCGATTGTGCCTCCATAAGCGCCCGTCCAGAGATGGACACGCTGAGGAGCACAGCAGGGAGGTGTGTGCCCCCAAAGCAGGGCGCACAGTCTCCCAGGGGCCCACGGGGAGGGGCGTGGTGCCATTGAGGGGTAGGGGCAGCAGGGCGAAGCGAGCGGGTGGGTATGGGCTGAGCATGCACGCCCACTCCCCTTGGGTAGAGATGGCGGCAGCGGCGCATTCACCCTGTGTCATCGCCGCCTGGATCGCCAGGGCCTGGGTGAGGGTGGTGGGCGCAGTGGTGTCTGCTGCCAGCATGTCTTGCAGTGAGAGGGGGGGTGGGGGCAAACAACCCGCCTGCCCTCTTGTGGGCGGGCTGGAGGCGACGGCGGCGGTGCATTCGCTGCGCCTCGCCTTCACGGGGCCTCCCAAGGGCTGGCAAGGGCGGCACATGCTGGTTGTGCGCGCCGCCAGGGCGTCAAGAGGATGGGGTGGTGGGTGTGGGTGAACCATATGCCTGCCCTCTGGTGGGCGGGGTGGAGGTGACGGCGGCAGTGCGTTTGGGATGTGTCGCCATCATCGTGGCTCTGGATGGGTGTGGGAGGGGGCTGTGGGCTGGCCCCATCATTAGCGGGAGGTGGAGGGGTGCATGGGCGCCGGGGCTTACCTGGGGCCCTGGCTCCCCTGTTGCTCTCCCTTCGGCTGCCCCTGTTGGCCCGATCTTGACTGACAGGCCGTCGTCTTGGTGGTGCATGCATTGAGGCAGCAGTGGCGGTAGGACGTGGGCATGGGGGCAGCAGATAGGAGGGGGAGCGGGCGGTAGGGGGAGGGGTGTGGGAGTCACGAGACAGGCAGGTGCGTGATCCCAAGTTGCGTAGCCGCAGGATGCCAGGCAGGCCCCAAACCTCAGCACTCCAGCTGCTCACTTGGAGTTCAAAAAACATGTCGATCGTCTCGTCCATCCTGTGGCAATCAACATGTTTTTTGAACTCTGCTGATTGCACAGCCACAGCTGGTGCGATCTTCTGCCTCCTTTGGCCATCAACCTCATTTGAACTTCCTCCTCTCAATCTCCCTTGCTTCCCACCCTGTCCAACCTTCTTCTCAGGGGTAAGTACATGCATTCTATTCATATTTAACCTTGTATACTGACTTTTTTCCTTTCAATTACCCCTTAAAGTAAATATCTGGTATTATGTGGCCTTTTGTCACTATCTGATCTTCTTTTCAGGTATTCCCCCTCTGCTATAAATCCCTATAAATTCTTGCAAATCCTTCCTAAAGGTGAGTAATGCTTCATTCTATTTTTCTATCTTCATTTCTGTCCACTGACTTTGCGCAATTTCAATTATAGTGCACAAAATGGCATACAAAGGTTAGTATTTCCTCTTCTTCATTTTTTCCTGTTGTCCCCTCTCTCTGTAGTACTTGTGTATTCATTCCTACATGTAGAAACACCTTTACCCAGGGCTCTGGAGCATGACTTCTGGCCAGATGTGCTAGAAGTTGTGAATTACCCCAAAGTGGCCCATTTGATGAACATGGGCAAGGTATGTAGCTCTTGAGGACACTTCTCCCAAGCCTATGACCAAGCTCTTCAATGCTGCCAAGGATGCTACCATTCCAGGTCATTCTCCTGACCAGTTGCTTGCTGCTGGTGAGTCAATTTCAATTCTTTTCCCTTGTATTTCGCAAAACTCCCCTAATTATATTCTTTTAGGTGGCCTCTGCTTAAAGACTGGGGACTTTCTCTTCTCCAGAGACATGCATGGTCCCCATGACCCCATGGATGATGTCCTCCAGGCCTACAGTGTCCCCATGTGAGTCAATCAATTCCGACTTAATTCCGCACAAAATGTGAATCAATGCTAATTATATTTCTTAGACCTGCAATTGATCCTAAACTCATCTCTCAGCTTACCCAGGCTAAAGATAACCTCCTTGGCCCTAAGGAGGACAGGACAGCCAGTCCTGCTGTTCAGCAGGGGGACAACACTTGGACAGGTGGTGTCCAGAGGGAGTGTAGTGACCTTACCATTTCTGTGACAGGTTCCAAGGGTGTAGCTACACCCTTGGCACCACCCATCAGGTCCAGTGTAAGGTGGCTAACCCTGCAAAGGGTGCCAAAATCTCTCTAGATGGCCTCACTTGGCATTACAAACTACGCAAGTATGCGCTTCAGGTGTGTTTTGACTTTGCTTTCTTTTTAAATTTCCTACTGACTTGTGCTATATTCTCAGGCTTCTATCAAGGTGGGCATCAAGTGTCTGGAGTGGGGTACTCCTAACATGGCCCTGAACCTGAAGTGTAATGCTGAGGTGCACAATGTCCAGCCTATTGGCTATGATGACACTAGTGATATGGTCAACCATGCATGTCCTACTGTTCACACTGACCACAACGACTCTCAGGCAGGGCTCACATGCATGATCAACCATCCTGACCTTGAGGATGGTGATCAGGCTGGAGTCTTTGTTCTGATGGAGCTGGGCTTCTTTGTGAAGCAGCACAGCCTCACACTTGCTGTCTTCAGTGGTCTGCGCTGGCATGTAGGCTCTCCTCCTATCTCTGCCACCCCTTCTCCTTCTTCTGTGCATCTTGCCTTTGTATGCTACCCTCCTGCGGGTCAGCTTGAGGGCACAGACTGCCTGGGGATGGCAGCTGGTCCAGATAATGAGTTGATAAGGCTCACACCTGAGCATATCAACCCTGAGTGCGTATTTGTTTTCCTTTGGTTTTATTTGCTCATTATGTTGTTTTAGAATGGCTGGTATTGTGGCTACCAACCATGGCAACTGGGCTGCTGATGGGCTTTCCCTCACTGATCCTAAGGCCTATTTCTCCTGGTTTGTGTGCGCTATGGCGCAGCAGAACTTTCATATGCTTAACCAGCTTGATCCTGCGCTGCACCCTCAGCTGGATCTGCAGAAGTTCCTCAGTGCCTTTTCTATCACCATTGGTGATGAAGTATTTGCTCTCAATGATGGCTGGGACTTAGGTCCTGGTTCTACAGCCTATTCAGAGGTTCTGAGGTACAAAGAATCATTCTTATATCGAATTCCATGTAACACTTGGCGTTGAGCTCAATAAGGAAGGATGTTCCCACAGTATTCAAACACCAATGAGCAGTGATTGTATGCTGTGACTGACACAAGCTATCTGAGTTTGAAATTATACTTACTGCCATCACATAACTTGTATCAACACATGCAAACAAATGGTCTGTAGGCCACTGGTGGGCATTTGTAACACTTGATGTTGGGCTTAATCAGGCAGATGCTCTGGGGTGGGCTCTCAACGGGCGCTTGTAACACTTGATGTTGAGCTCAATAAGAAAGGTGATTACATAACACCTGCAGCAGTGACCTCTGCTGGGCGCTTGTAACACTTGATGGTGAGCTCAATTAGGCAGGTGCTTATATAAGTTTTGCAGTAAGCTTGCTACTGAGCACTTGTAACATATAATATTAATCAAATGCTCATATTGTATCTGTTACACTTATACTTCTTGACATTAAGCCTCATTGTTACAGTTTCCCTAATTTTACCTAATTTTTCCGCTATTTTTGCGGACATATTGAAGGGTCTAGGGAGTTATCCATACTTATCTGTCCGCATATGGGTACATCTGCATATCTAAGGGGTTATCCGCTTAAATAAGCGGTACATGATCTTGTTTTGGACACATCAGGCTGGACTCTGATGCCGGACCTTTTCTAGATAGAAACCAGACTCTGTCTGAACTATAACATCATTCTGACATCATAGGTAGGAGCTAGGCTCAGGCACTAGGCCATAGGCCAGTCATTTCTGGACCCTAGGCCCAGGGCAGGGCAGGGCCAGACTGTCGGGACTTAGGGTCAAGCGACAGGGAATGAACAAACCAACAGGCTGGGGGTGTTCAACTAGGTTGACCAAAGTGATGGTGAGTGAACTCAAACCTAAGGCTAGGGACAAGTAAATGTATTTAGTTAGTAAAGGTAAGTAAAGGATACAAAGGAGCTTACTGACTGTGGTGACTTGAGGTCAAGCGACAGGGAGAGAACAAACCTAAAGGCTGGGGGTGTTCGACTGGGTCTCACCGAAGCAGTGGTAAGCAACACTCAGACCCAAGGCTAGGGATAAGAAAATGTATTAGTTAGTGAGGTAAGAAATACAAAGGAAGGCTTACTAACCTAGGGACATGAGGTCGAAACTGAGGTCCCTAGGGCAGCAGAGGCCGACTTATATACAGGGGAAGATAAGGGCAGGCTATGTGCACTAGTCCGTGCACAGCTGGTCTGTGCGCAGCATGCTGACACAGCCCTGGGGGCCAGTGAGTCAGAGTGGCTGTGTCAGCAGAGCCCGAGCTGTGCCATGCACTGCTGCCCCATCTAATCTAATTGTATAGTAAATAATGACTTGTCCATTCGAACATATAGTACAGAGGTCGTGGGTTTGAGCCCACAGAAAGGAAAAAATTAAAAAAAGGCTAGACACCATGTCAACTCGTGACATTACCCTGTTGTAATTAACAACTAACATAGATACTTACGATACATACAATTGAACGTATGATGCTCACTTACTATAGCTATTTCCTAATACGGTAATGACCCACTACATACATAGTGCTCGCTATGTATCGCGCTTTCCCTCAGTCCCCTACATTGTAGGCAATGGACTGAGGGTAAGTCAATCTACTATACTTCACTATCTAATACTTACTCATGTATCTATGACAGCTTGCTATTCTTAGGTACGGAATATCAGTCCCCTACATCATAGGCAACAGACTGAGGCTCACTATCCTTAGCCTTCAACAGGTTATGAGCCCTGTAGCTCTGACCTGAAGGTTGTCTCATTCATAGTCACTCTCTACCTCTCTCTTTGGCCCTGATAGTTCATTCATTTCATGTCAAACCCCGGAAGCCCTCAACAAACTCGCAGTTGTTCGCTGTCACCCTCTCGATCACCTTGAACACCACGTCTTTGACCAGCGAACTGGAACATGACTCAAGGCAGCAACTCACAGCAGACTCCGGTGCCACCACCGAGCCGTCACTGGATGTTTGATGAGACAATCAAACCCTCGAAGTTCCATCATCTGCTCAAGCTACCCCACAAGCTCTCACCTTCGAACTACCTCACCTGGATCACCATGATCGAGTCAACACTCAAAACTGTCAACCTCTTCGGCTACTGCACGGGCAAAGTCAAAGACCCGGATCCTGCAGACACGACAGCTGCAGCACGCTGGAAGCGCATGAAAATCCTTGTACATGCGATCCTGATGACAAATATGATGGAAGACATCATTAACCAGGTAAGCCATATCAAAATGGCTTCAAAGATATGGGAGGAGGCGCACAGGCTATTCACAGGTCAGATGACGACAGACTAAATGCTGACAATTACCAATCTCATCACGATAAAGTTCGATGACGGTGAGGACCTCATCGCACACATCGCAAAGATGAAGGAATACCACCGCAACCTCATACTGATGAGTCGCAACATAGATGACGAGCTCTTTGCTTGTTTCCTTCGCATCTCCATGCCAGCATTATGGAACTACGTTTTTGCAGCCCTACCTGATCGCTACACACTGGAAGAGATTGAACGGCATATGAAGGATGAACTTGGTGTCCGAACCAATCAGCAAACAAATGCGACGGTGTACGGAGCCTTTTCGAAGGGCAAACAGAAGGGCAAGATCCAGGGGAGCCAATCTAACCCACCAAAGTGCACAAACTGCGGTAAGAAGGGTCATACCATGCAGAAGTGCTATTGAAAAGGGGGTGGTGCCGAGGGCCAGGCACCATGACAGAAGTCCAACGAGCAAGACTCAAAGGAGAAACAGGAGAATAAGTTGAAGGGGAAGCCAGCGCAATAGTCGAAGAAACCACAAGCGCACCAAGTAGTCGAGTCTGACTCCGAGTCGGAATACTCCTCGTACCTGGTGGCCGGCCCCCGATCCTCCTTGCGCTATACATTTATACTAGACAGCGGCACAACAACTCACATCTGCAATGAGCAAGACACATTTGTCATGTTCAAGCCAACCCGAAGCATGATCAGCAGCATATCAAAGTCCGGACCACAACTGGAGATATGCGGACACAGTGATGTACTCATTCTTTGCTCTGTACAAGGCTGCAAAGACCGTGTTGTTACCTTGCAGAACATCGTGTTCTGCCCTGACACCCGCGACAACCTCATTTCAGAAAATTGCATGGACCGAAAAGGTCTTGAGATCTGCAAGCACAGCAGACGTCTTACAATCGCCAAGCCCAATGGCGAGATCATCATGGAAGGTATATTACGAGCTAACCTATAGAAGCTTGACTGCATTATTGCGCCCCCACACTCATCTCCTTCCGAAATTGCATTTGCTGCCCACATGACTCTGAACATTGACCTGTGGCACCAATGTCTCGGCCATATCAGTGAGGACAACCTCAGGTACTTGGACCGGCACAACCTTGTCACCAGCCTCGACTTATGCGCAGAGGGCATGCTAGGCCCCTGCGATGGCTGCACAAAGGGTAAACATCACCGAGCACCCTTTTTGAAGCAAGCTACCTGAATGCTGAACATTCTCGATGACCTCCATATGGATCTCCAAGGCCCATTCAATGCATCTATTCTAGGCTATCACTACATGCTCTCGGTTGTAGATGACCATAGCTGAAAAGGCTGGAAGGTCTTCTTGAAGTGAAAAAGGGATGCAGCTGATGAGATCAAGAATCTCATTGCTCATCTGGAGAACCTTACTGATAAACATGTCAAGATCATCAGATCTGACGGGAGTGGTGAGTTCATTAGCAATGACCTCAAGAAATGGTTCATGTCAAAGGGCATTGACCACGAGACCTCAATGCCTCACACACCACAACAAAATGGTGTTGCTGAGTGCTTCAATCAGACAACCCATGAGCACGCTATGTGCATGCTTCACGAAGCTGGATTGAGCAAGGGATTTTGGCCCGAAGCTCACGAGTATGCCTCATACATTTACAATTGTAGCCCATCTTGATCACTGTGATGGGTCACACCTAACGAGGTATTCTATGGTCGCAAGCCTGATGCCTCCACGATCTGTATCTTCGGCTCACACTGTCATGTTCGTGTCCCATGCGAGGACCGCTCAAAACTCGACCCGCAATCTATTGATGGGATATTCTGCGGTTTTGCCCCTGGGAAGAAGGCATATAAGGTCTGGATACCTTCTCGCCATAAGTTTCTTACCTCTCGTGATGTTCTAGTCTACGAGAAGGTGCCCTCATCCAGTCATGACAACAATGATGACATCTCCATCCCCACTCTGAGTAAGGGGGTGTCTATGGACATGTCCACTCAAAGTGGAAATGAAATTCCACTCCCACAGGACAGTCATCAAGACCCTCCAGAGCAACAGCCAGAGTCCACCAAACCAGCCCAGCCAGTACAGCACTCCAAGTGTACAGCCAGACCGTTGTGGAAGAAACAAGCCACGGATGCTCAGAAAGCCCGTGACAATGCCTCGTGACAGGAATCCAAGGCAAAGCGCGAAGCTCGCGAAAGCCAAAAGAAGGTCCCACCGTCCACAAAGGACATCATGGAAGACATTAGCGAAGTTGTCCCGCCATCACCTGAGAGCAAAGTTGCGCACATCGCCTATATGGCAGCGCACAGCAAGGAGACACCAATAAACTTCCATGAAGCCGTGAACGGTGGCGACACGGACAGGTGGTGGGAGGCTATGAACGAAGAGATCAGTATGCTCCAAAAGCATGGTACATGGATACTCAAAGACTTACCTACCGGTCGCAAAGTGATTGGATGTTGCTGGACCTATGTTATTAAGCGCAGTCCCAACAGCAAGATCCTTCACTACAAGGTGTGACTAGTTGCACAAGGCTTCTTGCAAATCCCTGGCGTCAACTATGACAACACATTCTTGCCGACTGTCCGCCTCGACACACTGTGCACAATCCTCCATCTTGCAGCAGATCACGGTTGGCACTGAGGCCAAGACGACATTACGGGTGCATTCTTACATAGCAAACTCAAGCATGAAATTTTCATGTGACAGCCCCCTGATTACGACAATGGGACTAGCCGTGTCATGCGACTGGTTCTCAGCATCTACAGGCTGAAGCAGTCGTCCCGGGTCTGGAACAAGCACATGTCTAGTTAGCTCGCAACTATACAGTACTGTCAGCTCACCACGGACATGGCCGTGTACACGCGACAGGTGCAAGATGGTGCATACTCAATTATTGCTGTGCATGTCGACAACATGCTCTCATTTGCCAAGACGCCTCAGGAGCTCGCCCGCCTGCATTGCCAACTTCATGGGCTGTTCAAAATGAAGAAAGAAGACCCATTCTGGATCATGGGCTTCCAACTGCTCGATGACCCGGATGCATGTATGGTCTCGATCTCACACAGGCAGTACATTGAGACGATCCTCAAGTGCTTCAACATGTCACACTGTCTCACACCGAACACCCATGGAAAACGGTTTCATTCTCTCAAAGTCTGATGGCCCATCAACTCAGGAGGAAGAGCGCGACATGCGTGACAAGCTGTACTGCAAACTAATGGGTGCGCTCACCTGGATCTCCCTCATCTCGTGGTCCTGACATCTCATACACCAGCTCCTACCTCTCGCAGTTCAACGCGAACCCCGGACCGAAGCACTGGAAGGCTGCAAAGTGCGTCCTCAAGTACCTTGCAGGGACTGCCGACCATGTACTCATACTTGGCGGCACCTCAAACAAGGATGACATTGATGCCCTCAAAGGCTACACGGACTCGGACTGGGCACACAACATTGACGACCGACGCTCTACGTTGGCGTACATATGGCAGATCGGCAAGGCAACGATATTGTGGAGCAGCAAGAAGCAGTCCACGGTAGCGGCGTCATCTATGGAAGGCGAGTACATGTCCCTTTTGTACAGCACGAAACAGGGACTCTGGCTGTGTTGCTTTCTTGCCGAGATCGGACTTGAGCTTGAGGGGGTGCCAATGCTGCTCTTGGTTGACAACCAGAGCTCCATCGACCTGTTGAAGGATGCTTGCTATCACGCCCGCACAAAGCACATTGATGTGCAGCATCATTTCATGCATGAGTGCATTGCGGATGGCACCTTCATGGTCACGCATTGTTCCTCAAAGCTGAACCTCGCAGACGGCCTCACGAAGCCACTCCCACATGCAGTGTTCGAGGTGATGATGGACAGTTTGTGTCTTACACCTCGATTGAGGTTGTAATTAATGACTAACATAGATACTTACGATACATACAATCAAACATACGACGCTCACTTACTATAGCTATTTCCTAATATGGTAATGATCCGCTATGTACATAGTGCTTGCTACGTATCGCGCTTTCCCTCAGTCCCCTACATCATAGGCAACGGACTGAGGCTCGCTATCCTTAGCCTTCAACATACCCCCCCCCTCAACAGCGCATGACCTCATGTGAGGCACCCTTGCCCATCTCCCACCCAGAGTGGCAGTGTGCTTCAGTCAGCGGCAAAGGCATTGGCTGAAAGTTGAGACCACCAAAGACAGCGGCATTGAGGTGGTGAGGGGCATTCAGATTTTTCCAGTGGAAGTCAGCTATGAGGGCCGGTGCATTCGCAACATTACGCGCCGGTTCCCATGATGTATGTGAGTCGTCATAACCCTTCCACTTGATGAGGTACTGTAGCTGACACCGGAAGATCCTCAAATCCTTGATTCACTCAACCTTGTACTCCTCATTGCCCTCCACCTCAATGGTTGGCGGCTCCTCCGGCTTCCAGCCCAGGATATCACTACATGTGTACTTGCTGAGCAAGGAGACATGGAACACCGGGTGCACAGGCACCGACTTCGGCAGAACCAGTTCGTAATCTAAGTCTCCGAGCTTTCATTGCACGGCATATGGCCCGAGGCGCTTGGGACTGAGCTTTCTGCTCGGCTGTTTCAGCGTAAGGTTCCGAGCATCAAGCCAGACCTTGTCCCCTGGAGCAAAGACCGGTGCCTGTTGTAGTACACCTTCATCCGCTCAGCCGATAGCTCAAGCGCCGAGTGCATATCATCACAGATCTCCTTCAGGATTTTAAGCCGATCTGTGGCTGCAGGCATTGTGGACATCGGATTGATGCGCACTTGGATCCCAGGGTGATAAGCCTGATTCAGGAAGAAGGGGGAGTGCCCGGTGGCCGAGTGAACTCTATTGTTCAATGCAAATTCGGCAAGTGGCAACTGCCTTGCCCAATCATCCTGCCTGTGGCTTGTGAAAGCGCGCAGGTATTGCTCAATTTCCTAATTCCAGTGCTCGGTCTGGCTGTCCATCTGAGGATGAAACACTGTGGACAGTGTTGGTTTGATCCCCAATCCCTTGTACACCGCATGGAGGTACTTTGATGCAAACTGGGGACCTCGGTCCGATATGACCTTGGCTGGAGCCCCATGATGCTTGAACATGTCGCGGATGTACAGGTCAGCCGCACCTTCTGCCGTCAGGGTCTCATGACAGGCCGAGAAGTGGACCTGCTTGGTAAAGCGGTCAGCAGTAACTAGGATTGAGTCGAATCCATCAGACTTCAGCAGGCTGATGATCATATTGGTGGTGATGATTTGCCATGGGTGCTCAGGAATCTCATTTGGCTTTAGCGGTCCCTGGGGCTTGGCTGGGAATATCTTGGTGTGGTTGCACATGTCACAGATGCTTATGTACTTTTTGACAAATTTGGACATTCCTGGCCACCAGTAGTTCCACGAGATCAACTCCAGGGTTTTGGCACAACCACCATGACCGGTGATCGGTGAGTTATGGTGGATCTTGACAATATCCCGCCAGAGCTCTGCATTCTTTGGAATGTATATGCACCCGTGGAACAACAGGAGCCCCTGCTCAGTATTCCACTCCTCAAAGCCCTTCTGTAGCTAAGGTGGCCCAAGGTTCTGCACCTTTTCAAGTGCCTCGGCCACCGCCCGGTCTTTGTCCAAACATTCCCTGATGCACTATAGAAGCAACTGATTGGCTGTCACCGAGGTGTGCTCACACTGTGTGGTGGTAATGCGGAAGTGCTCCTGTTTGAGGACAATCTGATCAGTGTTGTCATCCTCATCACCAACCTGATGGTCTGATTGGCGTGACAGGGCATCAGCCTTTCCATTTGATGTTCCAGCTTTATGTGTGATGCAGAAATCGAAGCAGGCGAGGAACAGCAATCATTGTGCTTGACAACGTGTGAGGTGCTGTGACGTGCACCAGTACTCGAGGTTCTTATGATCGGTCACAATCTCGAACTGTTTGGGCAACCCCTTGAGATAGTGGCACCACTTGTATAGCACTTCGATAATTGCAAGTATCTCCTTGTTGTAGATCTCGTAGTTATGCTGGGCAGGGTCCATGGTATGAGATCTGAAGGTAACCGGATGCCATTTGCCATCGTCCTGCTTTTGCATCAGCACGCCACCAGTGGCATAGTTGACCTTGGGAATATCCCATTCACACTTCTCAGGTTTCAGGAATAGATCACTATCCTGAAGGTGACACAGTACCTTGTGTGTGACCTTCCCATACTCCTCCTTATTGGTGAAGAAGATGAGGATGTCATCCAAGTACACAAGGACCTTTCCGCCAACAATGAGATCATGGAAGATTTCGTTCATCATGGCCTGGAAGGTCACAGGGGAGTTGGTGAGGCCGAAGAACATTACCAGGGGTTCATACAGTCCCCGGTTAGTTACGAAGGCAGCCTTCCATTTGTCACCGGCTTTGATCTGGACGTTATTGTATCCCCATCTGACGTCGAACTTAGTGAAGAGTGTGGCGCCTCAGAGCTTATCTACCATCTTGGCAATCAGAGGCAGCGAATAGTGATTCTTGATGGTGATCATGTTCAACTGGTGGTAATCCTGCATGGGTCAAAGTGTCCCTTCCTTTTTTTTAATAAAGAAGGGGGACAAAATGGGCGACTTTAACTCCTGTATGTAACCCTTTGCCAGCTGCTCCTTTAGGAACTTATCCAGTTCCTCCTGCTCATTGTTCGACAAGGGGTATACTTTTGAGTGGAATGTTGAGTAGCCAGGCACGAGTTCAATCACATGATCATACGGCTTCCTCTTGGGTAACTGTTCTAATGCTTCCTTGGAGAAGACATTTAAGGAACTCGTGGTACTGCTTCAGCACTAACTCCTCGGTGGTCTTAACAACTTTCTTTTTGATCTTTTCTTCAGCAAACAGCTGGGAATATGTATGCTCTGCTGCGACAAATAGCTGAGGGGTGCCTGGAAGTGTGATGCCTTGCTCCCAGGCTTTGATTAGATTGGTCTTGTCCCACTTGATTTCCTCCGAATCTTCTTCAAGTTTGAAGTCTGAGAGTACCTTACTCCGGCAGGCACCGATGACCGACTGTTTGGACTTTGGCGAACACCTGCGCACCGTGGGCCTAACCCCCGTATTACGTGCAGTTGCCGCTTGCTCCATTCAGCCAGTTTTCCTGGCACTGCACGTTTCAGGGCATCGTGACAGCTTGAACGAGCCTGTCTCCCAATCAATTTCGGGGTTGTGCTCACATAGCCAATCCAACCTGGCAATCACATCCTCTGGACCTATATCCATGACCATGAACACCGTTTTTTTGATGTGATCTCCTACCTGCATCTCGAGGACGGCTACCTCTAAGATACTACCATCTTTGTTGAGGGTGCCATCAATATTGTATAGTGGAATCGGCTCCTTGAGTCTCCATGTCTGCACCTTGTTCTCCATAATGAATCGCTTGTTGATAAACTTCATAGTGGCCCCACTGTCCACCATGGTGATTATGTCTTTGTGCTGTCTTTTTCCCTTGAGTCAAACCGGAATGTGAAAATGCTGGGACCCATGGTCCAACTCGTACACCATTGCAGACAACAATATGTTATACTGATTACAAGATATACCTGGCCCAATGCATGTGGCGCAAAGCACAGACTGGATCAAAAACCCTCCTCCTTCATTGCCTGATAGTGCTCAAGCTCCTCACACATCGACTTCACCTGTGCCATCAAGTTTGCCAGCGACTCAGATTTCTCTGGATGGGCTGAAGCAGCACTTGTACTTGCCCAGGATGAAGCAACGGGGGTGCTTGTCATGGCCTGAGTGGAACTTGAGGCAACCGTAGCCTGCTGAAACATTTATCTTTCTGTTCTATTTCTTGTACTACTAGCGCCCATACTGGCGCCTGTCTTAGTGCTCACCCACAGGTTGAACATTATGTAGCTTACATAATGGGGTCCATGCGCACTTCGTACCTGGTATTGTACCACTATGTTTCTTTCTTTACTAACACGACCACACAGATACAGTGGTCCGTGCATAGCCAGTACTTGTATAAATAGTTGTACCATTAGTCGGTCGAACCCTAAGTTCGACCTGGTTATTCATTCAAGTCTCTGCTCCTCTTTGCTTGGGGTAGTGATCATTCTTGACTTCCTCGCTCGATCTTCAGGACGATGTACTGTCCATAAGCCCTCGCTCGATGTTTACGAGTCAGGCATCAATATAGGAGTATAGACCATTGTATCAAAGGGTCGAACTTTCTAAGCTACATTCCTAGTTTTACCTAGTCGAACATCTCATCCACCATTACGTCGAACAATGCATTCAACCCGGTTCCTTTGGGACTACCAGCCCTCGCAGGATCACCGCTCCTCCAGTACAACCAAGCAGATCGCTGCTTCGTCACCTCCACAAAAAGGGCTCTCATCTACCTTCGAGGTGGCACCTGGTGTCATGCAACCAGTCCAAACCTGCAGGTCGTCACCCATCAAGAACTCGTTAGCTACTACCAGAGACACCCACCCACTCATCCAGAAGATGTATTCACCATCCTACGGATCGACGTTGAACCTACACAAACAGCAGAAAGTGTGCAGTCACCCATCAACGAACAACCACTCGAACTCCCCGAAGTTCAGTATGTCCCCATTGAGATCCCAGACATTGAACTACCACCAGCTCCACCCGCACCAACCAACACACTGGTTGAAGTCCCTATGGCAATGTTCACTCAAGAAGACATCGATCAGCGCATCGCTGTCACCCTCGCAGCATACCAATCCCAACAGTCAACTGCCAACCAACCCCTTCATCTCGACATCCCCGCTCCCGAACCCTTCAGCGGAAAGGCAGAGGACCTCAGACGCTTCATCCAATGCATCCTCTCCTACTTCGTCGCCACCAACAACACCCAACTCAGCGATGAAGCAAAGATTGCCTTCACTGTAGTGCTGATGAGGAAGGATCTGGGGAAGACATGGGCGGATGCGTATTACGAGAAGTTGGCAGGGGGAGTCCAGGTCTATTCCACATGGGCAAATTTCGTCGCCACCCTAGAAGAGGTGTTCCCTGAGCACGGAACACGAATCAAGGCACATCAAATCCTGATGAAACTGCCTAAATGACAGAAGGATAGGAAGATGGCACTCTCCCTCGGGAACTATGTTACCCGCTTCGAGCAGCTGGCATCGAAGGCTCAGCTCCAGGACACTGAGGTCAATGGCACCAACTGCGTCAAAAACGACTATCACACTCTCCATGCCAACTTTGTCAAAGAACTCCCGAAGGAGCTGTATTTTGCTCTCGCAACAAGGGTCACTAGGGATCGACCCAACACCATGAAGGCCTGGTACGATGAAGTTCGAAATGCTGACACAGCCAAGCAGGGGGCTCTCATCATCACAGACACCAGGGACTATGGCGAACCAATGGATATTGACGCCGCTGCCGTCGCATCAACCTTCGCCTCCACATCGGGAGGAAGGAAATGGGAACTAGGAGCTGTTCTCAACAAAGCCGACCGGAAGCTCCACAGGGACAGGAACCTGTGCTTCCACTGCCACATCAAGGGCCACAGTGCCAAGGACTGCCGCAAGAAAGCGGCTGCATGACAAGGGGGTGGGAGGCCAAACCAGGGAGGATCTGGGAAGGATGACTTCCATGCCAGAATCAAGACACTCTCCGCTGACAAGAAGCGGGAGCTGTACGAAGAACTCACAATGGTGGATTTTTGAAGGGGCAGGGTGAGCCGACGCAACCACTGCCCGTATCCGTTTCACTGTCCCGTGTAATTCTAGTAGTCCGAAATGAACGCGCTCTGCACATTCCGATTACTGTGGGATAAAAAGACATTGAGGCGCGCGCTTTTATCGATAGCGGCGCAACCGGAATCTTCATCAGCCCAAGATTCATCTGAGAGCATCAACTTCAGATGGAACCTCTTCCCCGACCCATCCCTGTCTTCAACGTGGATGGAACTCTGAACAAAGAAGCACTCATCACACGAAGAGCTCTCTTATCTTACAAGATAAGTGGAGAACCCCGATTTGTCAAAGCCTATGTCGCCAGCATCGGCAAGGAAGACATCATCTTCGGCCATACCTGGCTCAAGCTCGAAAACCCCAAGATAGACTGGAAAACCGGACGAGTTGAGCTAAACCACCGGTGGATGAAAGACGAGACCAGGGTCTGGAAGATGGACCTATACCAAAGGTGAGTGGCTCAGCTAGAACTGAAGAAGGCCATAACTACCCCACTCCCAGAACCAACAGAGGACGAATTCATCGTCATCTCCACCTCAGAGCACGCAACCCTCCCTGAACAAAAGACTAGTGGCGCAGCAGGATATGACATCTCTGCTGTGCATCAACTTATCATCCCTGCCCGACGACGAGGCCTGGTTGGCACCGATCTTATCATGGCTATCCCCGAAGGACACTATGGAAGAATTGCACCTCAGTCCGGTCTAGCACTAAAGGAAATCGATGTTGCTGCAGGAGTAATCGACTCTGACTACCAAGGCAAGGTCTCAGTCCTGCTGGTCAATAACTCTGACCTCCCATTTACCGTCAAAGCTGGCAACCGAGTTGCTCAGCTCATCCTTGAAAGGATAAGCACTCCACCAGTAACGCTAACCGACCGCATTGACAAAACGGAACACAGGGAGGATGGGTTTGGATCAACGGGTATTGCGTCCATTGAAGAACAAGCGGAGGACATCGACGATAATGAGTTCATCATTTCCTACTTATCAGGAACACCAATGATCACCAAGTACGAGAAACAGGAATCCCTAGCAGTAAGGGACATCCCACTCAATGAGCGACTCCCCGAACTTTCGTCCGGCTACAAACAACTCCACAACGGCATGATCTGGAAGATCCACCATGACATTAGGCGAGTCACAACATCCACCGAACTTGCGGCCTCAAACGCCCAAGGCAAGACAGAAAAAACGCTACCACAGATGATACTGTCCTACCTACACGATCTCCTCCCCGTTTTCGACAAAGGCACTGCTGTGCAACTTCCAGACCACACCGAATATGACCACGAAATCAACCTCAAGGAGGGTTTCACGGACATGAAGCAACAGATTTATCCGCTCAACCCGCAGCAATGAAAGGAACTCGACAAGTTCCTCAAGGAGAACCTAAGTAAAGGGTACATTCGCCCTTCGAAATCCCCTTTGGCGAGTCCATTCTTCTTTGTTGGTAAAAAGGACGGTTCACTACGTCCCTGTCAAGACTACCGGCTGCTCAACGAGAACACGGTCAAGGATTGGTACCCGCTCCTGCTTATATCGGACCTCCTTGACAAGTTGAAGCACACCAAGGTGTTCACGAAGATGGACCTCCGCGCCGGATACAACAACGTCCGAATCAAGAAAGGGGACAAATGGAAGGCAGTGTTCATTGTACCAGGAATCGATGGCAAACCGCCACAGTTGTACAAACCAACAGTGATATTCTTTGGGCTGTGTAATTCCCCTGCTACGTTTCAGCGGATGATGAACACCATATTTGCAGACATGCTTCAAGAAGGCTGGCTCTGCATCTACATGGATGACATCCTGATCTTTTCCCAGGACAAGGCAGAACACGAGGAACGAACACGACGTGTTATCGAACGACTTCGACAACACAATCTCTACCTCAAACCAGAGAAATGCGCCTTCAACGTCACCGAAGTCGAATTCCTTGGCATGATCATCCACCCAGGAGAAATCGCAATGGACCCTGTCAAACTAGCTGGCATCGCAGACTGGCCAGTGCCATCCAACCTCAGGCAAGTATACACCTTCATTGGATTTGGAAACTTTTACCGCTGGTTTATCAAAGGCTTCTTGGACAAAGTGCAACCACTGGTCGCTCTCACCCGGAAGGACGTCGCCTGGACCTGGGGATCTGACCAACAGAAAGCCTTTGAGACCCTCAAAAAGGTGTTCCTAGAAGAACCGGTACTACGCATGCCAGATTCTGACCGACCTTTCGCTATCAAAACCAATGCTTCCAAGTTTGCAATGGAAGCATTACTACGCCAACACAATGACAATGGCAACTGGCATCCTTGTGGATACCTCTCTCACAGCTTCAATGCGGCCGAGAAAAACTATGACATCTATGACAGGGAGTTATATGCGGTCATTCACGCACTAGACGAGTGGAGGCACTACCTTATTGGCAGCCCATACCCAGTGACGATTCTCAGTGACCACAAGAATCTCACATATTGGAAGCAGGCCAAAGACATGAACCGACAACAAGCATGCTGGGTGAGTAAACTGACTGAATTTGACTTCTGCCTGGTACACGTTCCTGGTACCCAAATGGTGCAAAGTGACACTCTCTCCCGCCGACCTGACCATGATGACAGCTCTAACGACAACACCAACATTGTCATGCTCCCACCAGAAGTATGGGTTGCTGCCATCGACATCGACACACGTGATACCATCCTTTCATTCAAAGACAATCCCATAATGAAGGAAGGCCTCACTGCGGCACGCACTGGAGGGACCCCATGCACTGGAACTGACTGGTCCATCGATGATGACCTCCTCTTGTACCAGGATTGGGTCTATGTACCCCCAGATAAGTTTCTTCACAAACATCTCGTCTCCCACTATCATGACCTCCCCTCTGCAGGACACCCCGGTGTTCAGAAAACCCTCCTCGGCTTGCGCTGCGACTACTGGTGGCCGAGCATGGCCCAGTTTGTCGCTCGCTATGTTAACAGCTGTGGCATCTGCCAGCAAATGAAAGTCAACATGCATCCAGCCCGTCCACCCATCACCCCCATTCGACCCCGCGCAAATGCCAAGCCCTTCAGCACATTTTCGTGTGATTACATCACCGACTTGCCGCCGTCCAACGGCTTTGATTCAATTTTGGTCGTAGTGGACCACGATCTTACAAAGGGGGTAATTTTCATCCCATGCAACAAAACAATTGATGCTCTTGGGACGGCAGACGCAATGTACCGAGAGGTCTACAAGTGGTTTGGACTCCCAGACAAGATCATCAGTGACCGAGGACCGCAATTTGCGTCCAAAGTCTTCCAAGAACTTTGCAAAATGACTGGGATTCAATCGGCCATGAGTACGGCATTCCACCCGCAAACCGATGGTGAGACAGAACGAGTGAACCAAGAGCTGGAGATCTACCTCTGCTGCTTCACTGCCAATGATCCGGATAAGTGGGCTGACCATCTTCACATTGCGCAATTTGCTCACAACTCCCGCGAGCATTCCACGACGAAGATGTTCCCATTCAAACTCATGATGGGATATGAACCTCGCAGAATACCCACTGCGCACCCTGGATCAAACACGCCGCAAGCAGCTTATCGCCTTAAGGACTTGCAAAACATCCGCAAGGAAGCACATGTGGCAATGGAGATGGCCCAGAATGTCCTGGCCAAGAGAGTAAAAAGGAAGGGGGGTTCTTTCCATAAAGGTCAGCTGGTATGGCTAGACTCCCAGAACTTGAAGCTGCCGTACCCATCCAGGAAACTAGCCCCGAGGCGAGAAGGGCCGTTCAAAGTCCTAGACAAGATCGGAACGGTCGCGTACAAGCTAGACCTCCCTAGCACCTGGCGAGTCCACCCCGTTTTCCACAAATGGCTTCTATCTCCCTATTCAGAAATGGAGATCCATGATCCAAACTACACGAGGCCACCTCCTGACCTTATCGAAGGCAAAGATAACTACGAAGTCGAAGCCATCATCGGACACCGAGAGAACAAGAGGATGCGACACCGCGAATATTGCGTCAGGTGGAAGGGTTACTCAACTGCGGATGACTCATGGGAACCCGAAGCAAACCTGACAGGGACTGCGGATGAAGTGCTAACGGAGTATAAAAAGAGGAAAAACTTGAGCTGAGTCGACAGCAGCTCAACCCAGTCGCTACACCCCTACTCGTACCAACATGTCCTCCACCCTTTTGTTCCTCGACCAGTTCAACGCCCCCTCAACTGAGGGCGGAAAGAGGACTTCGATCTACACCCCTAAGCACACCCATGTCAGCGACAGCACTTTGCTGACACTACTTCTCAGTAACCCCACCGATGTCTTCAATAAACTCAAAACCCACCACCCCGAGGCAACCAATGCCACTGACTGTGCTGCACTAGAAGTGTACCTCTCTGCCTGCCACGAATACGATGAGGCTGTCAAGGCAGCTGACGAGGCCATTGACCATCACAAACGGCTCCTACGCCAACAGGACGACCATGTCCTCACTGAGCTCATTTGACTCAACAATCTGAAAGTTGCCCATCGCTTTCAACCACTCCTACCACGCAGCATCCGGGCGCGACACAACAAATTCATCCCGTGCGCCATCCCCAACGCGTACCTACCCCTACCTGCACCCCTACCGACGTCTGCCTTCAGGCATCCCCCGATCCCATCCCCTCTTCTCCAAGCAACACCGCAGAGCACTATCATCCCGGCTGACTGGCAACCCAACCCTGGTTGGACCCCAAAGGGAAGCTGTAGGTGATGTGGATCGTCTCGACACTGGGTATGGGACTGTCCGGACATACAATGCACAAGATGCAGAAAAGAAGCCCCTGGACACCTGGAGCGAGAGTGCGGAACCAGGCCGATGAAGCGACACATATCCGCACCACCTGAAGAACCTGCGTGATGCATGGGGGTGGTCGTCGACAACATGTTCCTCGAAGGAATCATCAACGAGGCGAAGGAGAGGAAGGAAAGAGAGAGGCAGACAAAAGCGGTACCCATTCCTCCACCACGCAGCGCTAACCCCAAACCCCAGGCCAGTCCCATCACGGGATCCTCACGCCCCCGCCCCGATACACCCATCGTCTTTCACAAAGTCGATCCCGACTGGACACCTGACACTACTCAATGGACGTGGGACAGCTCCTGGCCATGTCAGGAGCACCTCTCTGGCGAGGAATGGAAGAATGTGGGGAGGAACGCACGCAACGAGTGGTTCGATGAAGAGGAAGACAACAGCGTAGACTGGGAGTTGTATGGAGATGGTGAGCAGTAAGTAGTCGAATGGGACTTCGACTCTGGTAGGGGGGTAATGAAACATTTATCTTTCCATTCTATTTCTTGTACTACTAGCGCCCATACTGGCGCCTGTCTTAGCGCTCACCCGCAGGTTGAACATTATGTAGCTTACATAATGGGGTCCGTGCGCACTTCGTACCTGGTATTGTACCACTACGTTTCTTTCTTTACTAACACGACCACACAGATACAGTGGTCCGTGCATAGCCAGTACTTGTATAAATAGTTGTACCATTAGTCGGTCGAACCCTAAGTTTGACCTAGTTATTCATTCAAGTCTCTGCTCCTCTTTGCTTGGGGTAGTGGTCATTCTTGACTTCCTCGCTCGATCTTCAGGACAACGTACTGTCCATAAGCCCTCGCTCGATGTTTACGAGTCAGGCATCAATATAGGAGTATAGACTGTTGTATCACCCACACGTCTGCACATTTTGTGTAAGGTTTGTCCTTACAGTCAGGGCACTCGAAGCGATGGTACCTTTTTTTCCCACAGCTGTAGCAACTGCCGGGGAAGTCTCCTTTACCAATGGCCACATTGATGCTAGCCAAAGTGCCTTGTGATCGGGGTGCACCACCACATGCTCCACCGTGTCCTCCTCCTCAGGCCAAGAAGAAGCTATTCAACTCAGGCTGACAGGCTCAGCTGATATTGAGTTGTTGTTCGATTTCCATGGCACGCTTCTCAGTGGCTTCCCACATGGCGAACATCTTGAGCTCGATTTTGTGATAAACGCAAGAGGGGACGCCGCTCAGGTACTTGTCACGAAGTTCCAGGTCACCATACCTGGAATGGTCCGCCGGACCCTTGAACAGCATGGAGAATTCCGCAGTGGTGCACCTTTTGCGCGTCGACTTGTCAGCGCAGAGCTTGGCAAGCTCTACCTATGCAGATGCAGTGTCGTTGAGGTTGCCAAAGTGACTTCTGAACATGGTGAGGAAGTCCTTGACGTTGGCAAAGGGTGTGACTGCCCCTTGGACTTTGACTGTGACAGCTGCGATTTGGGCATAGATGGGGGTAGCCCATGCATGGGCATCACTGTCAAGCAGGCTTAGTGCAACTTGCACTTGGAGCTCAATGGTGGAGAGGGTAGTGTTGACCTGCCAGTAGATGAGCAACTGTGAAATGAAGTGGTTGCATTCAATGATGGTTTTTCAGTCATATTGGAGGGGCAGGAGAAGTTTCAACATCTTTTTATCAGGAGGAGGGGGCATGGGGATCAACATTACCGGCAGCGGGGGGAATGGAGGATGGCTCAGGGGTGGAGGCGGCTGTTGTGGCTGTCCGCCGGGTGGACTTCAGGGGGAGTGAGTGTGCGAGTGGCCTCATGGCTGCGACGACAATGGAGGTGCTGGAGAAAGCCCGGAGGTGGAGTGACGTACAAAAGGGACTAGAGTCGAGGAGGAGACCGCTGATGACGAGCTGGCCCAACTAACTGCTGGAGAGTCATGGGGCTCGGACTTTGGGACTGTTTCCACCTGTGGCTCCAAGAAGGACTGGGGGATCGCTTGAGGGGTCGCTGTAGGCTGTGTGACTGCCTCAATTCCTCGAGGGAGATTAGGATCTTCTTGTGCTTGACCTGTACTGGTAACAGGTCGAGGTATGCAGGTGCCCGGAAACACAGGATGGGAGTGACATGGTGGGAGATGGATCGCGAGGTGCCAGCGTATTTGAGAGCCGGTCCTTTTGGATGCCAGACCCATCTGATGGGCGCGTAACATCCTTCTTCAGTAGTGATGGATCGCGGGGTGCAATTGGGACACAGCTGTCGGTCACAGATGAAGAAAAGAGCTTTGGTCCCATCATTGTCTGGGTCATCACGTGGGACATCGAGCTGTTCTTAGTTATCAAATGCATGCTCAAGTCTAGAACAGTTGAAGAATTCATCTGCCACAGTGGTGGGGAGAGGAAAGGGAGGTGTGCATGCTATGAAAGGTCATACTAGCTAGCATACATCTACGGCACCCAAGATGACACTAGGATTCACAGTTCACGTGGGGCCCAGTACTGCTTTTGGCTAGTATGCAGCAGGAACCTAATCCATGTGTTTGTGAGGACAAGTACCGCCCACTAAAGTGCAGGTACTGAAGAGTTCGTTTCCTGAGTGGTGGTGATGTATGTAGGCTATCTACATATTGTATGGTATAGTAAGAGTGCACACCACCTGACCTGTAGGAAGTGTAAAATGAAGGGGTGTGAGTGAACGCCAGTAGCGATGGGGAGTTTTGACCTAATGTTGTGACTGAGGTCAAGCGACAGGGGAAAACCTAAAAGCTGAGGGTGTTTGACTGAGTCTCACCGAAGCGATGGTGAGCAATGCTAAAACCTAAGGCTAGGGACAAGTTAATTAGCATAAGAAAGTAGGTAAGTACAGGGGCTTACTGACCTAGGGACAAGAGGTCGAAACTGAGGTCCCTAGGGCAGCAGAGGCCAGCTTATATACAGGGGTAGATAAGGGCAGGCTGTGCACAGCTGGTCCATGCACAGCATGCTGACACAGCCCCCAGGGGCTGGTGAGTCAGAGCAGCTGTGTCAGCGGAGCCCGAGCTGTACCATGCACTGCCATCCTATCTAATCTAATCTATCTATATGGCAACGTGATGTGCTGGCAAGGCTTGTCTATTCGAGTGTTTGAGCATATAGTACAGAGGTCATGGGTTCGAGCCCACGGAAAGGAAAAAATTAAAAAATGGCTAGACATCATGTCAACTCATGACAATATGATTGAAGTATAAAACAGTGGTCTAGTATAGGTCTTAAGGAGACAAATACACATCGCATCAGTGTAACATACAGTACAACAAGACAACCTTTAACTGAACTCAACTGAGCCTTTGGCCGGTGGATTGAGAGACCTGCTACACCCAGTATAATCAATTCCTATTGGAAATAAGGTACCTTGGTTATCAAACAACTAATTTCTATCCTCTTGCACATAAAAAAATCTTGTGCTAGCTGCATTGATTTCATGCCACAGGTCTATTGTATATCGAAAGCAAGCTCTTATTAATTGGGTTTTGGTTAAAAGTGAAGGTCTCTATACTGATCATATATACCAAGATCAATTGAACATCCAGCAAGCCTTACCCCCAACAACCACAGGATTCCAAGCACAACAACATGTAGTGACACTCCAGACCAGGAGCCGGAAGAACTGTCTGTCATTGAGGTTGAGGGTAATGAGGAGTATGAGATTGAACAGATCAAAGATTTGAGGATCTTTCGGTGTCAGCTACAGTACCTCATCAAGTGGAAGGGTTATGATGACTCGCATACATCATGGAAACTGGTGCACAATGTTGTGAATGCACCAGCCCTCATAGCCAGATTTCACTGGAAGAACCTGAATGCCCCTTATTGTCTCAACACTGCTACCTTTGGAAGTCTCAACTTCCAGCCAATACCTTCGCCACTGACTGAAGCACACTGCTGCTTCAGGTGAGAGATGGGCAAAGGCACCTCACATGAGGTCATGTGCCATTGAGGGGGGTAATGTCATGAGTTGTTACATCACAGACTATTTTTTTTCCCTTTCCTGGGTTCAAACTAGTGACCTGGCTGTGCGAGGCAGCACTTGACATGGACAAGTCACACTGCCTTGATTGATTAGATTAGATGGCTGTGCAGCACAGCCCAGCATAGCATGAGCACTGCTTATGCAGCCGCTCTGACTCACCAGGCCGCTGCCTCAACAGCTGTGATATAGCAACACTGCTCACAGACCAGCTGCACACGGTGTGAGAATGACGCCGGAAAGACTGCCGGCAGACAACCTCCTCGATGGACAGGGATCAATGGTGGATAAGGTTACAAACCGATGGGGCTACCTATGGCACACAATGCCTACATAAGTCCTATTCCAACATCGGTGCACGACCACGTGACCCGGGCCGGCAGCAATGCTTGCCCGACGTACCCAAAAGTCAACACACGGACCAGTGCGCACAGCCTGCCCTTATCTACCCCTGTATATAAGCTGGCCTCTGCTGCCCTAGGGACCTCAGTTTCGACCTCTTGTCCCTAGGTCAGTAAGCCCCTGTATTCCTCTTACTTACCTTTGCTAACTTAATCCATTTACTTGTCCCTAGCCTTAGGTTTGAGTGTTGCTCACCATCACTTCAGTAGGATCAGTCAAATGCCCCCAGCCTTTAGGTTTTCCCCTGTTGCTTGACCTCAAGTCATGACACTGTCACTCGGTGACAGGTTTTTATAAGGGTCCCAATGATACCACAGAGACCAAGGAGGGCTGGGATGATTTTCTCAAAGTTGCAAATGATCTTGATGATCAGGTGTTGACCTTTGGGTATGTTGGGCAAGTGTTGCTTGAGGCCCAGGTCACGTGGTTGTGTGCCAGTGTGGGAACTGGACTTATGTAGGTGTTATGCGCCATAGGTAGCCCCATCAGTTTGTAACATTATCACTCAATAATCCCTGTTCATCAAGGATGTTGTCTGCTGGCGGTGTCATTTTCACATCTGGATATGGTGGACAATGATAATGTGTATATCATCTGACTTGAAGATTGGATATGACATGTTTTCTTGCTAACAAACATAATATGCTACCTTACTAACAAGCCATGGCCCTAAGCCTAAGCCAAGCTGCGGCCAGGCTTGAGCCATGTACTAGGGCCTGGTCTGGCATTTTGACAGGCCTGAGCCCCCTCAAGCCAGGCCATAGCCCTGGCTTTCAGGCTGAGCCAGGCTTTGCACATTACTAGGTTCATAATGCCTATATCAACCCATGACAGTTATTGCTCCAGTAAAAATCAGTCAAATGCCCCCACCATTTGATTTATTCCTCTGTTCCAAAACTTTATCACAACAGTTTGCCAGTTACAAGCTGAATAAAACACCACTGTTTTGTTTTCGTCTTAATCCCTGCTAGAATCTAACACACACATGGCAGTAATACTTGCTCTATATGCAGTAATCACACACACAATATGCTAACACAATTGAAATGCTACAGTAGTTTTTGTTCAAACCTAGCAGTTATCATTTTCAGCTAACAGTGCATTTGCTTCTTTAGCTGTGTCAGTCAAGCACAAATACGAATTGCATATATCTTGAAATCAGAGGTAGCACATTTCCCCTGACTTCATATGCTATATTTAGGTTGCAAAAGGCAAAAGACATCCAAAAGACATATATATTAAAAGATTGCACCAATAATTCCACTTCCAATAGCAGCACCTGATTTCAGGGGCTTGAGCATGAGCAGAAAACCAGACTAAGAAATTCACATACCAGCACCAAAGCCAACTCCACCAGCAGCGGATGTAGCCATCTGCATCCCGGGTGATCTGAGCCATCTGGTCGGAGTAGAGAGCACAAAGCACACACCGTATCTCCTAGCTTCCCATACTTGCTCTTCTTCTGCTCTTGTTGGGGATCTTGCTGCAAGCCGATGGTGTTGACGCCCGCAGGGGGTGGTTGATTGACAGCTTGATGGGCAGCTCCGAATGGTCGATAGGCAGGTTTCTGAGCTACAGGAGGGAAATACGTGGGCTGCACCTGTGCTGAAGGCATGGGCGCGAAAGGAACAGGCTGCGGAGGCGGAGGTGGCGATCCGCTCGCCCCAAGCTTCTCTACGTAATTGGAGGGGAACAGACCCTGTCGGCCCCGGCACTTGCCCGTCCACCAGTCTACGTTGGTCTCGTCGATGATCTCGACAACCTCGCCCGCCGAGAAGGACAGGTCATTGGGCTCCTGGAGTGTGGTCAGAGCACGCGTTCGTAGTCTGGTATACGCTTGCTACACACCTGGCCATTCTGATTGTACGCCCACAGCGCCCTTGCGCGCTGCGCCTGCGCCCTCTGCGGCGGCGGCGGCACACGACGCGGGCCCTCTGCGATGGTCATAGTCTGGACGCCATTCACCATGGGGTCATTGCGAGGCGCATCCAGACGAGCTGAGATGTCTGCGGCGTCCGCAGCTGATATGTAGTTATTAGAGACAAGGAACTCGACATTCTCGCGCGTCTGCGCCAAAATGTGGGATAGGAGTGCAGCCGCTTGCGGGTCGGCGGGCATATGCATGTTGCTTCCAGTCCTGGATTGTGAACGAGAGAGGGTTGTATGCAAGCTGGTCGTCAGAGGCCAGGGTATATGTCACGCCGAGACCTGCACCGCGCCAGTCTCAATCCGGCGCTTGCTTCGACTGTTGTATCCCACGGCATATCAAAGTGTACCATGGCTCCGTTCACTCTGATTACGACTCTGCCACCATTTATCTCGCCGGATGAACACAAAAACATCGTCGCCTCGACCCCAGCGTCCTTCAGCGACATCCCCCCGGTCTTGCGCCACAGGGAAGAAAATGTCTCAGTCACCGTTGAACCACCTGTAGATGGTTTTACGGCCGAGGACTGCGCACTCGGCACTCTCTATGTGATAGAAAGGTGAGATCATCCGGTAGGCAAGTCTCACTGTCTGACAATGTCCCAGTTTCTTGGTATTCATGTCGGCGACAGGACGGGGATTCCAGGTCGAATACCCGTCCATTACTCTCCATGCTATTTCCCGCGCGGAATCTGGGCCGTCAATATACTGTCAATTGGATGATATAGCAGAGTCGCCTGAAGACGCTGCTGAGGAGGCCGAAAGCGAGCTAAAGGAGCTAATAATCGTGCCGAAGGATGGCCAGGCTTGTGCGTCCTTCACACCTCCAGCTAAGGCGTGCTTCAGCATTTTGATTGCGTTTTCTTTGCTGCAGTGGAACCTATATTCGAGAGCCTATCGCTATGTGCCTCCCTACACCCTGATCCTGCGTCCCTTGACGAGGATATGGACGACGATGCCTTCATTGACGCAGATGAAAACGGTCTCGACACATTCACGGGCGGCGAAGATGAGGAACTCAGCGAAGTCGGGAGGGTGCGCAGTGATTTCATCAACAATAACCGTTACGCTCCATACTAGAAGACGTTTCTTACCAGGCGGCTCTCGCCCACCTTGAATCCATCATTTACGACCCGTTCGAACACGCTCGTGAAGACGATGAAAAGGCGCAAGAAGATAAAGGGGCCGCTTGAGAATATAGAGCAGATCCAGTATACTAGTGGTCCTGTCGCGGAGAGCATAAGTCTGGGCGTGCTATGTGATCTTCGCGTCTGTACGTATTGTGAATATTCTCAGACTCGGATTTCTAGGGACGAGTCTTTGCTAAATACATACCGAGCCATTAATGATGTTCGCGACCATATGGAAGAGAGTTGAGTGGTTACAAGCCAAGAGTGGCCGGGGTCCCCGAAAGGCGCTGGCGGAGGGCGCTGAGGGTTGATAATCATCGCAGACATCGTCCAACCCCTCTTCGCCATCGTCGACTATCATCTCCGCCGCCGTCGCTCGCTGTGCTGGCGATGACACATCTCTTGCCGCCGCATGCAGATCTGAACTTGGCGCACTCGACTCTGCACTCTGCCCTGCATATGGATCCATCGCAGCAGCCTCCGCCGGCGCAGGCTCCGCCAGGGCAGGGGACGCCACAGTCGTCGCGGAAACGCAGAAAGGGAGACGGCAACGGCGACGAGGCCCCCCATCCGGCCGAGCCTCGCCGTCTGCGTCGTTCACACGAAGCATGCGCACGATGCAGGAGCAAGAAAATTAAGGCAAGTCCCGTCGGACGACACCGACGGCAAACTCCCGCCCCGATCGCGTCTGACCGTTTGCCCCCTTTGCCAGTGCGACTCCAAGCATCCTCGCTGCACCGCCTGTGCCACTGCCGGCACCGTCTGCCACCAGGAGGACCGCCACAGGCAGACCCTCACTCCCCGCGGCCATACAGAGCGTATCGAACGCCAGCTCCTCCAATGCGACGCCCTCCTCAAGCGGCACTACCCCGGCTTCACCCTCGAGTCTCTCGACGAGATTTGCCACCGCGAGGGCATCGAGGTCGATGTCAACGAGCAGACCCTCACCTCTACTTTCCAATTCGCCCAGAACCCACCCTCCGGCTCAAGCACACGCCCTTTCTCTCTGCGCTCAGAGGTCCCCCAACCACCACCCGGCGGCTCGCCCCCTCGTCCTTATCCATACGGCCATCCCCCTCCTCCCGGCCAACATATGATGCCTTACGGCCACCCAGCTATGCCTATGCCTTACCCGCACCCAGGTTCGCCGTACGGTCCCCCTCCTCCCCACCCCCACATGATGCAGGGCCCGCCCGGCTACAACCCCCACATTTACCCGCCATTCCAACACCCTCTGCAGCCCCACCCAGTCATGCAGCGACCCCCATCGGCGCACGACATCAAGGGTCAGGACCCACTCTCGTATAACATGGCCGATACGAGGGTCAGTGGCTCCCGTTCTTGAGTATATGGTCTACTAACCGCAGGACAGGCATTAGCGAAGACCTTCGACGTCGATGAGGCAATAGTCGCTGACCTGGAGATCCACGTAGCCGACAGGGAAGACATCGGTGTGGGCTCTGCTGGGCTCGTTTCGGCACGCGATCGCGACGTCGCAGAGCCATCGCTCCCGCGGGACGCAAGCAAATGGATCTCGGTCAAGGTCGATGTGCGGCATAGTAGTGTCGCGGCGACTGGCCCTACTAGCGCGCCGGATGACAACAGTAGTATTTTGATGTGGCTCCCCAAGGACCGCGCAATGGTAACCCACATTCTCGAGGTGTTCTTCAGGCGCCTCAACTTTCACCGTCCGGTCTTCATACGCAGCGATTTCGAGCAGACTCTGGACGCGCTATACGCTGGCGAGACACAGCAGCACGACCCCGGTTTTGTTTGTAGCGTATACCTAGCTCTCGCGCTGGGCACGCTCAGCGAGCTCAACCACCGCTCAAGGAGCCTCGAGAAGGACGGGGAGGCAATTTTGACAAGCCCGACGGCACCGCGGAAGCTGATGCCGGCAACCTGGCCTGAGCACGAGGAGTTTTTCGACCGCGCGCTCGCAGTCAAACCTGACCTACGGGTAACAGTATCCAGTCTTCAGGCGCTCATCTTGTTACATTGGTATCTGTACACCGAGGTATGTGTCCCAGGGTTAGCACCCTCCACGGCATTGCAGCTGACACACGGGCGACTGATAGCGACAAGGACGCACTCTTTGGCGTTTGGTCGGCAGCTTGGTTCGGCTCGCAATCGAGCTGGGCCTACACCATGACCCCACACCGCAATCTCAGGTCTTCTCAGAAGCGGAATGCCAGCTTCGCATCTGCCTTTGGAGCATTGTGCTGCTACATGACCGTGGCACATCCATCCTACTTGGGCGCCCGCTCGCCATCGCACCGTCGGATTCGAATACACCCCAGCCGTCACGCAGCAAGTCTGTCCAGGCGTCCGAGCATTTCGTGCTGTCCGCCCCTGTCGCAGAAATACAGGCGGATATTATTAACTCACTGTATGCACCCACGAGGCAGACCGGCGACGCGATCATAAGGCACGCGACCCGCATCAAGAAGAGCATGGCCGAGTTCCGGAGGCAACTCCCGGACAACTACAGGTGGTTCTTCAGCGGTACGGAGAGCTGGGACGATGAGCGGCGTACAAAGCTGGTGCAAGATATCACGGAGGATCAAGGTTTGACCCTGCTGAAGATCGGCATCACAAGAATACTGCTACTACGAGCGTTATTCAGTTCCAAGGAGCTCGACTATCGACACCGCTTCGGGGCATTAAACGATGGTGAGTAGCGTCTACCACAGTGCCAAACCACGCTGACAGCTGTATTCCAGCGATCCGCACGTCGCACAACATCATCGTAGTTCACAACCAGTTGATACGCTTCCCGGACATCGCATTCTTTGTCTCGCCTATTCCACTTCATATCTCAGCCATGGTCATTTTATATGGTCATATGTCCCGCTGCCATCCCATCAAGCACCAAGTAGCCCTCGAGGACGTGTGGATGGCTCTGGATATGCTGCCAAGCTTCCGCTGGCGCTGGGAACGCAAAGACTTGAACGGCGGGCATCCCCTCATCGCGCGTCTTGCCGAGAAGGTCCTCAACGTCAACTTGCACCAGGTCGCGCCGACCACCGCGCCAATGCTCATCTCCGAGATCGACTGGGAGAATGAGAGCGTGATTTCGCCGAAGGATGGTTCCCAGGGTACCTCGAGCACCAGTCCGACGATTGGACCTGCGCAGTATCCCGGTGGCCTTGTCCAATATGGACCGCAGACCCCCAGCACTAGTTCATCCGGCAAGGGCAGCCCCGGGCGCAGTAGTGTCAATGGTGGCCCTGGCACCCCAGCCGACAAGCTGGCCGAGGTGCCTGCTGGCTTGTTCTATCCATTCTACCCTGAGAACCAGAATGCGGCTGCCAACGCGGCTGCTGCCGCAGCGGCCGCGAATGGATCTGGCGGCGGGGATTTCAATCACCTCTTGGCTGCGGCTGCCGCATCTCAGCCGATAGGCACTTATGGCTACCAGGCGTCACAGGAGTCGTACATGCTGGAAGAGACGAAGCCATCGACGGCATCCTCCGTGGGAATGCAGATGTGGGTGAGTGGAATTCGTTGGTCATCCCGAAGTCTTGTCTAACGCGCGCCTGCCAGAGCGGCCAGAGACCTGTCCCACAATATGGCGTACCGCAGCAGCAGTGATTGAGGCGAGGCTGACCGACACGATTATTCGAGGCTATGAGGTTCTTTTGGCTAGTGGTTATTGTCTATTTTGTTGTCCTGCTGTCGATGAATACTGTATAAAATAATGTGTGATTGTGTACGAAAGCAATGCCAAATCGTTTGCGTGTCTATTGCATGTACCCATATGCGACCTAGCGTCGCGAATAAAGTATAGAAGTACGTGAGAATTATCTAGTATGTCATCATTTCACCAGGATGAGACGTCTAAGGTATGAAGCCCGCCAGGAAAGATACGCATATGCCTACATAGGAAAATTCCGAAACCGGTTATAGCCCCAGTCTACTTGTTCAATATCCGCTCCATCCGCTCAAGAAGATTCACGACCCCGCGCAGCACAACGTACAGTCGCTGGTTCATTATGGCGGTGCGCTCCTCGTCGCCAACGCCGTCGCGATTGCGGCCGGCCGCCGAGTAGACGGCGTCCAGTTTCTGCTGCTGAAGGGCGTGCTCGAGGGCGATGGGCAGGCTAACGGTAATACGCGCGAGGCGGACGGTGAGACACGTGCGGCGGCGGAGGTCAAAGTACGAAAGGTCGCGAAAGGCGCGCTGGACCTCGAGCAGACGCGCGACCTCATCGTGGAGGGCGAAGATGCATGTTCTACAGGCTGGTAAGACGGTAGCGAGTCAGCGTGGCGCACAAACGACAGACGCAAGCCTCCCCTACTTTTTGCGCGATCTCGGACTGACCGCAGCGTTACGAAGACAGAGTTGATGCCTTCCTCGCCGAGCCTCAAGGCCGGGTTCATTTCGTTCACTGCGCCTGTGCATGTGCAGACGTATGAGAATGCGGGCTACGGCACGGAGTATATGCGCCCACGGAGCAATGTGCGGATCATGTCCAAGTCGCCATCGAGGATGTCGTTGAAGACGCCGATGACGACACTGCGGAAGGTCTCCTCGGGCGGGGGAAATGGACTGGCTGAGAATATATCGTAGGTGGCGTGTGGTGAGCGCGAGTCGTACAATCGTTTTGTGGAGGGCTTGCTCAGGACGTCGTAAGCCACTGAGACCTTTTGGAATGCCCGAGTAGCCTCGGGGTCGTGGGGGAATTTACTGCAAGTCTTGTCAGACAAAGACGGCAGTGAATAGAATAAACGCAAAACTCGCTCTGGGTGGCATGCCCTGCTTCTAGTAAGGTATGCGCGCCTCAAGGTTAACTTATCTATACGATATGATCGTTGGAGACCAAGGACGCGGTAGAGATCGTGCTCGTCGAGGATCTGCTGGATAACGTTATGGCTCTTTGAAGAGTGAATGGAAGAGGATGTGGAAGGAAGGGAAGCATTGTCAGAGTCTGGCGAGTCGGAAGGCTTCCATGCGATATGTCGAGATGGGAAGTCGACCTCGTCTTCAAGATCGTCGATGGGCAGGTGAAAGTATGAACTCGCTGCGCTGCGTTAAGAGCGGGCGAGGGGCGATGAGTGAAATGCATACCTGAGGTGAGGACGCGAGAGAACATGGCGGGATAACATTGAGTTTGGGCCTGTGCCCGTTGCCACAATGCGCACCATTCAAGCACTTTACATGTGATTTTACAAGACGCGATCACGAATCCCGAGCGGCTATATTGATTACAAAAACATTTATGTTATTCGCGCACCTATCGCTTCCGCCAATTTCCGTGCTGCCCTCTTCACCTCTCCTCGCTCGCCCATCACCGTCAGTCTGACACTCGAGGCCTCACTCAAGCATCCACGGTCCCCACCTACAGTCAGCTCACTCCGCCCAAAAGCCCAGTTGACGATGTGCACTCCCGCGGACAACCGCACAAAGCCTTTCACTCTCCATACCGTTTCCTTAGACAAACTCTGCAACGCAGCATTGAGCAGCTCTTCCTCGATGGGAGCCCCTTCATGCGACGTTCCAAGCGTGTCATCCGCGGCGTGCGAGCACTCCATCCCGGAAGTATGACCATGCACTGATGGATCCGAGCCTCGGTACACAGTGGCCGTCTCTACTTCATCGTGGTGGTGTGCATCAAGATGGACCTGGTCCGACTGGAAGAGCTTCGAGTCCAGCCCGAATATGAGATCAGGGTCGACGCCCTCGCGCCCCTTGCACTTGATCTTTGGCGTGAGGTCGTTTAGCGTATTTAGATGGTCGATGAGGATGTCGAGCGCGCGCTCCGAGATGTGTTCCCACTTGTTCTAGAACATAGTCATGTCAGAGCATTGCGGCATCCTGGCGCAAGCCACATACGATCAGTATGACGTCCGTATAGCTTGCTTGCATCTTTGCCGTGGGCGATGTGTCCTCGTAACCGACAAAGTTCTCCGCATCCACAACTGTGACGATGGCGTCCAGCCTGAGGTCATCTTCCGTCTCACGCTCAAGCTCTCTGATCTGGAATGCCAGTGTCGCTGGAAATGCAGAGCCACTGTCACGTAGAGCAGGGAGGGGGACCAGCGCATCGATCAGCACGATTCCCAGCAGTAGATTGAGCAGGAAGCGTTACGCACGAACACTCAATAATAATGCGATCGGGGCGGTACTTCTCTAGATGATACGGCTTGTCAGTAAAGTGCTGGATCGCAATAGCGCGCTCAGATGGCGCACCTCGTATCTCCAGCAGCGCGGTCTTCATCTGGCCGACCAAGACACAGCACCTGGTATCGAATTTAATCAATAGTCCGGCCTACCACAGCAATCTCACTATCACTCACTCACATGCATCCGTTCAGGATCTCGCTCACCGCCGCAAGGCTGGACTGCTTTGCTAACTGACTATCGACTAGGCGCAGTGTTCCCTTATCGCTTGCAAGACCAAAGATCGGCTGACATCATGCGCACCTTGGACATCTCCAAACTCGTTCTTGAGCAGTACAACTCTGTAGTCGCTGGGTAGCTGGGGGAGCAAAGACAGAATTATGGATGTCTTTCCCGCGCCCAGGAAACCAGTGAAGACAGTGATGGGAATGTGCGGCGGGGATCTTGCCACAGACTCCATTATGCTGCAAATTCGACGGTGTTATCGAGCTCTCGTGTAGACGTAGGAATCGAGGGAGCATTCGATCGAGATCGACGCTAAGATGATCGAGGGCTTGAAGCGCTAGGACGGCGGGCCCGAGTAAGGTATAAATAATGTATTCTAGGCTAGCATTGTCATGAACGACAAACATCGAGCACTGATACTGATGATACAATAGACGGAACGACAGATGATATCCAGCTACAGCTACAACGTCATAAATATCCACGAAGCAAAGTGTCCCGTCACGACCACCGTCATCTACGGAAGATGCTGCTGCTCGCATCTGGAGGCTTCAGACGGCGACTCACAGGATCAGAGCGTCGTGCAGTATTTCCCAGAATCTTGGCCCGCAACGATGACACCGGGTCTGATGCCGTCTGTCTGGCGCCCGTCCGCGCCCGCAAAGGGACGGCAGAAGACGTGAGCGACGATCGAGGCTTAATCACAATCTCCTGGTCAAGCTTCCTCCGCTTCGCATCCTCGCGCGAGCGCAAAGCTTGTCTCTCCAATTGCCACCGCTCCCGCGCGTCCGCGCGGGTGTCTTCTGTCTCCTCAGTGAGCGCGAGCACCTCTGGCAGGCCATACGAGTTCTTAAGGCGCTCGTCGGACTCCTGCTTCGCCTTCTCGACCTTCTTCTCCTCGCGGAAGCGCTTGCGTACTATCCGCGACAGGCTGTATGGGTCCGAGCCATAGTGGTCGGACACGTTCTGCAGCGCCTCCAGGCGGGGCACTTGCACTTGATTCATGTAGTTCTGAGCGTCTGTCGACTTCTCAAGGGCGGCGAGGGGATCTACCGGGGCTTCGTTTGGGTCTGTATCTGGTATCCGCGTCAGTATGGCGCGCAAGGCGAGTACCGGGAAAGATCTCACTGTGTATGGCGAAGCCGCCGTTCTCTTCAGGGTCCCACTCTTCGTCCTTCTGCCGTGCCCCTGACGTGACGATGTATCGGGTATTCTGCGCAGGTAGACGATACGTTATAAAAACAATGAGCTTTATGGCGGAGTACACACCTTGGGATCAGTCTGAATTTCGAACCACCCGTCGCACAGATGGCATTTGCAGCGGAAGGAGTATATCGGTGTAGAGAAGTAGTTTCCAATCTTCTTCTTCTCTGCGTTATAACGGACGCCCATTCCGATATGATTGTTGCATGTTCCGCTGCGTGTCCAGTATCAAGCAACTCCCGTTGTACAGCAGGAGTAGTGCCACATACCACCAAATGTTGAAAGGCAGCTCAAACCGTGTAATTAAAATACCCTGGTCAATCTTCCGCGCTCTGTCACCGAGGGCGTGCTTCCCTGAAGTTCACCCGGTGAATACAGTGCATAGTCGAGCGAGGTTCAGACACCCACCTCGGTATGCGTTGAGGCTCCCATGCTTGGTGCCATCATAGTCGGGTGGGTAGTATTTGTTGAATCCTGGGGCGAGGTGACTTCATACCACGACTTAGATGAGATTGTAAATCCACTGACCTTGCATGGTTGATGGTTCGGTGCAGTCGCAGTTGCCCGCGGAGAGCGAGCACGATGGGATCTCCCGATCGAAATTGTGTAAGCCGGCAACAGCCGAGATCACGTCCTCTCGACCTTCGAACTCTAATTTTCTGCATCCACACCATCAACAACACCTTGCCCTCAGGTTCGCGCCCGCTGTATATCTCTGCGAACGCTGCTCATTTTCCCCGCAGTCACCTTCTGACTCTCCAGGACATTAAGGATGAGTTACGTCGCTAAGGGAGAGAAAGAGTACGACGCCACCGGTGCCCCCGTGCCCGCGGCCAAGATCCACAAAATCCGTATCACGCTCACGAGCAGCAATGTCAAGAACTTGGAGAAGTGTACGTCCCCATGCCCACACCCAACACGGTCTCAATGATTAACATGAAACGTGCAACGCAGTCTCTGCTGACCTCATCAACCGGGCGAAGGACAAGCAGCTTCGTGTGAAGGGCCCCGTCCGCCTGCCTACGAAGGTCCTCAAGATCACCACCCGCAAGACTGTATGTACAATTGTGCATCGCTTAGCTTATGTATTGACCTCCGTGTGTTAGCCTTGCGGTGAGGGTTCCAAGACCTGGGACCGTTACGAACTCAAGATCCACAAGCGTCTCATCGACTTGCACTCCTCGAGCGAGATCGTCAAGCAGATTGTACGCGCTCAATCTCTATCACTCGTTTCTCCTTTCACTCACCGAACGTGCTACTGTAGACTAGCATCAGCTTGGAGCCCGGTGTCGAGGTCGAGGTCACCATCTCGGCTTAACGTCTCGTATCACACTGAGTCCATGTATTACGTGCGCTGTGTATCTATGGTCCATGAGCAAGTTGCATGATCCTGTACAAACCCGCGTGACTACTCTAATCCGTGAGGCATCCAGGCCTGGTATATGATAGTGTGGTATAGTTCTGCAGACCGTGTAACTGCGTCACTGGGTCTTGTAAGGACTGAAAATGCAGAAAACGTACAGATGGTGTCCATGCATAAGTTAGACGTAGATAGCGTACGATCCAATGACTGGCCGGTGGTCACTCCGGCCCTCCAGGCGGCGCATGCCGTAGTCGTCGAGAGAGCGGTAGCTCAGACACACGACGTCACCCCGGCGGGGAGGCGGGCTAGAGCGGGCTAGATCTGGAGTGGGCGAACCGGTTGGCCCTCTACTGTGTGAAGTCGGGTCGCGGTTGATGAAGGGGAGGAACCCGAACCACCGGGAAGCAGGAGGAGGGGTGCTTTGCATGTCGGAGAGCTCTGGCGTCCGGTTGGGGTGCCCGGACGATGGTCGTGGACTCGACAACACCGGTGGCATCGTCTGAGAATGCAGAAGAGGCACGGAAGTGGGCTTCGTCTGAGCTTGGGCAAGGCGCGCGGAAATCAACTCAGGCTGCTCCAGCGACGCACGGCGCCATGCTCTCTTAGCCTGCATTCCGCTACCCGATGGCAACGGAGATGCGGGACCAGGAAGGCAGTCCATAGATCTCGGTCTCGACAGCTGAATGGCCGCACTGGTGGGGATTTCCACACTGTCTTGCGTATTCAAATGCGTATTCACCATAAGTGTCGGGGTTCTAGGCGAGCCTGGCTGCATACCCGAGTAAGCGGAGTCCTTACGTGTGCGTGTAGGACGCAGAGCATGCAGAAGGCTGCTGACTCGCGTCCGGTATGGCTCAGGTTTTACGAGCTCGTCCAACTCCGGATCGACTGTCGACCTCCACAATATCCTATCGCACCTGAAGCACGCGCATTGTCAGTTGCGATTCTTCAGGAAATAAAGATGCAATACCAGCTAGGGACACGCTGCTTGTGAGATGAATCGTATATGCCCCTGTCCTCCGGGTTCATCTCTGACTCGTTCAGATCCGTGCGACTGCGAGAGAACGAGGTGGCCCCATCGAACGAGTGCATATCAGTTTGATTCTTGGGGGCGGTGATAATGTCGGTCTCCAGCGCTTCGCTGACTGCTGCAACGCTGACCTCTAGACTAGACAACGGACGCGAGTTACCATGCGGCGCCCGTCTCCGCTTGGAGAGTCGACGTGCAGGCCTCTGTTTGTCGGGTCCAGATAGTCGTTGGACCCACTTCGTTTTCACCTTGTGGGAAGTGACGGCTACCCATAGTCGCTGCGCTATATTGCCGGTGCGGACCTTTGCCACCGCGGTGGACAGAAGGTGCTTCGTATGTTGTTCCTCGGTAGTGTCCGCATCGATGGTGTATCTGGAGCGAACGGACGTCCACGTTGACGATGCGACAGATTCCGCATCTGCGTCTCCCCCCTCAGCCTGGGGTCCCCGGGTCTCAGCCTGACCGTACTCAGGGCCGCTCTCTTGAATACCAGTTAGGACTTTATCGTGCTTTGCTGGCGACGGCAGCGATTCTCGAGCAGATTTCCGCGACTTCGAACCCTTGATGGTACGCAAGACGTCATACTTGAATGTTGGTGGGAAGGTAATTGGCGCCTCATTGAACTCCACGAAGGCCTCGCCAGATTCCATGACTTTACGGAGCTGATCAAACGCGAGGGCCTGTCCGTACTCTGAAGAACAAGCTCAGAACGAGCGACCGGGAAACGACAATGCCAATTGTCACATACCTTTCCTGGATATCAGCCAGTCCGCATGCAGGCGACTGACGTCAAGCCGGAAGTTAAGATCGCCAAAAATGAATGTGTGGTCAAACCTATCGGTAAGATCTTGGGAATACTCAGCGCGCCGTCATCAAATGACCCGGTAGAACAAACCTTCCGCCATCTTTCGAGGGTCCGAGGATGACAAGAAATCATCTACGCAGAGCTCGGACTAGGTCGGGATATAGTGAGACAGACAATAGTGCCCTCGCACGCTGAGACGGACCTTGATTTTGGCGAGGTCAGCGAGACGATGTTGTACGCGGCCCTCGTGAGCTGAGAGGCCATCAGTTTGGGCGTATACATGCATAGAAGGGCCTACCAGCGAGATGCGCATTTATGAAAAGAAATGATGTGTCGTAGATCTTGATGCTAATGCCTATGCCCCCTTTATTACCCACTCTCCCCCCTATGAGGCCCGCTGTCACGGCAGATCTAGAGGTGCCTTTGTACGAAATGGACGGTAGAAGTAAGCTCCTGAGTAACACGAGACGGTATGCAATGGCACCTTGTACGAGATCTCGGCAGTTAATATTGATGAATACTGCAAGATACAGACCCATCATGCGCTCTTTGAGAAGTAATTCGTACGGCGCCACTTTAGCTGTAGGTGATTCCGCCTCTACAGACTTGGTATCGGCAGGCATGGAGGGCAGCTCTGGCTCTGAATGCGTCGTATATGGTATATGCGGGAGCGAGGTTGTGCTGCGATGAGTGGTGGGTGGGTTGCTGTACCACTGCTCCAACATAGACGACCACCCTGGTGTGTGGTCGCGAATGCTGTGATGATGCAAAAGTCGCTCATGCCTGTGTGCTTGGTGACCTTGTTCAATCTCGGGGGCACCTGCCAGCGCCTCCTGCGAGTGGGAACGCAGCAATTGATAACCTTGAGGACTCCCGCTCAGATGGCCGACGGATTTCGCAGGAGACCCGTGATATTTGGAATCCTTCCTGTTCAGCTCATCTTGTTTACGCCCATGAACGCTTTCAGGACGTCCCTTGTCCTTGTCTTTCAGTTTGAATCCCGCTCCCAGTGCCATGGGTATGCCTATGCATGCTATTAGCTGCTACATAACTTTGCGCTGCGCATACACCCTGACCTGATGCACTAGGACATTCCTGTCCCGCACTTGTGCTATAATGAGTGACCAAGTAAGACGCAGTTCAGGAGTGCACCTACACAACAACGATGTGATATGGATGCTCGTCGTCCAAGGGCAGCGTTGGAGGTCCAGCGTCCTTGTCCGGGCTAACAGGAATAGTAATGTGCGAGGGTAAAGAGCCCAGCAGCTCGGTCAAATCTCCCTACGCGAATGACCCGCGTTAGCTATACCAGGATACGCGGTTTACGACTGACCTTTGGAACAGAGTCATGCATATTCCAACTCATGATCCTGACTTTGATAAACTGTCTAGGTGCTGGGCCCGAGAGCGACTTGGGTGAGCTTGCCTGCGCGTCTGTCCTTGGAAGAGTAGGCTTCTTCACAAGCTCGATCGGGGACGATGGGAGCAACGCCTGCAATCGGGTCACCACAGATGGTCGCCCTACACTTTTCTCGTGAGAAGCAAGTGATGGGTCGGAGTGAGAGAGCCATACCTGCATTAACGCCGTCATGAGAGAGCTGAGGGTGAGGATTTCTCATCTTCGTCCTCTAGCCGTGGAAGTGTGCGTGGGGCTCGAGCACAACGTGTTCTAATCTGTCCCTTGACAACGACGGCAGGGTTAAGGCAGAAGTGGTTGCGTGCGCTGATGAATAGTATAGAAGAAAGAGCGAGTAATGCAGACGCTGGCCGACGCTGGTTCGTCGGCAAAGCGAGCACTGAAGCTGACATTGATAAACACGACCAGGGACGCATTGTTAGCGCTAATGCACATCTCCCGATTGACGTACTACCTGCCCATTTTAGGAAGTGTCTGTCCTGCTGAGATATTTATACATTCCAAGCAGCGGCAGCACTGGACTCACAGGGCAGGCGAGACTCCAAATCACTACTGAAAATAAGTTGAAATGCTACGGTGTATCATTATTGGTAGTCTATACTCTTCAAGAATTATAGACAATGCGTGCCCGGGACCGGAGCACGTAGAGTCGTTGTAGGCATGCATCGCCCGCGTCTTTATAACATAAACTTGCGAATAGCGTACTAAACTCGACGATGACATCTACGTAGTCCTAAATCCGTCATGTCTTTTCGTGCAACATTTTGGACTCAAGTATATTGGGGTAAGGACACATTGTCTTCCTCGAAATCTCTTCGCCTGTCATCCGGTTTGCTGCCCTTGTAATGCGAAGATATCTGATCAAGCGGTGAGACAGCTTGACCTATTTGACTCTCCTTTGACGAAAGATATGTAGTAAGGGCTTCCCACCGCGCCTGGGTATGGACTGGAATTTGGTGCAAATGACATATATTCCCCCTCCTCAAACCCAGCTATGTCTCATAAAAAGTCGGCATTATAGTCTCTGACACTTCGAGTAATCGACTCCAACCAGAGCATCGAAGTGGACGCACAGCGAAGGAACGACGAAGCCGACATAGGCCGGCGTCCGAGACATAAGCTAAAAGAGGACAGATTCCCACGGCCGTGAGCCCCATCCTCCGCTCCTCTCAACCTCGCCCGCAACTCCCCCCGCAATCCACAGCATGCATTCCGAAACCACGGACTTGCACAGACAATCGCCAGACAACAGATCTGCTTACTCGCTCGCCACCGTTCACGACCCGTCTTCGCCCACCGCCCGCACGTCGCTCCTTACCCACCAGTCGGACGAATCCACTTATGGCACCACCCCGCCCGCTGGGCCCTCCAACAAGAGGATCCTCTTAAACGCGACATTCAAGATGGCCGCCATTTTCGTGCTCAGCACCGCGTTTCTCGGCGGCACGCTCTGGCTAGCGCTGCCATCTCTCGACGAGTGAGTGGTCCCAATGCGGGTCGCTCCGACTCGGAGTCTCACCCTTATTTCCGCGCAGAGAGGATCGACCCAACCTGCGAGTCCCCAAGTCGTTTGCCCAGCTACAGGCCCTTAACGCCCTCCTCAAGAAATATCGCAACATTTATCCATATCGCATTGTCGTTTGCTATGTGATCACATATTTGTTGTACGTCCGCCCCTCTCGGCGCTTGTCTCGACACTTACTCACGCCCGCAAAACAGTCTGCAAGCGTTCTCTCTCCCGGGGTCCATGTACCTGTCAATCCTCGGCGGTGCTGTGTGGGGGATGCCCCGCGCGCTCCTGCTTGCGTGCACCTGTGTCGCATCCGGTGCGACGCTGTGCTACCTGATCTCGGCCGCGCTCGGCCCCGCAATGCTCACGATGCCAAAGTGGAAGGCGCGCGCAGACGTGTGGGCGGAGAAGATCAACGCACAGCGGGACAACCTTATATCGTACCTCATCGTACTGCGCATTGCGCCCGTGCCACCGCACTGGGTGGTTAACGTGCTGTGCCCGCACCTGGGCATCGGCATCGTGCCATTCTGGATCAGCACCTGGCTAGGCATCCTCGGCGTGACTGTCATTCACACCACGATCGGCGGTAGTCTTGACGATATGACATCGCCCGCCGACTTCCACCTCATATCTTGGAAGAACTTCTTCATGTTAGCTGCCGTCGTCGTCGGTGTGATGATCCCCGTTGGATTGCGCTATTTCTTCAAGCGTGAGCTTGCGACCGTCGTCGACGTCGAGGCCGACGCAGAGTCTGTCGCTGAGCGCTACAGAGATGACGACGAGAGTGATTTGTTGCTCGAGGAGGGTCCGCGCGTTGACCAAGCGAAAGGCAAGGCGACAGATCTCATCGTATTGTCGGACGAGGAAGACACATACTCCGACCGCGATTCGGACGAGGACATCATCCTCGAGGCTGGACCGGCGCTGGTGGTCAAGCTCGGTGACAAGCCTGGTGAGCCTGCGCGACGAGACTGGCGTCGGGAAGACTTGCTATGACGTTACGACCCCAGGCGGTCACGGACGCTTTCCGGAGATGACCACATGTAGACGCGTGTGGGCTGTATATTCTGCTGTGCTGCTGGTGCTGATAAAATTGTTCGATGACGTTGTTTTAGTTAGACCCCGGGGCTGGTTCTCAAGTACTAAACACTTGTTTGTAGTTTTCTTGCTACGAGCTGTATCAATAATAATTTGTGCTGTGGATGATAGAGTTACGCTGAATTACAACGTGTGTGCCGCGCCGGCGGCCAGATATTGTGAGACTGGCCTGGTCCGATAGGTGTATAGCTCCCTGCCGTTCGTGTCTTCTGCCACAATTAGGGCCTGGTCATTGGCCGCCAGGTGTCGGAATGTATGTATCGGGGCATGTGTCTTGCCCGAAACATCGTCCGGGCTGAGTACGGAGAGTCAGATGGCCCGCATGAGGCGGCAGGTGCGCTGGCTGTAGGCTGTCATAAGCGCTCAAAGGCCGCACTGGCGCTTATACGGTCCAAAGCAGTACACCGAGTGAGACGCGCGGCGACGAAAACAACTGACTCGTCGTCGAGCACAACGCGCATTGACCCACCGACGCACACGGCGTCTTTGTTCCACCGTCGTCGAGGCCGGGTCGTAAGAGAATCGAGGAGGATAATAGAGTTGAGGCTGGGTTGAAGCTCCGCCAGATTGAGTGGCAAGTGTATGCGAGTGTATGGGCCGCCCGCATTCGGGCCTTGACCGAGCGTCCTTCCCTGTCGTTCTCTCCTCCCACCACCATCCCCCGCCCCGTCCCCCTCCCGCTCGTCTGCGACGACCAGCCCCGTCTCACGACGACCATCGTCCCCGCCCCTCCCGCCCCTCTTCCTCCATTCATACAGTTTCTTACCCCTCCCTCCTCCCGCCGGGCCTCGCGCCCCCCCGCTTTCAGCTATGGCCGATCGCCTCCCCCAGCAGTATAATATGCTCCCCAACAACTTCCCAGCCGGCCTCGCGCAACAACAACAGCAGTCCCAAGGCATGCTCGACCCACAGATGGGCATGAATCTCAACGTGCAGGGCCTCCAGGGCCCCTCCGACCAAGCGCGCATCTACGCACAGATACAACAACAGCAACAGCAACAGCAACAGCAGCAGCAGCAGCAGGTGATGCAGCAGTTTAGGAACCAGGCTGGTGGTTCAATGCCCGGTGGTACAAGCGTCGCTCAGAACCCCCGGGTGCGTTATTTCCTTCTTTTCTTCCGTTCACCTTCACCCCGGCCCCATCCTCTTTATCTCGTCTTTCACAATATTCCCTCGTTTCTTTCTCTACCCATCGCTGGATGTACCGCCCGTGCCTCACCTCTGCCTCGTCCCTCGACCCGCCGTCTTCGCATTTGGTCGGACTTTACTCACGCCCGCCTGCTTACGTCATCACGTGCGGCGGTCGAAATTAGCCCCTTGTCTTCCGTTTATACAGTCGCTAACGGCAAATTCGTTTCCAGATGTTGGAGTTCCTTGCTCGCAATGGCCAGCAGCAGAAGATGCCCATGCAGTTTCCCGCTCGGATGAACGCAGGCAGCATGCAGCCCACCGAGGCCCGGATCCAGAATCAGAACATGGTGAATCTCCTCCAGACCAATTATACGCCTCAGCAGCAGCAGCAACTCCAGGCGCTCCTCCGTGCAAATCCCCATTTCATGGCGAATCCGCAGTTTGCCAAGGCGGACCCTCGGCAGCAAATGCAGTTCATGCAGATGGCACTAACTCGGCGGCCAGACGTACCTATCAACATGAATGCTGTCGCACTCCAGCAGCTCCAGCAGCAGCAGCAACAACAACAACAGCAGCAGCAGCAGCAGCAGCAGCAACAACAGCAGCAACAGCAGCAACAGCAGCAACCTCAACAACAACTGCTGCAACAGCAGCAACTACAAGGCCAGCCACGTCCGCCACATATGCAACAGCAGCAACCACAGCAATTTATGCAACAGCCGCATCTAGGGCAGAATTTTGGCGCATCGATTGGTCAGATGCAGGGGCAGCTGCCGCAAAACTTCAACCTTGGCATGCTACGGCAGTCGCCGGAGGCGAACCATGCTCAGTCGTCATCGAGCATGCAGCAGCCCGGCGCCATGGGCACTCAGCAATTCATGATGCAGGGCATGTCACAGCTTGGTCAGCAACAGCCGCAATCGCAACAACACAATCTACCTCAGCGGCAAGATATCCCGCAGACGCAGGCCAGCATCCAACAGGAACGGTACTCCCAGCTGCGTCAACGCGCACAAGCCTGGACGGCGAAGATTAAGTCACTAGAGCAGGATCTCGCTCACCATAATCAACAGCGCGCCGCGATGCCCGAGATCACCCATCAGCTGAAGGCGAAGCAATATACGGACCAGATCAACCGATTAAAGGACGATTTGCACAAGATGTTCAATCTCATCAAGGGGATGGCGGACGTGAGTTCGCAACAGCGAATGCCCTCAAACCCAGGCGATATGTAAATGCGTTCCACCCTCTTCTGTTCCTCGGTACTAACAAGTTGCAGGAATGGTGGGCCAGCGTCGCACCACCCGGCGCAGAACAATCCACAACAGGGATCATCTTCGCAATCATTTCAGCCTCCGTCAGCGCCCCAGCTTCTGCCCGATGCGTCATTACAGCAGCAGAATGTCCACACGAGTACGCCGCGCATGACCTCGCAGCTTGTCAACCAGATGCAGCAAGGTCAGCGCCGCATGGCAACACCCGTGCAATATCCCCATGGTGCGCCCCAGACGTCGCCGATGCCGCGCCAACAGGTCCCCGCTCAGATGTCCGGCGGGTCCGCGCAGCGGATGGATGGACCGCCGCAGCGCCAACCGCTGCCGACTCTTGTTCCGCAAGCGTTCGCCCATGCGTTTGAGAACTGGACTAAACGCAACAACACGGCAGTCGACCGTTCGCAATTGCAATTCGAGGGGCGCCCGATTGACCTTCACGCGCTGCACTCCGAAGTCAACATCTCCGGTGGTCCAGAGGCGGTACGTCTTGATTGCCCGTCAGTATCTTCCATCCTACTTAGCGTGTTTGTTATGTGCACACAGGCGGAACGTGATGACCTGTGGCCCGTCATTGGTGGTAAGCTCGGCTTCATTCAGTTCTTAGCGACAGAGAACGAGCCAGCAAAGTCGGGCCTTGGCGTCGCGCAACACCTGCAGAACGTGTACAAGAAATATCTCCTTGCTTTCAACACCGCGTATTTGGCCTCGCAGCGAAAGCAGCAGCTCACCGTCCGCCATGCGAACCCTGCGGGACCTCAGCAGTCCATGCCGAACATGAATGCCCAGCAGCATACTCCGTCTACGGCAAGCGCACAGAACGGTCCGACACTCAACGGAATCAACGATCCACACATGCTCAACACTCTGATGCAGTACAGTCAGTTTCCCGCAGAGCAGCTTCTGCGCCGTGGCGTAGCTTCCAATATCGTCAACGTCGTAGAGGCGAACCGTGCGCTTCTTCAACAAAGCTTGCAAAAGCAGGCCGAGTTCCGCGGTGGGGTCGCCAACAGTATGCAGGCCACGAATAATGTACCCGGCGTACAGCACAGGGGGACGCCTGCGGGTAACATGATGTTCCCCAACAACGTGGGCCAGCAACCAAACACTCAAGCGGGTGCAGCCGCTATGGCCAACGGGGCGCGCCCGCAACAAGGCGGGCAGATGATGTCGGGTCAGGTAGGGAACGCATTGCAGGGAGGTCCGGCTCTAGAGCAGCCGAAGAAGCCCTCCGCTGACAGCGTCAAGCCGTTTGTTGGCCTCGACGCTGGTCGATTTCCTACCGAAGCCGAGATTAAGCAGGCGAGTCTGTACAAGGAACTGCTGCTCGAACAGTTGATACGGCGTACGTCTTTTTCGTACATGCTACCATCCGACGTGCAGTACTCACCTTTCTTAGCAGGTATACACAACATGAGACCGCAACATATTCCGCCTGAACATGAACCGGAGTATGCTGCGGTCTTCCAGGAGCTCTGTGGCTACGCCGGCCGGGTATTTCCTGCTCTGGAGCTCCTGATTTGTGCATACCATGACCATGTCGTCAAGAAGGTTATAGCTGCGGTAAGCCGATTAAGTGAAACGTGTGTTATTGCGCGACTCACCTCTTGATGTAGACCATGACTGCTCTTCGTCAGAAAGAGCTCAGTGACCAGAAAGGTAGTCCGTACTACCTGATCGGTCTTGAGAACATCCGCAACATCACCAATACGATGAAGGCTGCTGCTGAAGCCATCCCGTATAGAAGCATGCGCCAATCTCATCTTCCTCCCGCGCAGCAAGGCAACGGTGGTCACTCCCCGGCCCCTCAGCAAAGGCCTATCACTATCCCACCCTCTCCGCGACAGCCCCACCAGCCGCCGCACCCGCCATCTGTCCCTCAAGTCCCAGAGCAGCCGCCCTTTTCACATCTGCTGTCTACTCCCCCAATGAAAGCAGCGACACCGCAGCCCGGAAAGAGACGGCATAACCCACCAGGTTCTTCGCCCGCAGAGCACGCACCGTCAACCTCAACGCCGCCTGCTTCTGCCTCGACGCCAGCTGCGAACGCGCAGACGCCGGTGCACACTGCGAGTTCACCGCAGACGCCGCAGACGCCGAAGACGAAGGCGCAACCGCGACCGAAGCCTCGGCGCCCGACGAAGGCTAAGCCGCAAACCCCGGCCGCCGTTCCTGCGTCTATTCCTCCTGCTGCTACCACTGCTCCTGCTCCTACCTCCGCTCCTACGCCTTCACACGTTCTCGCACCATCGCCAGCGGAACCCAAGATCGACACACCCGCTGCGACGCCTTCATTACTGCCTTCAGCAGCGACACCGGACGTGGGTGTGAAACGCCCCCGGGAAGAGGAGCCGACGGTCGTGGGTGGCACCCCGAATGGTGCGCCATCCCCGAAGAAGATGCGGACAGAATGGGAGGATTCTACCGACGTGCTAGTCAAGAAGGACGACTCGGTCGATCACATTCAGAACGAGGCTGATGCGTGTCAGTTTGTCGAGACTGTCATGTCTGACTTGGAGCAGATCTTCTCCACACCCGAGGGCGCCGATGCTGTCTCACTCGCAGGAATTTCGATATCGGAGACACTGGAACACATTCTGAAGGGCATCACTTCTTCCACGGAAAGCACGGATGCCTCATCATCTAGTGGAGGTTATAGTGATGCCCTGGACCTGTCCGGTTTCTCGTCGACCCCGCCCAAGCTGGACGGCTGCGAAGAGTACTTTGATTTCTCATCATTCGGTCCAGGTGAGGACGAGATGGCATCGAAAGCTCCAACACCGGATCTTGTACCAGCATCGTCGACGAATCCAAGTCCTGGCTCAGGATCGGGATCGGATATTGAGAGCGGACATGGATCATCGTCCTTCGACTCTGCGAAAATTGCTGGTGTGGATGGAGACGACTCTGAAATCCTGCGGCTAGGGATGTGGCAAGAAGTCGACGGGGGACTGGGTGCATACTTCAACCCGTCGGACATGTGGAAGTGGGACGGACCGATGCCATCAGCGGACGGCTGGGCGATGTTCACATAGAAGGAGTGGATCTGAGGGCTGTGTATGTGGTTTATTTGCTGGCGCAGGCTATGTTTTATATTGTGCTGCTAGTCTTGCGGATCTGTCTGATGTCTTTTCCTTGTCTATCTCAATGTCTGTCGTCGCATCTGCTGTTGTGTCTTTTGATTATACGCTGTGTATTTCTACCATATACTAGTCTAGCCATCATCGCTTACTGCTCGCGGAGTCACAATCGTCAGCTAATTCGCCGCTCCCCGTGAAATTGAGTACATGTTTCGGGTGTGCTGTCTCACGCTGCACTCCGCATGTTGTGGCTGCATAATGCTTCCAAGTCCCCAGGACATCTCTACGCTCTGCTCGTTCTGCTTCACACCGCGAAGGTCCTGTGCGAACGTTCGTAGCTCGACGTATTCCTCAGCCTCGGGACCTTCCACACACCCAAAACCTTCCGCCCTGTGCGGTCTCTGACATAGTAGCAAGTCGTCACAGGCACCATGGATTTCAATGCCATATCGGAGAATGCTTCGAGGCTGGGGGCTCGCTTGCAAGAGACATTCTCAGAGCATACCAGGGACCTAAACCTTGCCCGGGCCTCGAGCTCGGCGTACCTGGACAATCCGGAGGAGAAGGTGAAGAACATTAAGAAACAGCTCGACTCGAATAGCGACAGGGAAAAACTGGAGGCAATGAAGCGACTCATAGCGGTACGCTTGCCATGCTGCGTCAGAATGTGTCCGCTCATCAAGTAGAATTTAAATGCAGCTCATTTCGAAAGGCCGCAATGTCTCTGAATTCTTCGCTCATGTCGTCAAGAATGTCGCGTCTCATAATCTCGAGGTCCGCAAGCTCGTCTACATCTACCTGCTCCGTTATGCGGAACAGGAGCCCGACCTCGCCCTGCTCTCTATCAACACATTTCAGAAAGACCTCTCCGACCCGAGCCCCCTCATTCGCGCCATGGCCCTCCGCGTTCTCTCGGGAATACGTGTGCCCATGATAGGCAGCATTGTTGTGCTCGCCATCAAGAAATGCGCCGCGGACATCAGTCCGTACGTGCGCAAAGCCGCAGCGCTCGCCATCCCCAAGTGCTACAGGTGCGTCTGCGCTCATGCGCCTGCTCTGGATGGTTTGGGACTTCCTTCTACACAGCTTAGACCCATCTCATCAGCCGGAGCTCATTACCATCATCTCAACACTCCTGCGTGACCGGTCGCCCCTCTCCGCGGGGAGTGTTGCTGTCGCATTCTCGGAAGTCTGTCCTACCCGCCTGGATCTATTGCACCCACACTATCGACGGCTTTGTCGGACATTGATCGACGTTGATGAATGGGGTCAGGTTGATCTACTCAACCTGCTAACGCGCTATGCTCGCACCATGTTGCCGCGACACACAGTGAGCGCGGACTCTGGTGCAGAAGAGATAGACAGCGACCTCAAGCTTGTGCTCACGTCTGCGGAGCCGTTGTTTCAGTCACAGAATCCTTCGGTAAGTGTATCTCTGCGCGCATTCACCCAGTGCTGACCGCCCTTGCAGGTCGTCCTTGCAGTTGCACGAGTCTTTTATTACCTTGGACCACCGTCAGAAGTCTCCAAGGTTGTCTGCCCACTATTACGTCTGCTACCCACAGCGCCAGAAGTAGAACGCGTCGTGCTTGCCCACTTGGTCGTTGTCTCCCGTACACTGGCGGTAAAGTCATTCCCCGCGCTCGTAGGGCACGGTACTCATTGGCATTCAGCAAGCGCTGTCTCCTTTCTACAACCGATTGCTCGTACGCGCAGATGATGTGCGACAGGTCAAGAAGGACAAAGTACGACTCCTCTGCGCAGTCATCTCAACGGATAACTACCAACCTCTGCTGCGGGAGTTTATTGTCAGTTTCCCTGCACTGTTCCCCTCCACGTGTAACTCATGGCCTCGCATGTCAGACGTACGCGGATGACACAGACGATGAACTAGTGGCAGATGCGATACGTGCTATTGGGTACTGTGCGCGCCTTATCCCGGATTCAACACAGCAATGTTTGACGGCCCTGATGTCTTTTATTCAGAGCAAATACGGTTTGCATATATCGCTCAAACTATGATCTCTTGCTTATTCTTAAATGTCCCAGATGTCGTCGTTGCCCATGCCGTCCTCGTGCTGAAATCGCTCGTGCAGATCAGGTTGCAGTCTCCCGTCTCTGCATCTATTTCTGCAAGCACTTCCACCTCCCCTCTCTCCATCATTGCTCGTCTTGCATGGCGCATCGACGAGATTCATCATCCCAAAGCGCGTGCATGCGTACTATGGCTCGTTGGGCAGTACGCCGCGGTTGAGACTCAGGAGAACGGAGCAAGCCTACATGCCGGCATCGAGGGCGTCGCGGATTGGGCCCCTGATGTTCTCCGGAAGTCAGTCAAATCATTTGCCGCCGAGGTACGGATGCCGCATAACGTGCTGCTATGCGTAACACCGTCCTGACACGGAATGTCGATCGCAGGCACCTATCGTCAAGCTGCAGATCCTGACGCTTGCCGCGAAGCTGCTCGTTTTGTGCCCGACAGACCGCACGCTTGAATTGCTGAGCCGCTATGCTTTCGCTTTAGCTCGCTATGATCTGGACTTCGACGTACGAGACCGCGCACGTATGTTGAGTTCGCTGCTGTCTGGCGTGAACGCTGCTGTCGTGCACGACGGGGAGTCGTACGAGGATCCAGGGGGTGTCACGCTGAGACGCGAGCAAGTCAGGATGATCCTGTTTGAAGGCAAGCTTGGTGTGTCAGAGCCCTCAGATTTCGGTATGTCCGGTTCAGCGGTCATTTCCCGAATTGTAGGGCTGACATGATAGCGTTAGAACATGAACGCCTGTCTTTCGGAAGCCTGGGAGCTGTGACAAGGAGGGAGTTCATTGATAGCTACCTCCCCGATTGGCTGGAGGAGGGAACAGAGTCCTCGCTGCGCGACTCTGAGGACGATGCCCCACTTGTACCAGTGCTCGCTCAGATATCCTCTCAGTCAGCAGTGCCACGCTCTATGTCATCGAGAGCGTCGCCCGTCATCCTGACGCCAACCAATGGAATTTCGCCTTCCAGCTCATTACGACAAGACGGTTCCAAGAATGACTGGTCAGATCTTGACAAATTTTATGAGGATACAAATGGCATTGAGGAGAGCGAGGAGAGCGAGGAGGAAGAGGATAGCGAAGAGGAAGTATCGACGGAAGAGGGTGAAGCCACTGAAGGCAGCGATGAGGAAGCGGACGAGAGCGCAGACGAGCGAATACACAGATGATTTACAGTAGTTGGTGCAGCGTCCGAAGTAGCTATCCCTAAATAGGCAATTGCAACCTCTTCATGGGTGTTACAGTGCGACTCCTTCAGGAATCTTGTAATACAACGGCTGGAAAGGACGGCACGGCCTTCAATTACTACATGCTTGATAATTATGGAGGACGACATACCGTGTTAAAGACGTGGTAACTATGTCCTCGCTTGCCCCCGACTTCAGGATAGTATTCTTTCGGGAACCACTGGCATTATACGAAGCCCTGTGAACGAGCAAACATAGCAGCAGAATGAAATGGACTGACATGGACCTCCGGAATCTCTTCCTTCCAAGCGCGAAGGTAGCGGGCATTATCGGAGTCGTCCTGCACGCCAGCACCGTTTTTGGGTACGACAAACTGCCCAATCTGCAATTCCGTGTCTGTGATCGTGCTTCTCGAGACGCGCGCGTATGACGTTCGGTATAAGCCTCGATAGAAGATATATTCACACCTACGCATATCGTCGATTCTTGTCAGGAATGTTACAGGAGGTGAGGTAAAACGGTAAAACATACCATCGGTCCCAGTCTTGTTCATCGATGTCATGAACACGCCCATCGGTTACCATGATCTCGTATGGAGCGGCTGTCAAAAAGAGGTGAGCAAGGACGAGCGCACTTTTATGGCTAAGGACCAACGCCTCGACGCCAGCGGCTTTGTCACCACGTATCCCAGGAAGATGACAGGATTTGGATAGCTATTTGACATAATACGAGCGAGCTCTGTCGCCTGTAGTTCACGGTCTAAGGGAGTCTCCTCTAAACAAAGCATTCTATCAGACGCAGGTGTGAGGTAATTTGCGTGCTCACACACCTTGTCCATTGTGAGAGACAACAACCGTGACCTCCGTTCCATACATGTCGAGCACGGCTTCAATAGCGGGCGCTAACTCTCCGTGAGGCGAGGGAAGGAGGTGATGCGTTGAGTTGAGAATTGGGAACTGCCACGGGCTATTAGCAGATGACACAGAAGTAAAAGGGGACTTCAACCTTAGAAAGCAGGATAGCACCCCAAGTGTGGCTATTAGGACCAGGGCCTATGTCGGCGTACTTTGTACAATCTCAGATGATTCCTAGTCATGCATGCGGGATGTTACTCACATAACCCAATTTCTCCACCATCACCCGCGTGCTATAAGTTGAATCAACTACTGTTTCATTGTGTTAGTAGCGCAATCTCGCTCACAGGTCTCTGTTTCCAAACACAGTGCGCTGGGATTAACCATGGCTAATCAATACACTCCCGGTGAGTTGAATTGTATACGTACATGTAAATCCGTCTCGAGCAGCCCCACTACGTCCAACTCCATATCCCTGGTGATGGTCACGAGTTGCCCGTCTAGCTGCTGACTGCGCGACGTACTTTATGAGATCCCTCATCCGACGCTGACTGTCTCTGCCTTCATTGTCTATGCCAAAGTGGACCGTCCATATTCCAGCACGAACGATTCTTGCATCTTGCCGGTAGGGCTTGACGACAACCGTTGGCCATCTATACATCGTCACCAAGAGAGACAGAATGGAGAGCACTGCAGCAGCGCTCAGGAACGCAAATCGAGAGCTGTACATAGAGGAAGCCAGGGGCGCCTCAGGTCGCCTGCGAGGCCATCGGAATGTTAGGGCCAAAGCCATCATCTGGGTAAGGAGTACACTTGTGATTGTATGGTTATCGCATTGGGCCAGTGTCATTGGGTACGGCTGTAACTCACAGGTGCATACGCTCCCGGAAGTACTCTCCTCCCGGAACGAACGCGTAGGCCACGGTGAAGACATTGACGACGACGAAGACAGATACAACAAACCACGCTACGAATAGTGTTCTTGCTATTTTGCTTGTTGCTGTTGCCTTGCGTAGAATCAACGGTGTCACAGACATGAGGAAGACAGCGAAGTTCAGCCCGCCAGCATATCCGCGCCAGTTCTTGTAGGCGCACATGTAGTACGCAGAAGCACCACCATAAGCAAGCCAGAGCGGATGGAGCAAGACATCTGATGCATCAAGACCGAAATAGTCAAGAAGAAGAGGAAGGCAAAGACCGATAGCCTGAGCAATGTGCGTGAGGGAGCCGTGTAGGTGCGGAACAGGGCCCTGCACAGGATAGCCCGTCCAGCTCCATGCGATCAAAGTTGCCGGGTCTGCGAGGAGACAGTGCAAGGTGAAGATAAGCGAGCCCAGAGACAGGGCTCCGCCGAGCCAGGTGCCTTCGGTAGAGTGTGTGTCGTGTTTCTTCTGTCTCTCCGTCTGCATAACCGCTGGAATAGGTTCACGAGTGGCATAGTTGTAGATGGCTAGACAAGCGAGCACGATCCCCGTCTTGTTGTAACCACCCGATTGCTCATTGACGATTGGCCATACTGTCGAGCAGTCTTCAATGTCATGCAGAGAAAGTAGTATCGAAATTGTTACCTGGAACGTTCGAGTGGTTGGCATGCTTCGCAATGGAAGACAGCAGGAAACCGAGACAGAACACTCGAAGAATTGTTATCCGTCAACGGCAAGCAAAACCCGCAAAGATGTGGGAAGGACTCACTGATTCCGTTATAGCTAGCTTCCCCGCTCGTCCAATCGACAGCGATACCAATATTCGCCGCTGCTACAGCGAATGCGACCACACACAACCGTTGCAGAGGTGAAGACAAGACATATGCCGCCAGCCCTGTCAGAGAAAGCACATGTAAGATTGTCCTGCCCGATCGAGTGCGGCACCACTCCGAGAATGGTGAGATTCCGAGGAGTATGGGAGACACCGTAGACAGAAGCGACAGCTCTTGGCCAGCGATCTCTAGCGCCCACACAGAGAAATAGAACAGCGAGGGAGTCAGTGAGGTGAGAATTGACCAATAGATGAACGCTACAGAACACAGTCAGACGTGGGGGAAATATCGTGCCGTTGTTTGAGCACATACACAGGTACAGGTCGGCCAAGAAGTCAACAACAGGTCTCATTGCAGTCGCAATTGATCGCAGCATGAAGGTCCGGGCTGGTTGTGATGCACCCGCCTTCGACCTATGGGCCTCGGGCGCAGCCTTCTCTGCCAAGTGTGAAGAAATTGAAGCTGATGTAGATTCGACCGTGCGATGTGACGTCTTAGCGAGCATAGACGTGACAGCACTATTGCATTCGTTAACATGTTTCAGTCATCACAACGGACATAGATCTACATTTCGTCCTCTGCCGGCATCTTCCTACTGAGTGATTGACCGACGGCAAGCTAGACGGTATAACGAGTCAATGATGCCAATGAGTGAGCGAGAGAACGATAGACCTCACCTGGAGGTCCGCGGCCCTCAGATCGCACTCAATTGCGGAGTCGAATAAAATGTCGAAGAGGACCACTAGCCATTCAAATATACTGTATTTGGAATACGCTGCAGCATGGGGTAGAGCACGAATCGTCTGTCTGTGTGGTATATGAAGCGACGTGCTTGTTGGACTAACCTCCGGGAATCCTTTTTGCCTTGTGCTGGTAGAAGAAATAACCCATAGGAATCAAAGACCCCCAGAACCTGAAATTCGATCAGTTTGGGAATTGCAAACATGCTCTTGATACTCACAAGGCTACGGTGGTTTTCCTTGCTCTGAAAGTGAGCTTAAGTCACCACAACTATATAGGGGCCTACCTAATTCTTCGCGCGAGCGGGTCTCTAGCCCGACGAGCCATCGTACCCCACATCCACGGAATATTGAGTACAATGTAGCTGATCATCAATATGTCGTGTGCGTCATGGTCGTCTGTCGATGTGATGTACACCCAGCCACCGCATGAGAGAGTTCGCAGTATACCGCAGAGCATAACGAAACCAGGAAGACTGCTGCTCGAACTACGATATAAGTAGTATTGCAGTAGAACAATCGCAAGGCGTGGCCCTTATTCATTCCGTGAGCATCTCTCTTAGAGTGCACTTGAACCTGCTCTATGCTTACCGGAGTTCAATGCAATCAAGATTTGGAAAATGTTCCGCTCCGGATACCAGTCGCCGATGCTTCACGGCCAGCACTTGAGCAGCTGTCAATATGGACAGATAGAGACTTACGTTGCGGAGACCGATGGGATCCATTCGTCAGGCCACCCCGCAATTCCATTCTTCACAATTCGCTTATAATGTAGGGCGCACCCCATGAGGAAAGCGGTGGCGAATGCTGAAACCGCTAAGATTGTATGCGCTCGGGCGATGTACCATGCAGGGAACGCCAATTGACTTGGGCGTGCCATTTGGCCCCGAGATGGGACAGACATTGTTGAGGTAAAAAGTTGTACTAGTATCGAGACGAGATTTAGTGCAACCTCAAGTCTGGCATTCATAGCTACTTACCAATTGAATTACAAGAGTGGGGCGAAGTGCGAGTACAAATATGCGTACAGAGCACACATACAGCAGGTATGACACAGGGCAGACTATACAACTGCCAATACTACTGCAGTGAACGTGGCTGTAGAATTGCCGTCGAAGGCGGAGTTAGGGACGCTAACAGACGCTAACCTGTGCTGCAAGTTCAACGCGTCCCGAGCGCGTCCGAGACGCGCGCCCACAGCTGGGCTTGACACGTGCATACCGCTACAGCGTCTGTACCCCATTTGGAACCGCTATGGAACCGCTATGGAACCGCTAATTGCATTAAAAACACAAGCAAGACTGTAATCCAGATCCAACGAGGATATACATAAGGAAAGATCACTGGACATACAACACAGAAACACGGCGCCCCACTCAACTTCTCCAGTACTGCGCCCAGTCATGCATCCGGTCCAACACAACAGTGAAGGGCGATATATCGTTCAGCAGCTTCTCGAAATGCTCGATTGCCTGCTCTTCTGTCATGTCCAAGCAGAACTTGCCTAACACCTGCTCATGCACATCGCGATGCTTGATGTGAGGGATGTTCGCATCGACCATCAGCGTGACCAAGTTCAGTATGAGATTGGCACTCTTGCGCAGGATGGTGAACGCAGTGAAGCAGAAGTTCTTGAAGCGCGTGTAGTGGACCGACTGCACGCCGCCCATCGCGTCAACCATCTCTTTGCAGACCTTGACAGGAGGCGCGAGGGGCTTCGGGTCTCGCCCAAGGATATAACCAAAGTCAACTACGAGCGCAAAGTTAGTCGATCTCCGCAAACATCCCGCAGCACGACACACCATGGAAGAAGTGCCCTGCGGAAAGAAATTGTTCAGATCATGACGTCAATGTAGAAAATGCCAAGGCGACCAACCATCGGGAGCTAGCAAAAGGTTATCTAGATGGCGATCTCCGACACCCAGCAGGTACGTCACGACGCAATAGCCAGCTGTGATACTGTGAGCTTCTTCATCATAAAGAGGCACATAACAGCGCACTCACCACAGCTCTTCACGAATGTGTCAATCACACCCGGCTCAACGCCGAACGTGCCCACGCTCCCTTCATCAGGATAGTGTGCGCGTAGATAGTTCAGCAGCGTGCCATATTCGCTTACGATCGCCGCGATCGTCTTGCTCGGAATGAACTGCGCCATGCCTTGTGACGGGCCCGTCGCAAGTACGTCGTACGGGCTTAGCTTCAAGTCCAGATTCTCTTTCCTCAGCAGGCGGTCCATGAGGGTAAATAACTGTATCACGAGCTGGTCCTGCCGCATATCGTCCCCATCCTTGAAGATGAGTGGGTACTCGCCGCCGTCTGCGCACTGAAAGTAGAGCAGCATCGGAAACATGTTCGACTTGAACACGCTTGACTTCTCGGCGACAATGCCCGTCACCTGTACTCGCGCGTTCAGCGGTAGGGGCAGCGGCGGCATCGACGCGAGGTTGTTCTTCGAGTCTGCGAGGAATGCACGCAACTTCTCGATCTTCTTCGGCCGTGGATCCTTCGACGTCCGCAAGTCTCTGGCACGCTTTGCGAGTGTTTCGACAAGTTCTCCCTGGCGACGCATAAGATCTCGGCGCTCGACGCCACCCTCCGACTAGTGCGAGCGTATATTAGAAGGCTGATCCATTGAGCAGAAAGCGAGGTGGACATGTACCTCGAGAAGCTTGCTCATAAACTTGAATACTACCCTCCCATACATCTTGGCGATAATCTGGTCTTCCATGGCAATTTCAACCATGAGGTACCAATGGAATCTATTGCCCAATATCGTATTGCGCACAGCGCGCACAATGAGAAAGTCGGCGAGACCGCTGTCGTCGTACGATATAGCGCTGGATGTCGACCGTGACGAGCGCTGGTCGCTCGCAACGCTCTCGAATTTAAGTGCTTGGACCAACTGGAGGAGGTAGAGTAACAGCTCCTGCATTCCCAGATTGAGTGGACCATCGCGAGGGACATGAGGATATGAAGATCACTCACATCATCATCCGCCCTGTTAAGCTGTTTCACTGCAAATGCCCTCACACGCGAGTCAACGGTACTGGGACCAAGCAGCTCCAGCGCATCATCAGTGTCAATCTCTGTCCACTGTGGTAGCAACTCCTCCACAGCCTGCTTAACCTCTGAAGGATCCCGCCAGGTCACGGACTTGAGGAACTTGGTGAGTCCGCGCCTGTCCCTTGTAAGATAGAAACGGAACTTCCAGATAAGATCCTTTTCTTCCGATGTCAGTGGCTGACTCGGCGCATAGTTTAGGATTTCCTACAACGAGGAGCCATCAACTGAGGTCCATAGCACACGGTGGAAGCGACTTACAGACAACTCGTCTCTAATCTTGGCGTTAGGCTTCAGCTCTCTGTCATAAGGACTGCTCCGGTGGCTGCGGACGAGACGACGGTGTTTGTCCTCGACTGGGTTCTCACGTGCAACATCTGGGTCGACCACCTGCCACAATCCGGCATCAGTAGCAAAGCTTGCTGGCTGCACAACGAGGGCAGGCGTCGCAGGCTGAGGCAGTACTGCTGACGTGGACGCTACATTCGACGCCTCCTAAGATGATGATTAGTGAGCAGTGAATCCTGCATATCAGTTGACGTACTGGTTCGCTGAAAATCACAGGGAAGTCGAAGCGAGGGAGGTCAATGTACAGGAATAAATTCTCCGACTTCTCCGTCTCCGCCTACACCCTCACTGTATGAGTACTGCAATATCATGTTAAAGACACACAAACGCACTGCGTGTATCTCCGCCATCTTTCGAAATGCCATGGAATCCAACCAGTCAGACTTGGGCATGTCTCCCCGCTCGTACTTTTTGACTAACTATCCACAAGTGAGTGGATCGCGCCCGATGTGGTTCAATAGTATCCCATACCTTCTCCAGTCTGCCCATCTCATCCTTGGTGTCGACCTTGCTCGGTGTGGTCGTCTCAATTGAGCCATCTGCTTCGCGGTCGGGCCAGAGCAATAAGCGATGTTTGCCGCGTCGCAGACTCCTGTAGAAATGGAACGTAGAGGAATCAGCAGAGGAATCAGCATTCCCCAATGTTGCCGGCATGAGATGAGCACGGTGTACCATTTCTTCCCAAACAGCCGGAATGTGGATCCTCCAACAGGGATAGCAGACCTCGGCCCGGCTATATCCCATACGGTGAAGGTGACTTGTGCATTCAAAGGCAGATCACAGTAGCGTATCGGCAACGTTATCCACTCATTCCATCTAAGGATCATGTTAATAGGCCCCCCAATCAGGCGCGGTCAAGAAACGTACGTATAGTCCTTCTTGAACGCCTTATGTGATGTCCTGAAGGGAATCGTGAGAGGCTTGTTATCCGCCACGAGTTGACATGTAACATAGAGGTCTGAGAGTTCCCTTCACCTGCGTCATTCAGGACGGGTCAATGACCAGAGGCTGGGAACTCACGGAGATTGCTGGACACCATGGAAGCGCAACTCGGGTTTCTCCAGGAGCTCCGTGTAAGTGTGCGCTTTTCGGGTACCCTCTAGCTGTGATCTGGTGCGTTCTCATGAGGATGCATTGTGATTAACGCGAAAGACATTACGGACATACGAAATGTGACAGGCAGTTTCAGGTCACTCAACTTCGCGAAAGTGAAGTCGTCGCGATTGTCCTTGTCCATATCTACTGGAGCAGGAATTCTGCTCTCGGTGTTTCGCTAATGGACTGGGTGGTCACAGAAGAGATATTCCAGTGTATCAATGCTTGCCGCTCGGGATTCGGATTTGGTGGCGGTAAGATGGCAAGGCGAGCTACCAAGCGCCTACTGTCTATTTCTGGCAAGTGACGTATTCATCTTTCTTGCTCTAATTCGATTCACATCTCCAGAGAACCTGTGTGTGTAATGCTTAGATCGCAGTTGTTACTTTATGTTAATTCATAAGCAAAATACATCAAGCTATCCAGAGAGAATGTTGTGTATTATATATGTGGTAGATAATTACTCGCGATGTTGGCGAGCAGTGTTACACACCTGGCGCAATGGTTACTACATACGATATAACCTTATAGATTCCTACGGCAGCCTCTGTCCGGCCTGCTACGCGTTGGCAAGGCCTACTGTTGGTTGGTTAGTATATAAGTTGCCGGAGAGTGTGGTTTGTTGTCAATAGGGCCTGCTGTGGAAAATGGTATCTTCAAGGCTTGACTAACTTCAGGCTGTCTTTCTTCTCGTATGATACGTTGCATCTGCCAGTCAATTGTACTCCTCAGACGGAGCTGGAAACTCCGCTGACGCAGTGGGCCCAGAGGCAGTCCTTAGCGGGCGGTACACCGTCGATACACGACACCGACAGGCGATCAGGAAGTCCGACTCCTCATCGACTGACAAGTTGTAATGGAGACTAGCGAGTACAGTTTTTTACAATAGTGGTTCCGGGTTCTTCAAGCCTCGTTCTCTCAGGTATATGGGACGGGCCCCGGGGGTGTACGTTGGTGACGACCCGAACTGCGGTGCGCTCTGCGTTTGTGGCCGCAATTGCTTGATGTATCGGTGAGAGGCAGCTTCCAAGTTGGTTAGCGCAAGGAACCGAACCGGAGAGAAGGCCAGAAGCTTCAAGCCCTGGGTTTGGTCTCCGGCGCTCAAGCCCGGCGCACGGTTCAAAGCACCCCACGACATCGGCTGCGACTCACCTAGAGATGGACCGGAAACGCAGACGAGGTCTACGGCCAACATCTATGATTTGAACTGGCCTGGGAAGGCAGTGTTCTCATAAATGAACAATGCTGATCGGCATCCAGCTTCGTGTAGTCTATTCGACCCTGTCAAGGACTACAGCAGCATGTGCATATTACAAGCACTTTTATATGGAAGCCGACTGCACGGCGACATGAACGAGGGACTGCACCTCTGTCCGACTTCCCATGACGCTAGCTATGGATCACCTGGACATGATCGGTTGACTCATGGGTCGTCGAGCAGCCAATCGAGTCCTGCATGTTCCAAAGCCCACACGCGAACCGCGGTGAAGGTCAGAAGGTGTCGCTCTGCCTCCGCCCATGCTGTATTTCCGCTGCCCTCGACCTGGCAGTCTATGCTTTTGAGGTGTGGAAAGAGATCTGATAGGAATGCCGCCATCTTGACTGGTTCGCCTGCAACGGACGAGGGGCCTGTCCTCAAACGGGTGATGAGGCTGTTGGAAGAACCACCTCCGGGGCGTGCGTCCACGGAGACCTGAGTATTTGATGCGTCAATGTCCAGTATGACGTCTTCGAGGTCAGGGCAATTTTGAACCAGGGACACAAGACCCTGGAGGGTGACGGCGGGCACGAAGGGCCTTGGCTTGCTTCTGATGTGGAGGAAAGAGAGAACCCGCAGGCGCGGCCAGGCGAGCGCCATCGACATCATATCATCGTCGTTGACTGCGATATTATATCTGCTGTCGATGGAGAGAGTTTCCAGATTATGAAAAGCGTAAAGCGGCTGCAACGCGGTGGAGGGCAAAACCTCTGTCGAATCAGAATGCAGAATGGCTATATTGATGTTGACGAGGAGCAAATGGGAGCACTGATCTTGGAGGGTCTGGCAGAAGTCACCAAGGTCCACGGGACACGAATTTCCACGAGCTGTGATGTTGACTGTTCGCAAATTTGGGTACTTGACTGCCAACAGAAGAACAGCGGAAGATCGTGTGGAGATTGTCCATGTACGTAAATGCTTGACGGAAGAGGACACATCTGACGGGACATCCGAGGACTGAATGAGCGTCTCGCCCTTGCGGGCGTTTTGGCTATTCTCCAAGGACAGCGAGGATAGTTGTGGCAATGATGACAACTCCACGAACGATTTGAAGGAGAGAGGCATATCAGATACACAGCTGAACATTTCTAGACATTTCAGGCCTGAGAATGTTTGGGTGGCGAATGGGAGGCATGTCGTCGTGTTGAGTTTGCTTCTACCTTCCAGCGAAAACCCCGAAATTTCTAGACCACGGAGATGAGGCGCAAGGATGGGAAGGTGAGCAAGGATCAACTCTGAAGTACGCCTGTCAGAGGCATGTATATGTAGTCTGAGATGAGTTAATTTAGGCCCAAGAAACATCGGCATAAACTGGACGTTAATAATATGTCGGTGGTCTGAGCAGTCAAGTTTTCTTAAGTTGGGAAATAAGGGATAGGACGACCCGAAGAGACGAAATATTTCCAAGACTTGACTGGATACACCCAAAGGGTGCTTTTGTTCGACGTTTTCAGCCCATAGATAAGGTGATTGCGTCCCAAAGGTTAGCACACGGACTCGCTGAGCGTAGAACTTGAACCGATCCCAATCCTCCGGATACAGTTGTCTTCTAAAAATCTATCTCACGAGGGTGAGCTACCTCGCGTATGCCAGATGTAAAGAAGACGCACCAAAGTGCGCACCCTTAAATCGTGAAATTTCTGTTCCCACATGAAGTCCCAGAGGTCTGCAGGCATGCATTTGATCAGATTGTCCAGGCCAACCTGGAAGGACCAGAGTTCGTCGAGAGACAGCATGCTGAGTAATTTGCACGTCCTTGCGAGTGCTGCGAGGCTGTGCGTGTCTCGCTTGGGAGAATCCCATAGAGGAATATAGGAGACAATGAGCGATGCGATCTCATCGACATATAGAGCAGGATGCATTGCTGCTCGATGTCAGCCAGTGTGGTAAAGCCAGCTACCCACTGGCAGGCGCCGGTCAGGCGTCATCCGCCAAATCGGGAAACTGACATTTCATTCTTTTCCTAGCTCTACCTATTCATAGTGTTTCTGGAGAGAAATAATCCTCAAAAAGACCCCAAGAACCTCCACACGATTGCACCCTCCTGACCGCATAAGTTAGAACAGCAAGCTGCAACGCGTCAACATCCAGGTTAGAGCGGTGATGCTTCTGGCTACCCTCTCCTCTACCACACTTTTAAATACATATCCAGCAAACGCGAAGATGCATGCAGCGAGAGAGCGGCCGTCTCTCTCGCTGCGTACGCCTCCTCATCATGAACCCCCTCCTTGCACCGCTCCACCAACAAAGCAAGACCCTCACAAACATACTATACGAGGAGGGACTTGCATGTGCCCACGCCAGGGATAGAGATGTTTACCGTCAAGTAATGTAAATACCCTCGCCTCGCGAAAACTGCTAGGTACCAAAAACCATAACAAGGGGAGAGCATTTTCCAAGAACGATTCCCTACCTGTGGAAACGACCGGACTTTGGGTACAGCGATGCCCTGGTGTTGCGACGGTCAGCGAATACGTAGCAAGGAGGAAGGCGCAGATACTTATCTCCACCTGGACGCTGCCCATCAGTGTCCCCGACACTGATGAACAGCGCACACTCCCCTCGCCACACGCAAATGAAGAGGACGTATGCAGCGGGAGGGCCGGCCGTCCCTCACGCTGCACAAGCCCCTCTCACCCGCAACTCACCCTAGCCCGATCTCCCCGCAAACGACGAGCCCTCGTAAATACAGATGACGTCTAACTATCGAAGAGAGATATCAGCAGAGTGGTGTACACGTAATTTACCGGACAAAAAGAAGCCGAAAAAGAGGGATGTGCAACTCAACCTGTTTCAAACGGAGCCGTTAGCGCAGATCAATGACCGCAACGACAGCATGGACATCACCCTCCGCCAGAGTGACAGGACCGGACTTGCAGTCTAGTAGCAGACAAAAGATAGGCATGATCAGCGAGCACGCGCACGAAGAGCAAGGAGTACATTGGCACACAAAGAAAATCGCCCAGGTCATAAGAGGGTCATGGCTTCCTCCTCACCGAACGCGTACCTGAGCAAGATCCATCCTGGTGGTCGTCCTGGGTGTTGCAAGCGCGCGCACATCCTCTTCGCCCATCGGTCGGCCAGTCTGTCTCAAAAGAGAGGTAGAGGACGGTCAGCGCGAATGTAACGTGTGCTGCAGGGTAGTGAGGAAAGGTAAACGTCGTCCCGAGGAACGGCGTAGTAGGCGGAGAAGAATCGAATGAGCCTGAGAGAGATGTTTTTGTGGTTTTTAGTTTTGCGCTTTTTTTGGATTGGGTTTTCTGTAAGAGAAAAAGAAAAAAGGCAACAGGAAAAAAGAAAACTGGGCGCAACGAGAGGATCATTCCCAGGTAGTGAGCAGCTTGCCACACAGGCCCTAGAAACCTGAGGACGCCCTGCGCTCCCGAGTCCCCTCCCTATGTAGCGCAGCAGCCGCGTCCGTCAGACGGGCGCAGACGCACATCATCGGCAGACTGAACAGATGCCCGAACGCTTTAGAGGAACCAGCGATGAGTGATCTGCCGACGGCGGCGGGCGACATTGAGCGGAATGAGTTCGCAGCCGACATCGAATGACCCGCTCAGCCGGGGCTTCTCCGCGGGCTCCTGGAGGAGGTCGAGGCTGCGGTGGGTGACGTCGTGGCACTGCTGGGCAACGCTAAGCGGGATGAGCGCAGGCTGCTGCAGACCCTTTGCGGAGCGGCCGTAAGGCTTGAGGCTCGCAGGGGAGGCACAGAGCGTGTAGGAGGACATGGTTAGGTGTATGGGTGTGTGCGTGTGCGTGGGACGCGGGGGATGGTATGTGTGCGGGAGAGAGATGCGGTGAGGAGAGATTGGTGTGAGGCGGCTCTTGTGCACTTCTTTCACAGTGTTTCAGACCAGCCTTAAGATGCTGACTGCTAGCTTGCAGTGGAGACATTGTGAAGAAGTCTAGTGGAACCTCGCTGCTGGACTGATAAACCAGACCAGCAGCGAGGATGTTCTCCACTAGACTGTTTCGTAATGTCTCTATCAGCGGGTCAATCAGAGTACCATGCTCGAAACAAAGGTTCTGGACTCATCTCAAGCAGTAACCGCTGCGGTACCGGAATTGAGTGATTCAGCACTGAGGCATAACATACGCTGTCTTGCAAGACAATGCAGTTGAGGAGGATGGGGCATGCTCAATTCAAGTCTCAGTCGAACGGCATATTATTTGGACTCAGCCCAGAGTTGGAAAGAGTGCATTCCTGCCGGTCCTGTAGCGATTGCGACCAAGCTCCACCTCAGATGTATTCCAAGCGCTCACTAGTGACAGCTCAGACTCACATGGTATGGCGAAATACAAAGTATCTTCTAAAGTAGAAAGGCTGGAAAGAGCGGTGTAGCCTACAAGCAAGCACTCGGTGACTGGCGACTTCCTCCGCCTTTGCCAGCTGGTGGTGGTGTCACCATGAGCATCCGTCTTCTGTCGTGTCTCACAACTTTTTGTGCGAGGATAACAGGGCTGCCATTGTGATGGTGGATATCGCTCCGGGTGAAGAAATCACCAAATCGAGTCACGGTCGAGAGCGAGAGCGAAGACGCGGGCGCTTCGCATGACATACTTTGCGAGCAGATGTCGGTATTTGTGTTCTATTGTACTTTCTCTTGCTCTGAACACCTTTGACGGCCCTTATATACAGTGTGTACGGTCTTTCTTTCCTCCTCCCTTGTTTTGCGGGCTTACGAAGACGGTGCAAACAGCGAGACGAGGGTGCATCTGTTTTGAGAAGGTACCTTGCTATTTATGGACTTGTTGTACTTGATTGGACTGCTACGAATAATAAAATGGACATTCAGGGGATTGAACCCTGGACCTCACGCAAATACGCCTACACGTGCTATTACGTGACCTGCGAAGCGAGCGCGCTACCACTGTGCCAAATGCCCATATATGGATTTGTCGCTACAATTTAATTCGATTGTTATTCCCAAGTATGGGGTTATCAGGTCAAATGGGCGATCACATAGTTGGTTAAGTTTAAATGTGCCGACGCATCCAAACGCCTTACCACAATCCTGCCTTCTTCCAACTCGCGATCCATCTGTGAACATTCTCTGGCGTCAGTTGACGTAGGGATGGGTCCGACAAGGTAGGAGATGCGGCGACTGCTTCAGTCGTAGCTAAGGATGGGAAACCCATTGCTTCACTGGCAGCTGACCCTGGCACAAGACGCTGGAAAAAGGGCAGTAATTTCAGAGCCCTCAATTCTCGAAGTAGCTCTAGCTCTTCTCTCTCCCCCTTGGCCATCTGCTGAGATTGGGTGGCCAGCAGCGATAACCAGTCTTGGTATGGCACCAGTTTGATGTCCAAGGACACGGAGATTGCATCCGCTAGAATGTTCCAGGAACACGGACGTGGATGGACGAGATTGACCACTCTGACCGTGGCGGGACCCTTAATGTAATCGACGATTGCATTCGCGGCTATTTCCGGCTGTATCCAGCTCACCACCTATACACGTATATATCAGGTTCATCACACAATCACACATAGTCGCAGATACGCACACCATCATCAATAGGGAATACGCCCAGTTTTTTGCTGCTTTGAACCATTGACGGGAACCATTCGTTCACGTTCCAGGCACCGTCTGCACCGCCACAGATCTGGCCAACACGCACGATCAGAGCATTCAGTTGCGTCTCCTCGCCAGCGGCCAACAGCATCGCCTCTGATACCCATTTGGATTCCGTGTAGCCTGAGCTCACTGCGACGTCTGGCTCGATCAGTGCTTCAGACTGCACTTCGTTTCTTTGAACATCTAAAAGGGCGTGAGAGCTCGAGAATCAACAACAGGGTATTATTTAAAGCTCACTCTGGTACACGCCAATTGAGCTCAAGAAGATGAGTCGCGCCGGTTTATGTTGATGTGTTGTTAGCGACAAGTCGATGAGACTGCGCAAGCCCTTGATATTGCTCTCGAATGAGCTGAGACTGAGATTGAAGTCGACCCTCCAGGCTTGCAAGAGGAGGTTAGTGTATTTTGGGCGTTGACTGAAAATACGGCTCACCGTTATGAACAATGTGTGTCACGACTTGACGCAGCTGTTGTAAGGTTAGCCAATAGCTGGAAATATTGTTCACAGTGAGAAGCATACCTTTTCATAAGTCTCTTCCGGTAGACCAAGCCTAGCCGCTGTGAGGTCGCCCTCGAGTAAGACTACCTTTTCATCCTCAAGAATACTTGCACTCAGTCCTCGCTGGAGTAGTGCTTGTTCCTGTCTTGTGCGTAGAGGTGTCTTGTCCCTAGACGTTCGATTCAAGGCGAAGATCCGCGAAACGCTATGCCTATTGGCAAGGCGAGCCAAGATATGGCATCCCAAGCTTCCAGTTGTGCCAGTGACCAGAAGTACATCACCGGCCGTATGGCCATTATGATCATCTGCTCTGTGCAGCGGGAAATGTTTGTTATAACGAGCAAGCATGGCGCGCATAGCATCAACACGTCCAGCCTGAGATGTCTCTGTGCCGTCCTTACCACATGCGAGGTCTGAGATGAACGAGGCGAGGCGTAGCACCGAAGGGTTGTCGTACACGAGGTTGTCGGCGGTCCTTCGTGTGTCAGTCTCAACAGAATCATGCAGTGCTCGTAGCAGAGAGTTTCGAATCCATGTGGCTTGCAAACTGTAATATTATGTGATTACAGTCATCAATAGGTTTGGAAAGGCTTGCACTGACCTATCGCAACCGTGCTCGAAGAGATCGTCGTCGTCGTTGACGGTTTGCCTGAGTACTTTATTCACGACGGCGCGTACGAAATCGGTGGTAGAGACGACATCCCATTGTGCTGGTGGAGGAATGTTTGACTGCGTGCTCTCTTCCACCTTGTCGTACACTGCATTGATTTCGTCTTCATAGTCAGCAATGACTGCCTGCCTGCGAGCCGTACTCTTCGCGGTGTACGTGAATGGTTTCGATGGCTTGGCGACTATGATCATCTACATAAAGCACCCGTCAACATTAGTTTGCGTAGCGGTAAAAGCAGAGTGGTCACAACGCACCTCCTTGAACAACCTCGAATGCTGCGGCGCATATGCGTTCATCCTCTCCACTGTTGGCCTACAGAAAGAGATCATTAGCTGCCTGATAATCATATGCAAGGTACTCGCCAAATTTTGTTCCTGAATTCAGCCAGCTTCACTTCATCTGAAGGATCGAATCTGTACTCTGACTTTGGATCCACCAGAATACCTGCTTGGAAGCGACCGCGACCGAACATCACTGAGGATAGCACATGGGGGTCTTGATTGAGCATGCTCTCTGGTGGTCTTCGTCAGCCTTATATCACAGATGGCAAACACTGAACGGCGGACCTAATGGGCCCGGATTAGTCTAGAAGGAAAATATAAGTAACCTGCAAATAGAGTCATAAGAGTATCTACAATAAACCTTCTCTCCCGTATTGTGCATGATCTGATCATCAGTACGACCGAAGATCTTCCAATACCCTGGCTTCGTCGGGTGTGGAGCGAAAAGATCGGAGGTTGCGTATGCTGGGACGCCATCAACTTGAGTATTGATGACGCTCAGTGTGCAGAAGTGATTCAACTGTCATGTTTTCGTCTACAATCACACTAGCAGAAGACGTCGCGAGAAAAGCATACCACCATGACAAACTCGTATGTATTGTTGCCATATGGAACCATATGTGACTTGACGTTGTTGGGAATCCGAAAGTATTCCCAATCGTAGCCGACCTTGTCTGAACTAGTTGTCAGCTAATGATCCCGCGGACGATGATTGTACCTGCCAGGCAAGATCGGGCTCATGATCCCGCCTTCCGTGCTAATGACAAGCGAGTTGGTTAGTGTACAGGTGAATGTGGACATGTGCCGTCGGATACAGACCATCCATAGAGAATGAAGATAGAAACACCTTGCGATGTCATGTAGTCTCCGGCCTCTTTGTTGAGGGGCCCACCACCAAACAGCTGATGTCCGGCAGTCAATCATCTATCAGCTTGTTGTGATCCGTGAAACTCACCACACCCGTGCGGCTAGCCAACCATTTAACATACTCAGGCTTTTGGGCCCATGCCTGTAGTATCTTCAGACACCGATATCCGTAAGCATCCGCCGGCGGCACATACCTCAATGATGGATGGGACACAGAAAATGACATCGCTGTCAGTTGCCTTCGCCGCCTTGAACAGCCCGTCGGGTGTCGGCATGGGCGCTGGGGTCTTCGGTTCGAATGCGCTGACGATCAGTCCACATGACGGCTTCGGTGATAGACACCTTACTTCAGTGATATCTACAGTAAATTAGGGAACACGATCCTCACCGCCCAATAAAGCTGCAGGACACCCATTCCATGATACATGGGCATAGTGTGTAGAGACCAGACAACACCCGTGAGATCACGTTCTCCAAACCATGGGATCAGGGCCATCTCGGCAAAACGCCCCTGGGTCCAGAAAATAGGCTTTGGGAAAGCTGTGGAGCCTATCGGTCCTAGTGAGATATCGATAAACTGTCTCCTCAAGGAGAGAAAAGTACCTGACGAATGTAAGATCAGGCAGAGCGTCTCCGACCCACGGTTGATGTATGGAGCGTCGTCAAGCGTAACGGACGGATCAGTGGGTGACAAGAATAAATCTTCATATAGAGGCATCGGCGTCAGGTTAGGCTTAGGCGTTGAGGGATATTGCGACTCCAGTATATTCAGGGCAGCACTCGATAGGTCGCGCATGGCTTGCTCCTGCCCTACAAGGATATGCTTCACTCCAACCTTTTGGATCAGATGCGCCACCGCGGTAGGAGAGTTTCGAGGAGAAATCGGGAAAACGACGCAATGTGCCCGCATCACACTGACCGCAGTAACGAAGTAAGGGATTGTGTCTGCCGTATCGTAGGGGTTCAGCGGTCTTGGGAAAATCATGCATATAAACAGTCACGTACCGGAATGCGACAATATCGCTACGATAGGTCTTTCATCGCGCTCTACTTCGGAATGGGTTCGCTGTGTGATCAGTTTAGCACCGACACGGACAGCATGCGCCACCTCTGGCCAGTAGATTGTTTTAGTGATGCCATCCTCTCTGGCGAATTTGAAGACAGGGTGCTCCGGCGAATGCTCTGCGTGCCAGTCATATATCTCTGGCAGGGCGAGGGATCCGTCTAAGGGCGGTACACGAAAGGTACGGCTCGAGAGGGCTTGAGTTTGCGGAGGCGGACGAAGCATATCCACTGTAGGAGGGGTCGCGTAGACCGATACTTAGGGGCGACACACCGGGAGCACCCTTGCTTATATGCGCAGCGAGATCCATTCGGTCGGACTCGACCGCAGTCCCCATCTGATGCGAGCGTCGGCGATCTGATTAAGGTCGGGAAACACGAGAATACGCATCACCGCATGGCGCTGAGGGGTCATATTGATAGGACAAGATTTGCGCACTGCTCAAACTTGATGATTCGGCGGGATCGCCGGGGCAGCAGGGCGCGGTTAGCCGTCACGTGGAACGCGTTGCACGCATTGACGCGTCTGTCGCGTTACGCGTAGGCGCGCCTTTGACTCGTATCTTGAATTGACGAGTCAGAATCATTATTCCCAGATGCCTCCGAAAACTCTACACAGATGCAGACATCGTGAGAATGAGAGAAACCAATATATTAAGCATTGTACAGCGGGCAGAGCTAGAAATAACGGGAGCGGTGAACACGAGACCGACGAAGCACAGCTACCGAACTCGATACAGCAGATTATCATGTCACAATCAAGTATGGATAGCGTACACACAGCAAAGCAAGAAAACAAACGCAAAGATATCAGCAGGATATATCATCGACGGGAGAAATGGCTGAGCAGGGCATCTTACAAGAGAATCTATATACATCAGGAAAGCGGAAGAATCAGCGAGAAAGCGTGGAGACAGAGGTGAGTTATAGATAGACACGAGGCGGAGAGCAGTGAGCAATCGAAAGCAAGATATAGAGCAAGTGAGATGTGTCGTGAGAGTTCGTTACATTGAGTTTTGCATTGTTTGAGGCTTTGGTGAGTAGGGTCAGGAGACGTTTAGGCATGAACATCGCATGATGCTAGAGGTTAGCTGCCCCGGCATGCGCATAATGGGCTGCATGGTGCCCTCTACACTCACTCCTGGGACGAGCCGGAGGAGGAGTCGCTGCTGCGCCTGACGCCCTGCCCAGGAGTGCGTTCAAACTGCTGCATAGCGCCCACCTCAGCACCGCGCCGCTCAGGACCCATACTGCTGCCGCTCGAGTTGGACCGCGATCCCTGCGCGATGGACATGCCCATCTGCGCGTAGCGCATGTCCACGGCCTCCGAGGCAGCAGCCATCGAGCGGGTGACGCGCCCCGCGGGCATGTTGACGCCCATCGCGGTGTCCATGGGCATGAACGACGCAGACCCGGAAGATGGATCAGTCTGAGGAGGCGCCGGGCCCCACGCAGGCTGCCCCAGCCTCGGGGTGGGGACCGCAGGGCCGGCCGCGGATACGAAGCTCGACTGCCAGACGGGAAGCGAGGGCTGGCCGAACGAAGGTTGTCCGAACGCGGGTTGTCCAAACGAGGGTTGTCCAAACGACGGCTGACCAAACGAGGGCTGCGGGAGCGCGGTGGGCTGCCTGATAGTGCCAGCGGCGCTCGACACCGTGTTCTGGGGGACCATCTGCGGAATGGCTATCGAGGCAGGCGTTCTGCCAGAGCTACGAGCACGGGTCGTCACCTGGGACGGTCCTGGGGCCGGGGTATAGGGAGAGTCCCCGCGTCTAGCGTTGCTCCGAGCAGACCTGGGTCTGGCGCGACCTTCTCCGACGACGTGACCTGGGTTTCTGAGGGCGGGATCGATGTTGGAATCATCAAAGCCCATGATGGGGGTGGAGGCCTGGGTAGTGGCACCTGACGTCGAGGAGCGGGAATGCGTCGTCGTAGGGGCAGAATCGTTGTCGCTTGAACTGTCATCTTCCTGACGCGAAGAAGAAGCTTCCTTTTCCTTACGCTTAGCCAGTTCTGCCTTGGTGGGCCTCTTGTTGCGCTTACGCACGCGCTTGTTCCCCTCTCCCTGGGAATAATCAACCACCCAGTAACTTCCCTTCCCAGGTTCCGTAATGGGCTTATTGACTCTGCTGAAGCACCGATTGAGGGATAGGTTATGCCTGATCGAGTTCTACGCGGCCATGATTCATATGAGAGGACGCCACAGATGCCAGGTTGTATTTTACTTACCTGCCACGCCTTGTCGTGCGCATTGTCCCTGAACCACTGGAACCTCTGTTCGAGAGCGATATATATCTCCTGCAACGTAAGGCGCTTCTTCGGACTACCATGAATAGCTAGCTTGATTAGGGTAGGGTACGGGTAGTTCGGTTTCTCGCCCAAAGGGGGGTCTGCAAGGGACCACAAGCTCACTTCTTCGTCTTCACTGAGGCCTAGAAGCTGCCTTAGGTTGGGTGTGGGATCCGGAGGGGTCGGATCTGTCTTGGGTTTGGTTGTGGGCGTACGTGTGTGCCCTATCACTGCTTGTTGCGGCTGAACTTGGGCCGGGTGAGGGAAGAACGGCGCGTGGTCCTCATTGAATGTCATTCCACGCGTCTGATAAGCGATATGGGGCGTGCTCGGCGGCATGGGCACTGCGGCGGGCATCTGGCGCGGATACGGGGCGGGCGCCGGCGAGGAGGCGAAATCGAGCGACATGGACATTATGTAGGGCCCGTCGTTCGTGGTCGGGTATTCATGGGTCCTAGGACGATAGTGGGACTGGCTCAAGGCGTCTTGAGACATACTGTCATGGCGGACATGCTCCAATCCAATCCTGCGCGCACTGGCGTCATAGGCGGGGTACAGTGCCGGGTTGAACATCTGCGGCGTCGGCGACACCCCTTGGACGTGTACCGCGCCCCTCTGCTGCACATTGAGGCTCGCCTGGAGACTCTCGTTGTCGCTGGAGCCACTCGACGCGCTTCCGTGGCCACCATAGCTCATCTGCCCGGTCGCGTTGCTCCCCGCGCTCCGCACCGACTCTGCAGGGCTGCTCCCGCCGCTGTGCTGCCTGCGGGGGAGCTGGCAGCCAATCAGATTCGTGAACGTAAGATCAGATAAGGCAAGCGTAGACCTACAGGCTGAGGGGGAGAGTGGGCCGCGGTGGGGGGCATGCGCGCATGGTAGTCGAAATAACCACCCGGATGTTGAGAGTGGCCACCCGACGGGTCGTACTGATGGTTTTGAGAGGGCTGGGAGGCCTCAGGAGGGATGTATGGCGGGTCGTCCACGTAGATTGTGGCGCTTGCATTTGCGGGACGACGAGGAGGGCTGAAAAGCTGATTTTCCGCCCCAAAGTGCGCCTGCCGGGTGCCGAAGGTTGGCTGAGCGTGCTGAGCGTGCTGGAAGTGCTCAGCACCACTCGCACCGCTCGAGGAGCCAGATTCCGAGCCCGAGCTATGGCGACGATATGCGGGGGTGGGAGAGGCGGCAGAGGACTGCAATGTCGAGGAATTGGCGGTGGTGAACGCGAGAAAGCGCCCCGGCGAAGCGTCGCTGTCCATCTATGGCAAGCGGACCCACAATGGAAAATAGAAATTAGTCAACGTGAGAGATTAGAGAAGGGGCTTGACGCTGAAACCGTGAACGAGTATACCCTTTAGAATCAAATTATCAGGGGGTATTACTGTGGGGAAGATGGGTCGAATGTGGGCGTACGCTCAGAGGGCGCCAGAAGGCCGCACCGCTGGGGCCCTCTCTGCCTCTCATCTGCCCCTCGCAAAATGCAAGCATGAGGCTCTTGTTGCCGTCGTCTGCCTCGGCGACAGGTCTGATATGCCAGACGGGATTACTTTCTGCATACAATGCACGTCGTCTCGAGGGGTGGGCTGCCCTGTCTCACCTGCTGCATGTCTGCTCTTCGGCCCCGGATTGGCCCGACACTGCCTTAAGCACCTGTCCTTGTCTCTGAAATGTCGGGTCAGCTCCACCTCTACATGGCACTTTAGGCTGGGGAGGAACGCAGGCACGGGACAACAGCTGCATTGTCCCGACGCGTCCCCCGTCGACGCACTCGTCGTCTCAAAAAGGCAGGTGGCAGGTGTATCTCGATTTACTTCCGTCCACACTTCCAGGGCTCCAGATGGCCCTGAAAAAATTGGGCAGAGTCCCTGCCGCACACCACGCGTTCTCATCAGTCATCACGAGCGGTCCTGCTGCCGGAGGGACGACCGACAATGGATGTCAGCGTGCTCTACAGCGGATCACATCCGTGGATGAGATGGTGCCTACCAGCTCGGAGCCAGCGGTGAGGATGGCTGAACTTGCTAGCCACGTGGAGGTGTAGGCTATTGGAGGTGTCACTCAGCCGCCCGCGCATCTGCCCTCATTCCCTTTGCGCAATCCTTCTCGCTCTGCTGAGTGCTCATATTACAGCATGCGTTGTAGGACAACTCACGGATATCATACCCCATTTCCCCCGCACACCGCGAATATTCTTCTGCCAGATTGCCCCGATCTTGACAAGTCGAGTTCACATGGTACCGAGGCTAGCGCCGGCAACATTGCATTGTTCGATCGTGGTCTTTGATGTCCTTCCCTGGATGTATCATAAGATGCACGACGCATTGTCTCACGATGTGACGCATAGGCTTTTGCTTCAGACTGTGCCTATCTGTGTTCCCTCTTCACTCATATTGCTCGCCCCCGGAACGCGTTCATGAGTCGTGCCTGACCACGTCCTGACCCTGCAATCCTTCGTCAGCCTTTCCTCACGTGCCTACGCGTCGCAAAAGCTGCGCATGTCTTTGACGCACCCAGCTCGTTACAGCACTGGGATCTCTGCGGAGACATTGTTTCCGCAGTCCCCCGACCGCCGGTTCATCGCACAATCTTCACCTGCCATACTGGAGAACGGTTTTGCATCTTCAAAACTTTCCCCGCTCGCGGTGATCCTCAGTCTCGTGATACGGCCCCTGAAGACCACAAGCATCTTTAGCTGCACTTTCAGTCACTTGTGAAAATTGCTCGCACTGGTACCTTGGGGAACTCGGTGTCACGCGGGACTCGTGGGTCTTTCACAAAACCGCGCGGCTATGACGGCGCACGGCGCATAACATGTTCCCTATCGTATTCACTCCATATGTATCGCCCAGCATGCTCAGTCCGAGGGGCCAGCCCCGGTAGTCCGAGCGTCCCCCAACGCAGAGCTCTGGAGAATGCCAGGAGCGCTGGCACAAAGGCATTCCGGCGAGGTGTCTATGCGTGTGGATGGTCGTGTGCGTCCCTTAATTATAGCAGTCAAGCTCACCCATCGAACAGTGCTGCACGCAACGGATTCCTTTTCAACGTCCCTGCCTCCGCTACCAGCCGAATCGGCGACTCGACTCGCGCTGACAGTGCACTATCACATCCGTCTTGCCAGCGCAGTGCTGATACTCCATACCGGCAGATTAGATTGTCGACACTGCGTTGTCACAAGGTCCCTATCGATTCTGATCTGGTGCGTATATACTGTATGCAAGGCTTGTCCTACTCTAGTTGACCCTGCCTTGACAACATTCGTGCTCACAGCGACCGCAGGTATATCATTACTTCTCCGTCGTCGCATATATCAAGGTATCTGCAGGGCAAGTAATCAGTACTGCCCACGCGTACTTCCAGGATTCAGTTGCATCTCGCCGGTGGCATACAGAAAATGTATGAGCGTCACGCTCTTAGGCCTTCTTGTAGGCATCGCCACCGATAAATAGGGCGATCCTTGGTGACCATCACATCTGGTGTGGGAGGCACCGCATTCGTGTCGGTTCCCCTGCTCCGCGATCCCGTACTCCCAAACAGTATCGGAAAGCACCATGTTGTTATACTGCACAGGTCGTCATGGTTTCCGCTGTCGTATAAACGTCAATCTCGAGAGTTATGCATGCTTGGAAGCTCTAGGAATGACAGCCCGACAGTTCGCGTGTCCTCCTTATATTCTTGATCAGAAAGGCATGTTTCGTGAGAGATGCTATTTATATTATGCTGCTGCTCTGTGATTGAGCCTTAGCTTCCGTGTACCCAGACCGATCTGAACATCGAGATATGAATGTAGTAGATAGATCGAAATTGTCATATCCTGGGAAGGTGCTAAATAGCTGAACTCGGACCCGCGTCACTCTCCAGCTCCTTCTTTTCTTGCGGACACTGGAAGTCCCAGTGCATTTCGCCACAACGGACGCACAAGCGTCGGGGCTTCACCTCGTACTGCAGTGGGCACTCGCCCTTGAGATGCTTCTTCGACCCGCACACGGGGCATCCCTGCCGATGCCGGATGGCATCGTAAGGCAGGCGGCGCTCCTCCATGTCTTGCATCGTAAGCGGGCACATCGCCGGTCGGGTGTCAGCCCGCATCGTGCGGGGATCGCCCGTGCCACGCACGAGGTGCACTTCGAACGCACGTTCGACTAGGATGGCGAGGCGCACATCGCGCAGGGTGATACCTGGGCGGACCTTTAGCGGGTGCGGCACACCTACGAGGGGGAGGGGCCGCGCCGTGTGCGTGTGCGTGCGCAGGACGAGCGCCATGCCGCGTCTGAATACGGAACAATGATGCTGGCACCGCGCTGCGTAAGGACAACGTGGACCGGGGTGTTCAGGAACCACTCACGTCCTCGTCCTTCTGAAACCGCTCGATGTCCTCCGTGAACTGCAAATTGGCGTAGCCGCGTTGTTTGAGAAAGAGAAACCGCTTGACAAGCGCTGGGGCAACGCTGGGGTGGCCTTGCCGAGCGGCTTTGTTGGAACTCTGTACGGTCCATCCTCGCTTGTAGAGGGGCACCAAGTAGGTTGTGATCTCCGCGTCGGTCAGGTACGGGCACGGATACTTTGGTTTGTCAGGGAGTTCAGGCAAAGGCGGGAGGTCGAAGGACAATAATGGCTCTGGAGGAGCGGCTTGTTGGAGCTGCGATAGTTCTAGAGGAGTAGCTTGTCGGGGCTGCGATGGTTCTGGAGCGGTAGCCTGTTGAGGCTGCGGTAGCTCTGAAGGGGTGGCTTGTTGAGGCTGCGATGGCTGTGGAGGGACGGCTTGCTGGGGCTGCGAGCACTCTGGGTCAGATAGCGTCGGTAGACATAACCCATCTGAGCAAAGTATCCACCTCGACATCTCTGTCGCGGGGCTCTACCCGAAGCAGATCGTAGGCAAAGCCCAGGAAGGCCGCGCCAGACTTTGCGGAAGTTGTACCACCGTCAATCTTTGTTTTCGACTCCTCCTGGTCGGCTGCAGGCTTCATGTGCGAGAAGGCTTCCGGGCGTTGTGAGGATCTTGCACATGCCGCTGTGCAAGAAGTATATTTTGTCGACGTGATCCTGCGAGCCAATCGAACAGGATTGAACATAGCAAAAGAAAGTGAAAGCTGGGCCCTCGTCGCGAATGGATGAGGACTGATAGGCAATGGAGCACGTGGCATCAGGGAAAGACGATCGCTCGATCACAAGCGCCCATATAAATTGTTGAGCATGTACTCTTGGAGTCGCCGCAAAATACACCCGGGTCGTTACACAGGAATATCGCTACAGCATTGGTGTGCAACACTTAGACGAACACAAATCATGGCTGGCTCGCGCTATCAGTATGTCAAGAAATTTGAACTCCCTGACCCAATTCTTCCCGGGACATTCATGGTATTACGCATAGACGGTCATGCATTTCATCGGTTAGTGACATTCTTTCATGTGGAACAGAGCACGTAGGTCACGATTGACATGACTAGGTTGTCCGAAGTCCACAAATTTGCAAAGCCAAACGATGAGCGCGCTTTGCAGCTGATGGATCATGCTGCGCGAGACGTCATGAACGAATACAAAGACATCGTCCTAGCCTTTGGCGAGTCGGATGAATACAGGTTCAGACGAGCGCTCTGTACATCTTCACATTTTCTGACGATGCCTTTGGTCCAACAGCTTCCTCTTTCGAAAGTCTACCGCCCTCTACAATCGACGGCAGGCGAAAATAGTGACGACCCTCACATCACTCTTCACCTCGTCCTATGTCTTCAACTGGTCGAGATATCTTCCAGATACACCACTCGAGTATCCACCGTCATTTGACGGCCGGATCGTCGTCTATCCGTCACAAAAAGAAATCCGGGACTACTTCTCATGGCGCCAAGCAGATAGTAAGCCCTCATATTCTTCTGTTCCCTCCTTTCGCTGAATCTTGCTAATCTTCAGCCTAAAGCACACATTAACAATCTGTACAACACGATTTTCTGGGCTCTGGTTCAGCAAGGCGGCGAGACGACGACGCAAGCGCACGCGATCCTCCGTGTAAGCGTTGAACCTATAACCCCTGACCTAGCCTTCTCATCCCGACCTGCCGCCGCAGGGCACTGTGTCCGGCACCAAAAACGAGATGCTGCACTCGCGCTTTGGTATCAATTACAACACGATACCGGCGAGGTACAGGAAAGGCAGCGTGCTCGTACAGGAGCGGGTGTGTTCTCTCTGTTCTTGGATTTTCGAGGTATTCAAAGTTCTGACAAGCCTACGTGTGCGCCTTCTACGCAGTTACCCCCGGCGAGCTCGGACGATCTGGCGTCGACTGCAGGCGAGACGCCAGGCACGCCGCAGCAGCCAGAGCAGGCACCGTCGGGCAGTTCGAAGCAGAAAGCGTCCAAGAAGGCCCACGCCCTGACGAGGATCGAACTCCACCACTGCGATATTATAGGCGACGAATTCTGGGACCAGCGGCCGTACCTACTAGCAGAGTAGTGCCCCTGCTTGCGGAAATAGCACACCCGTTATCTATATCTCCATTCAGCCCCAGCACAGACCGCGGAGACGTCTGCCAGCGCAAGTGCTATATGTCCCCATGCCGAGGCGGGCGAGCGACGTACAGCCCGGGCGTTCCGCCACAACGGCATCGGCCCAGTTGGACGGGCAGATCTCTCCCTATCTCTCCCCGCCAGCGTGTATCTGCGCACTGAATTGGTCGGCGACGTAAGCGGTGCTCTCGAGCACACGATCGCGATCGGGGCTTCCGCCGGCATTGACCAATTTCAAACTGACGTCCGGCGCACGTCGCAGACTCTGTCTGGTCCCCGGCCCTCGGTGCGGCCGACGGGTTCTCCGGGGCCACCGACCGCGACGCTGAGTACCAGCGAACAGTGGCAGCGATGCGGGCTGTGCCCGTCATGCCGCTTCCAGTAAAGCATGGGAACTGCGAGGGCACATGGCGGACATGCCTCGGTGATGTCGAGTCCGCTTTCGACGTGCGTCGGAGTGTCGCACAGATGTGTGGTCGGACCAGCTGAATATCAAATCTCATTTCACCAAGATAACACCAAAATAACGCGAGTGCCAAGCCTCGTTTACGTTCTGTGGTGCCGTACTAATGCAAAGATGAGGGGGTGCATGCCCACGACATTGCGTGCTATAGCTCCAGCGTTGTCGCATTTCGAGTTCCACGGCACAGAGTACGTGGTGTGATACAATCCTGCGTGGTATTTTTAGCTTGGGGTACGTTGATTGATGGTCCTCCTCCCTGGTATGACAGTGCTTCGCGGAGAGTCTGAGAAATGGAGAATATCTGAGCCTACTTGACATCGATCATTATTGTGAACAATGACCATTCGTGGGTATGTGCAACACCGGCGGATACGGGACGCTCAATCAGACGTTGAAAACAGAATGCGGGGTATTCAAGTTCCTGGTCGCTCTTCATGACGCCTAGAAAGATGAACAGAGTAACGCAGCCCCTTCTAATCACTGTATCAGGCCATATTTCCCTCAGTCGTCTCCAGGAAGGAGCGTAAATAAAACCTTAAAACACTCAGCGTTCGGGATCAGATCGCCATACCAATGTGATATTGATCATTGGTGTGCGGTCACTTCGCCTGCTATGACAATAGCAAAGGAGGCATATTTACGGTCAAAACCAGATCGCAGAGAGTATGGAGATGGCGGGGCGTACTCGCGATAGTCCGGAGCAGCCGTGGGGGCAATAACCATGTTCTTAGGTGCGACAGAGGAGTATCTTAGCCCACAGGTACATTTCCCTGGAGCCCGCGCGAGTACAGTGGGTTACACTAGAGAATCGCTGCCGCGACATGAACGAAAATAACGCAGCGATGTGAGGTTTTTACAGTACCGAGGTGTTGGTCTCCTCACAATAGCACTTTCCAAATGTCCGAGCGATACTGAGTTCGTTCACCGGGAAACCTGCCTTCTGGAGTCCCGTGAACGTTATCGTACAGTGCGACATGTACACCTGTCGCGTTTCCTAAGAATATCTATCGAGTTTCGAAAGGGCAGGAGTCTCGCTACTGTAAGGCACGCTGGTCATAGGACAAATGCTTTTGCAGCGTCCAGTCCTAGAACAGCGAGGGTAGTACGAATCGTCCACTTCTGGTCGCAACTGCTTATCCGCTACTGTGTTTCCTTGCGTATCGTAAAGACCGATCCCACACGGCAAAGTTCTGCAACGTGAAGGGGCAGAGAAGTTGACAGGTTCGCCCAGGGTCGATATCTGAGGTCTGAAATCGGATTGACGGCCGTGCAAACTGAGGGCACATGACGCACCGGCATAGACGATACTAGGAAGGCTGGGCTCGGGACCAGTAAGCTGAGGTGTTCTCGGAGAATACCCGCTCGTTTTCTAGAGGCCAGCAAAGGATTACCACTATGTGCATCTGGCTGACGGATCAAGAGGTATTTCTTCTCGCTCGGTCTGACCTGATTCCGGTGTAAAACGTTTTACAGATGGCGACAGCTGGACGTTCTGCGAGCTGAGATCTCCTGGTCCAGACTTACGGATGCCATGAACGTCCGAAGGATATTTCGTCCGACACGTAAAGGAGTGACGTGAAAGCCCCGACCGCCTTCTGTGTGCCACACAGGGGCAGGTATCCACGATGATCAGGAAAAGGGGCGGTCGATCCATGCGTGTCTCCGCAGCAAGGCAGCAGGACTGGGAAGTAAGTTGTCTTCTGCCCAGCACGGGTTAGGTCGATGTCGAGTACGGCAGCCTTGAACGCTATACATGCGCGTCGTGGGGTTTACGGAAGCCGTTCCGACAAGGCCCGCACGGTCCATCTAAAGACAACTGTCGCGTAGCAATCGTGGCGGATATGAACGGTCTGAAATGGCGGCAACGCACAGCACTAAAGGTACGGGAACATCGCTGCAAAATTAGCTGGAGCGGAGGACAAGTGAGGAACCATATGTCCATTATGTAGAAGGTTTGAATGGAATACAGAAGTACTAAAGGGGCCGGGGCGGACAACAGCCATTCCGCTGCTTACCACACGGCCGGGTACCCGCGACCCGCCACTGCGCTCACACGGGCAGACACGTCGTCCGGAGACGAGACTACGGTGTGCGCGGCCTGCTCGACGACGCCGCGGCTGAGGTTGTGCAACTTGATGCGAATTGCAGCGTCGAGCAAGAGCTCCGCGAATGCGGGGTGCATGATTGCCAAATGCGGGCAGTGGTGACTCGACTAACGCCTCGCGTAAACCAGGCTCCAGCCCTCTGACCCCGCGGCTCTTCACACATCACTGTCCATTCCGGCCTCGACCGCCTCCTTGCCTCCTACCACCACCACCGCTGCCAGCGCCAGCGGCAAGCACCACGTTCCCGACGACGAGCGATGAGCAACTCTGCTGTTAATAACCCGGCCTATCCCGCATTCGTGCGGCGCAGAATCGGGCGCGCGCCATCCCCACCCACATGGGCGTGCTACGAGCAGATTCCGTTCGATGATGAGTACAGCGACAGCGGGTCGGAGGACAACTCCTGCTCGGAGGACGAGGAGGACTACGGTCGTGCCGTCCACCCAGGGAGTGATGTCTCCGACGGCGATCCTCATGCCGCTCGCGAGAACGGGCATGCGCTTCCGGCCGGCGACGACATAGGACCTGATGAGGGCGATGAGGCTGCTGCGCGGAAGATAGCGGAGTACAAGAAGGACGTCAAGGGAAAGCAGCGTGCCATTGAGCCTGAGCCCGAGCCTGAGAGCCCCAGGAGGCAGCACCGAAAGAAGCGTCGCCAGCCGGTCTTTACTCTCCGCCCAATCTTGACCATCCAGAGGAGCCAAGGTTTCGTGTGGAACCAGGTGAGAGCACAGTCCTTCGGCAAAGGTCTGAGCCAAACAGCGCGACTGACATGACATACCCAGGACCTGTTCGTGCCGCCATACATTAAAGACAGATGTTCGTTTGTCATCTTCCTTCCTTGCAACGATTGCTCATCTAACACCACACCCATGCCGTGCACGTGTACTGATTATATGTCCCTCAGATGTCGCGTCGACTTCCCCGCCGAACGTGTCGGGTTTTGTGTCAGCTCCTACGGCACCCGGGATGGATTACGAGGTCGAAGTGGTTGAAATTCGGGTCAAGGAGGGCGAGCTCAATGACATTATCCCGTAAATTAGTTTCCGTCGTCCCTTAGCACAGTTTGAATATCCCAGTTCCTCGTATCCCCAGGTATCGCCTCAGTGTTAGACCTCCCCCCCTGTATCTCATCCAGCTATATACCTTACCACTGTATCTGCCCCCACACTCACGAACTGTACCAAATGCTACTCGAGTTATTTTACCTGTCTGCGCCGTCGCGTTGTGTCAAACTCAGACCATAGCCAATAAATCATCCTCCACCTCGCGCATGCGTGCAGCTTCCTTCTTCCGCTCCCGTTCTCGTTCCTTCACGGCCTCCGCCTCTCGCGTGACCTTGTACGAGGGCGTCACGTACGGTTCGTAATCCAGGTGCCGCTTGACGTAGAAACACATATACGCCTGGGATTGTGAGCCGAGGCACGCGCCGAGGCTAGAATGTGTCACTCTGTGGGGGCCGTCTCTCAGCAGCTGCCGCTGACAAAGGTAGAGACGGCACACTCACTTGTCATCGTCAAAGCGGTACCACTGCTCCTGGTGAGAAGGACAGCCCGTGATGCGTGACAAAGATCAGACCCACCTCATCCCGCGAACGCGCGAAGCATGTATAGTGGCCATTGTTGATCTGCCCCTCATGACATACAACTGAAAAAAGATCGTACTCGTACATGGCCCGAGGCCCAGGAAACTCGCTAAATCGCCATAGTTCCTGCATTCAGCGACGTGCGTGGACGAAGAATGCAGGATGTGTGCTCACGGGATCGTCGCGGATCCCAACGTTCCGCTGCCTTTTGCTTCTCGATCCTTCATGTCCATGACGGCGGACGTGAACGGTGCCATATTGATAATTGACGGAAAGCGGACAGGTGCCTCGATCTTGTGGGCCGCGGACTTATCTCCGGCTTTGTGCTCAAAACGCTATGCCCGATTCGGTTTGCCTCTAGATACCAGATTACGCGAGCGTCGGAGGTTCTCACCTTGAACTGGAAGCTCAGCACAGGTGGCAGCTTCCGGATACTCAATCGCTTGCTTGCTTCCTGGAAGGAAGAATCAGCACAGCAGAGACAAGGAGAGGTCTGATATGGAACTTGCATGGGAAGCTTTCCCACATTTGGCACAGCTGTATTGGTTCGGCCCCAGTTTCTCCGGCTGAGTAAATCTGTCACTGGGTCAAGAAGTCATCTCAACGATCGTAATGTTACTACTTACTTCCTCAGACACGAAGCCAGTGTCAACTCCTGGCCGGCTTGCCCAAGGCTCTTATCCTGCAGCTCTAAACTGATGTCGAACATGGGGTCGGTGGCGGTGGTAACGTTACCGCAGCGTTCGCACTTGACATCGCTCTGCAGCTGCCCGGCGAACGCAGAATGTACGATACAAATGCAGTGAAGCTTCGTCGATCCACGGGTTTTGGTGTGGATCTCATTCAAGGCATGCATGAAGAACTCGTGTGCATCCTGCTGCGCATAGCCAGAAAGGTCTGGCGAAGCCTGCCACGTTGTGGCGAGGAAGCTCGTCGGGCCATACGGCGTTGTATTTTCTGAGAAAACCTGTTCACGCGTCAGGGGTCAAGCGAAATTACGAGAAAGCCGAGGCGTACTTCAGTAAAAACTTTGTCCATTTCACAGCAGATACATGCTTCGTTTTTGCACAGCTGATAATTGTGTTTGTCGCTTAAGAAATAGTGCCTGAGAAGCGGATTCGCCGCAAATGATTGGAGAATAGCATTCATGAAGCACGTTTGGCCAAGGTTCAGTAATCCTCTCCGGCCTGCAGATGTATTCATGAGCTCATATTTCGCAATTCCACGGTAGAAATCATCGACGAACCGTAACATGCAGCCGGAACAGATGACTCGAGGGCGGCCGTCTCTTTCGTATTGGGTGACCATGACCTGAACGGCTCACGGCATCGCGTCCCATCTGTGCATCGTGTGAACTGGGTACAATGCGCCGATACGAGACGCTGTACCTCGAAAACTGGTGTTCTTCTCTTCCGTAGTAATTGTGGCCGCTGCGAACATGGAGTTCACACCGCTATCGTAGACAAAATCGCCGCACTCGCTGCAGAAGATTGAACCGGTCTTGACATCGACGCCTGCAGTGGAACCGTTGAGGGGACTGAGAATATGAGGGAGGTAGAGCCGCATGAAAGTGGAGTAGCCAACGATATGGACGATACTGGATGCGAAAATTACGGATCTGTAATGAAATAAGTACGTACAAAGTGTATGTCCTGTCTCCTCCAGATGTCGCTTCACATGACCGTCTCTCCAGCATCCAGAATATGAGCATCTCAGGCATGCGAAAGGACGCGGAAGTGGTGAGTCACAGGTCCCACACGTAGGGGCTGCAAGCTGCATTCCGGTCAAACGGGCAATCTGCAGATACCTTCATTGGGGACACCCACCTTGCGTCGCTTTGCAGGACGAGTGATACTATGCGAGTATCGCAAATTCCACACTGCCATAGATTTGAATTTGTGTGAAATGTGGAGAGGCTCCAGAGAAGATTCAGCAATGTGAGGACATGTTCCGCTGGCGTTGTCGGCCATTTGAGACATCGTGGTTGCCAGACTGTTGCACTATGCTGATATGTGAACTGTTTTATACAAAATTATATTGAGTGCGTCTTGCAAAGGTCGCAGCCAGGAGAGCAATGAACGATGTGGCGAGTTCGTTCTTACTGACCGCAATACTTGGATTTCGATCTCACAATAGATCTCGCGTGATACACGAGTCACGTGTGCCAGATTAGCTCATGATCCAAGCGCCCGCCTGTCGTGCCTGCTGTCTGGACATAGTATGACTATGAGGATTAGCACTACATAACACAACGAACATACTTAGCTTCTTGTTTTAACAAGCGCTGCAGGTACCTCTAGAATAACTCCGACGTTCCCCTACACGAGATTGGCTGCGGATCTATGTTTCTAGCACGTTTATTGGAAGGCTACTTCGCCCGCCACGGCTCTGAAATAGACACACAACGTGCTAACAGGGACAAGGGACATTCGTTGGAGGACAGACACAAACAGCTGAAAAACTGTATCTTTTGCAATGTATCGGTCCAAAACGGCTTTGATGTTGTGTGGGAGGTGAGCTCCATATTCTTCATCATACTCCCATTCAGAGCTATTTACAATTGAGGAACGGACTAGAATAACGACTTCATAGCGTTTCGAGACCACAATCCGTCCGCGGCTCATCATTTCCAAATGATCACAAAGCGACACATAGGTACGACTCTGCGTGTCAAGCCCTGCTTATGTCCAACTGCGAGATCACGTCTTGCCTCTTCCAGACAGCGTGAAATCCTTGTGCAAGGATGATGTCGACGTTGGTACGGATGATCATTCATCATTGACATGCTTGTAACGGCACACCGGTACTTAGTTGGACAGATGCATGACATTGGGCATCGTATTTTGGAGGAGCTAGACGTGTCCCCTACTCTACGCTGGTACGTCATCATGTCCCTCCGACTGTCGATCAGGCTTGAAATGGCCTCAGTTTGGGCTTTCACATACCGCCCTTTAACTCGGTAATGCACCTGCACATGCATGTCCAGGCGCTTCCGTATCGTTCCGTGGTCCGGGCTCTCAAATATCCTGTTGTGTCCGGTAGGGGCGGGCTCGAGAAGGGGTTTAGTTGGTTCGTGACTGCGGATCAATCAATTCGTATCCTAGACAAAGGGCGTCGCGTAGGTGTGCTTCCTTGCTAGAATGACATGACTTTGGTTCACCCGGTATTATCAAATTTGTTTGAGTGTGGAAGACACGGTACGTCAATAGCACCAGGAGCAGGCTTGTATTTGACTTGTGTCAGTTTCCTAGACTACAACTCAAATGAGCAAAGGGCACAACAATAGGCCTTACGTATCAAGGGAATATTTCCTTTCGTGTGCGCAGCTTCCTCAAACGATCTCCTTCAATTTCACAGCTCGACCTCTCCGCACACACTTGGCCGGTTCTACTTCCCGGCTTTTGCTACAAAGGCTGAAAATGCAATTGCATCGCGTTCAAAGCCGAATTTACCGCCCAAGCCCACAGTAATTACGAAGGACGGAAAGCTATTTCAATGATTCATAGGTCGATTTTGGCAGTCCTCTCAGCGAATTACGTGACGTGCCCTGTGCGCGTTGTATCTCAGTAATCAATGCCTTTGGACCCCGTTTCTAATCCTGACATCTATGTACGGCCATGTGAAGACACCGTCCAGCCGACCGCAGGCGTGCATTCACGATTCACGGCGTGGTCTACTTACAATGTGTTTCGTCCGGTGCCGAAGTCCTTGTGTTACTATTCTTGTACGCAATTAACCTCGACAGCACCTACTGTCACAACACATACTCCACAAACTCGCTCGAATTCTTCCCACGAATTCCCGTGGACAGACTCAGGAATAGAAGAATCGATGAGAACCTCCATGGTGAGAGCGGATGCTCCTAATATTCTCTATGAATAGGTTTCACGCTCACACCACTACATTCATTGCCTTCCCAGCATATTACACTATCAAATTGCTCATACGTATTTCCGCGGGGCCGTGATTCTGAAGTCATACCCCCTCTGACATAGCACTAAGGACCCATGCCTGTGAGACGGTCGTCAGTAATTGACAATGCCGTAGTCACTGCTCCTGCATTTTGGTCCCTCTTTTCCGGTTGTGTGCGTGAACCTTACGCTTGTCAGGTGCTCATGAAACAGCGACAAGAAAAATCATCATGATACGCGAGGGGCTCGTGCTTGCAGAGGAGCATTTGTTGTGCGCCGAAGTTCGTCTCTTCCTATGTCCTCGGTACCGTAGTGTCCGTCTAATGCAGGGCTTCAGTGGCATTAGACGCAGACATCTAGAAAAGCCAGAAATCGACGGCGGTGGCTACTTCATAAATAGCGAAAACGTCGATTCGGGACATCCACAAATGGCTATTTTCGGGCGGGACTATCTTTGGGCACTACAGACTCCATGCTTCGCAGGATGCACCGTCTAAGAGCCGATTGGTGGGTAAGTTGCTTGTTGGTCCAGAGTAGCAGTCCTCAGAGAACTCGATGACACGCATCGACCAGGTGCTGAGTACTCGTGGTGTGTTCCATGTGACCATGGTGTACGTTCTCCTCGGCTGATTGCTCATTCTCAGGGGTGTATGCTGCCGCAGACCTTTCGCGACTTAGTCGTGAGTTATTCCGGCTCTCTTCCAAAATTTCCTCCCCGTACAGACGCATGAGAGAGTTCTCAAGCGTGCTGTTTCTAGTGGTATGCTCATTCTAATGCTATTGTTAGCGGTATTCGACGGCGTGCTACTGCCCGCTTTGTGAAGCCGTGCTGCTCAGCTACTCTCATACAGCAGTCATATTAAGTAATGGTAGCGATACCTGGGCACCCTTGTGTTTTCGTTGCGTAGGTGACGCACTGCCCACTTTACTGCGCATGGTGTAAAGCATCACATGTGCCGTACAGGAAAGCTCACCTTCTAGGCGGTCGCGTTTCCACAAAGGAAGAGATCCGCTGATCGTAACTTAAATTCCCGCACGACGCACGCCCAGACATCTTTCGCGGAAATGGAGCGTTGCGATTATCAGTAGTCGAGCCGGGTCAACCGCAGCGTGGGTACGGATTTCGGGCGTACAACCGATAGTTGCCGGCGTTCTACATACGGCCTAGGAAGATCACTGTGATCTCAATACCAGGAAATCCTGCTCAAGAACCTCCGAAGAAGCTACGTGTCCGTGCTAAAAATACTCCGTTGCGGCATTGCGCCCAAGTGCAGAATAAGTAATCCTGTGGCTTCTTCACGATGTCCGCGTGCACTCCATGTAGTGTGCGAGCTCACGCTCAGCGGCTGTAGGAAACAATGGGATTTTGTGCCAAATGATAGTTATCGTCAACCGTGTCAACCGTGCACAAAAATCAACTGCACCTTCCGTCCCTGTATAAAAGGGCAGCAAGTAGTTTGCGGTCAACCAGGCCAGTCACTCATCTCTTCACCATGAGTCGATTCCTGATCTCCATCGTTTGCGCTGTTGTGCTTTCGACGCTCGCTGTCGCCGCACCAACTGGTGGCAGTGACGCTTCCGGTACGCCGGTTGTCTCAGCAGAGCCTGCGTACGAAACGGTGCCACTTGCGAGCGACGACCCGAATGCCATTACGTGGAATGTTACGACCGATACCGACCCTCAGCCCATCCGCGGCGCTCTTGGATCCACCATCATGGCGCAGCAGAACGTTGCTCTTCAACGACTCAACCCCGACCTGCTAGCCCCGCCAACTACTGATGCGGGTGACATGTGGGTGCCGGGAAATTGACTCACCCTGTTCACTAATGGAAGGCCCCCAATAGTCCAAACCTGAAGTGGTCATTTACAATGAGCACAAATCGACTGCAAACTGGTGGTTATGCTAGACAACAAAATGGTATGCCCTCGCGATACAACAGACTGCTTCCACGCTAACGTCATGTCTCAAGTCAATCAAATGCCAATTGCGACCTGTAAGTCCTTTGTGGAGGATTTCACCGTGCGTTTTGGCTAAAACACCTGCAAAGCCATGGCTGGTGTCGACATGCGTCTTGAAGCTGGTGCCATTCGGTATGCGGATGGTTATTGCTTGTAATAGTATAGCATGCTAACACCTGCCACAGGGAACTGCACTGGCACAAGACTGCTGAGGTATGACATAGTACCTTCCAAATTTTCGTCATTAACTAACCCTCTGCGCAGTGGGCCTATGTTCTGAGCGTACGCGTGAATCTTCTGCACACATGAGGTTTAGCTAACCCTCATGGTAGGGCTACATGCAAGTAACGGCAGTGGATTCGAGCGGCCGTAATTTCCTGGGCACTGTGGTACGCAGTCACTCGTTCTGTGACGGCACGTCTTCTGATCTGCCGTTGATTTCTCACCCGGTCTTTAGGGCCCAGGCGATCTGTGGTACTTCCCACCCGGCGTTCCGCACAGTCTGCAAGCTACCAACCAGACTGAGGCAGGCGCAGAATTCCTGCTTGTGAGCCTCAGTCCCTCCTACACTCCTCTCCTTAGCTTAGTGTTCTCCCGGAAGATCTTTAACAGTGGCGACTTTAGTGAGGACTCCACGTTCTTAGTATGTACTCTTAAGTTCCTTCTCTCGGGTGGGAACAAAGGGTTTACTGTCCCTGAACATCCTATGCAGTTGACCGACTGGCTCGCCCACACCCCGAAGGACGTCCTGGCCAAGAATTTCGGTACAACGATTGAGAATTTGAACAATTTGCCGGCCCAGCAGCTATACATCTTCCCAGGAAGTGCGTGCTGTGTCAGCCTAATTCGCAGGAATGTCTGACGAGGTCCCTTCAGCTCCCCCGTCCCCCGAAGCAACTGCACCCGAGGATCCTCAGGGACAAGTGCCGGCGCCCTATACTTACGCTCTTTCGGAAGTCACTCCTACACAGCTTGCCGGCGGTTCAGTGAGGATTGCCGATTCGTCTTCGTTTGGTATCTCCACGGGCATCTCCGTCGCCGAAGTCACTGTTCAGCCCGGAGGAATGAGGTAGGTCTGCGAGCCCTATTGCCCGCCTCGGTAGCTGACGGCCCGTATCATAGGGAACTTCACGTGAGTGAATCGTCTTCTCACTGTCCTCAGCCCTGACAGTCCCGCACCATAGTGGCACCCTACTCAGGACGAGTGGACGTACTATATGTTCGTGCACCTTCGTTGAAGCAGCTCAGGAGCACTATAATTTACCCCATACAACAGAAGCGGCGCTGCCAGGGCAAGTATCTTCGCGTCATCAAGTACGGCTAGAACCTATAACTACGAGGCAAGCTTCAATGCTGCTCTATCATGTGATATCTCACACGTTCCGTCAGGCTGGTGACATTGGTTTCGTGCCAGCGAGCTACGGTACGTCGCATCCGATATCAATTTCGTATGTTCTTGAAGAATCCGGTTCTTGATCCAGGCCATTACATTGAAAACATCGGGGATGAGCCTCTGGTATTCCTGGAGATTTTCAACACTGGTGTGTATTTACATTACATGGTGCTGATGAGTCGCATATTGATTTCTGTGCAAAGACGCCTATGAAGACATCAGCTTGAGCCAGGTGAGTTTGCATAATGGAACTTCAATAAACATACGCTGAATCGATAACGATAGTGGCTGGGCGTGACGCCACCGTCGCTGGTACAAGCCCACCTCGGCTTCTCCGACGAGCTGGTGGGCAGCCTCCCCAAGACGAAGCCTATCGTTGTAGGAGCTACGAGTCTTTAGTGGGCTGGATTATGAGTATGCACTATCTTCGCATTCGGCGGAACCTTTCTTGCGGGATTGTTGTGATGTATGTGAAGGACCTTTCGCCCGTTTAATGCATTCACGGGTCGTTTAAGCTGAATGGGGCTATCTGACTGACATTCTGTGTTGTGATCGAAGCCCGAGATTCTAACGCTATTCATTCGGAGATGCAAGCCTAAGATTAGAGATGAGCGAAGGAGAGCATTTGAAATGGTAGGGTAGCATTCACAGACAGAGGAATTGAGTTCGCCAGACGTGGTAAGGATCTCAGCTGGACCCTGCCGCTCTTCGGCCGAATAGGCGAAGACAGCGCGTGCCGGCGAGATGCTTTCTCAGGAACATGCTACCTATAGACCGCAGTCTGGGTTGTCGATCTGAGAACATTGTGCCAGAGTACAAGGGGCTACTGACGTGGGTAGGACACGTGGAAACCTTGGTAGGAGGCACAGACCGTCCAAATTGAATGGAGTTACTCCTTGATGGCCGTGATACGATGTAGGAATTAGCACGTGAAGTCTAGACCTGCATCGTTGCGGTCGGTCATTACAAAGCAGGGTATCAGATACATTATGCATACATTCATCCATAGGTACATACACAACAGCGATAGCAGATACAAAAGCATAATACAAGCGCAAAAATACCCGCGACGGGGGAAATACAGAACGGGGGAAATACAAAACGTTCATGAGCGCGACGCCTGGGCTAAGAGGGCATCGCCCGCACTGGAAGACACCAATAGGATCGGATCGGCCGTGTGATCCATGGGCATCATGGTCACTATCTCATATCCGTCTTCTCTGTGAGCAGGGTGACGCCGACTCATATATCAGATATGAGGAACACTGAATGAGATTTGCCACTGACACCTGTTCATCGTGCCCCAGAGCTGATGGCTCAGGCTGGGAGGCACCCTGACCACCCTCCAATGAGATTTCGTCGGGGTTTTCTTCCGTCACCAAACCTAGCCCTTGCGCTGGGATTGAGTGCGGACTTAAACCCTGACTGTCCTCATCCACCTGGACATCTCCACCTGCGCCTTCGGCGTCTACGCCATGAGGGCTCTCGCGATGACTTCCCGTGATAGATGGAGTACGGGTATGTGATCGGGCATCACGCGCAGAGCTGGCTGGCGATCCCTCCGATATGCTTGTTGCTGAGCTGCGAGGAGTGCCCGGAAATATCTCCCACAGCTTTGGGGAGCGGGATTGCACCGGGCTTACTGAATGCCGAGCTTTGTGCTGGAGCCGATGTGATAGCATGCAGACATCCTCCAAGAGATCAGAGTCATTCTGTATCATCTTGCTGTCGGTGCGCCCATGTACTGATTAGGACAAGTAAGGCTCGCAAGTTCCTGCACTCACGTCAAGTCGCTATCGTCACGCTCGATGAGCCAACGACCGGTTATACGCTGGGCCGATATGAATCCTGTCACTCTGGGCCGCGACCTCAGGTCCCGTTTGAGCGCATATTCCAGCACCTGTTCATAGTTCCAGTCCGCCGGGTCCCGCTGGCGATACTCCAGTGAGTTCGAACATGGAACTGCATCTGATTGAGACTCACGGAATCCCATGTGTCACTATCACTGGGTTCTGCTATCACGGGTGTACTCAAACTGCTGAGTCCGTACAGCCCCGCGAGGTTGAGATGGTCGAGGATCGTGCCGCGGGCCGGAGATCGTGGACTTCTCGTCACATCAGTACTATTCGACAAACGTCTCCCACTGAGAAAAGGAGAACCGGAGCTTGGCGAAGATTGCATAGTGACTTGCAAAGTGGAGTACGCCACACTGCCCAGGCACAATGTCAGCGGGGGTCGCTCCAAAACGACGCCGAAACCGACCTGTAACGGCCTGCTGAGTAGCTAATGCCTGCGAGTGAAGATTCGCCAATGAACACAATGGAGCAGGCGCGTCCTGAGACCGAGGAGGGGATGGACTTCGAGTGTACGCGGGAGAGATAACCGCGGGAAAATAAGTACGCAGTCGGCATCGCCTTTGTGGGTCCCACATCGACCCAGTAAGCGGGCGCTGTATTGCCCAGCCTAATACAGTCCGGGCCGTCAGCATGCACTACAAGTTCATCACCTATCATGCACGGAGGCCTCGAGGCAGCTCAAGGGCGACCAGATACCTCGATGGGAGGAGCACGCCTCATCGTCTTACATCGCACCAGCAGTACCACCAAATCATCATGTATTCCAATCGCATGTCCAACTAGCTGTGTCTTAGCCCTGCAGGAGCTACATCTGGGACAAGTATCTGGCATACCCAGCTACATGCTCCAGGGCTCATGCACTAAGACAAACCTAATTCTACGTGCAACTGAGCGGAGTGTAACTTGGAGAGCAGGACGTCAAAAGCAACTCTGAGATGTATCCCGCGGCCACGGCAAACTTGGGCACAAGTAGCAAGCAGGATCGATTAGACACAATAACCTGGAGCGAGGCATGATGGCAGCAGAGCAGAAGAGGTTCGACCTTGGTTAGACCGATATTTAAGGCGTTTTTCTGCGTGTTGATGGCCGGCACCAAGTTCATACTCCGCTGTGGCACTCACAGACTCCTACTTGCTTGCCGTACTAACCCATCACCGTGACCTTATTGCAATCCTCACCTATAGCCTCACACCGGCAAGAGTAGACTTCTGATAGCTGATTTCTGTCTACTGAATGTTCGTATAGGCCGCTTATCTACACCCGGGCAAGGACTTACTCTATAAGAAATTGAGCTTAGCAAACGCAAAGTAAGACACCTTTCGTACGTCTGGCGTAATCATAAAGTGGAAGCTTTGACATGTGCTCTTTATATGATGACGCCATTAAAAATGCATTCACTGAGTGATACGCAGAAATATGCCACTTGAACTCATCAAAGTGCTAAAGCATTGCTACTCGAACCGCTCATATCTCATTGCGGCATTTGGCAGTTGGAATCACTCTTACTGCTGAACGTCATATAATGTTACAGCTTTAAAATGGCGTCAACCACCAACTAAGTACACAAAGGTACCCATGATACAAACATTGCATCCATGTCATGAGTACTGCGGCGCAAACGGCAGGCGTGGTTTGCAGATATATTATTCCTCTCCAAGGCTGTCATCACTCGAGGCTCAACTACATTTATTCATGCGATGCAGGTAAGTGGACAAGCCCGATCCCTGCAAGTAGGTGCGTTCTACCAAGATCTTGAGAATCATGAACAAGCGCAATCCGGGGCTGGCTGACGACTGTCAGCCATAGAAGAGTGCTTATAACGGTGCAGATGGATCCCATCCACACAGAGTTTTCTTGCCTCAAGACATCATGTTCGCTCTCACCGATTTGCTTGTCTGCCTCCTGCAGTTTTTCACTACTCTATGGGCATGGATCACTTCTCGTACGCGCTCTCCTTCCGAAGTCGACATCGAGGCCGTGCTCGTCGCCTACAGTCCAACGACTGGGCACCCCGCAAATCAGTGCCCTATCTCAAAGGGTAATGAAGGCTCTCGTGCAGGGATTGTCGACACTAGCCATACCCCAGCAGCAGTCTCTCCAGGAGATCCAGAACGATATATCCAGGAAGTCGCCTCTGCAACCCAAGCCTCGCCAACTCAGTATGTATCTCCGTCTCCCCTCAACCCACATCACTGACAACTTACTCAGATGCAACACCATCGCCTCCTGCTCTTCAAGTACGGACACCTTTGACTGTCCTCTCTCGCCTACCCCGTCATGTTCGTCCCCGTGCCCATCGCTCGACTCATCGATCGCGTCGACGCCAGTGTCCTCCTGTCCCGGCACACCACAGTTCCTGCCGACCGTCTGCGGGATCGCGCCAGTTGGGGTCCTGGGCGACGACGTTCCCCTGCCGCCCCCAGCGGAGGACGCCCACCTCGAGGGCATCAAGGTCCCGAAGTGTCGCCCGCTCCAGCTGCCGTCAGCCGCACATACGCTTGTCGACGACATCCGGCCTCCTGCCCCGCCGCCAGCGGATGATGCTGAGGCGGATCCCTTCTGCCTTTCTGCTGGCTCTTATTCCGCAGATGGAAACTGGGACACGACGTCCCCCGCGGACGATGCGGGCCCATACAGCTTCAGCATCTACTCGAGTGCCGCCAAGACACTCCGCGGGCACCCTGGCCGCAGGTCCAAGTCAGCCGCATCGTCGAAGCCCACGTCAGCCGCCATATCCAGCACGCCCGCGCCCTCAAGCATCCACAGCACGCCTAGCCCCGCGAGCGCCGTACCGCCTCAGGACGCCGTCAAGCCTCCTCCGTCCAGCAAGCCGCGCGCCCCGGTCCCGCCCGCTGCTCCCCGCGGCGTCCGGCCGCTCAGGCTGCCTCGCGGCGCCACCAAGCCCTGCTCCGTCGCACCGCCCGCGCCTCTGACCCCGACAGCGCCGCTCGTGATCAGGAAGCGCAAGCCCGTCCCCTCCCGCGCGGCGCCGCCGCGCGTGTGCTCAGCACCCTCGGACGCCACGGCGGAGCGCCGCGCGTCGCAGCTCGACGACCTCATCGCGCTCGTGGACGCCGCAATCACCACGGGCAGCTTGGACGCCTTCGCAGCCCTCGGCTCCGCACCGCACGTGGGCGCGCTCGGTGCCGGCCACGCCGGATCGCGCGTCGGGCCCGCAGGCGATGTGGGCCACAACAGGCCCCGCAAGATGCAGCAGCCCATCTGCCAGCTCGATCTCGGCGAAATGGGCGCGGCACCGCGAGGGAAGGCCCGCCTGGACCTGGAGCCCGACGGGTCTGGTGGCGACGTCATGCAATGCTACGGTCTCGCGTTTTAGGTTCGGCCGCTGTTTCTTCCGGGTCCCGACGCTTCGCTGACCGCGACCGCTGCGCAGCTACGCGTCCGACGCCGCGCTATAAATGCGCGGGGGCCGTGCACAGCCTTTGCTGTTTCTGTTCCCACTGTTTTCCTTGCTGCGCCTTCGCGTCCGACCTCGACTATGACTATCTTTATTCTTAAGTTATCTGCTTCCTTTGCGGTCCGCCTTCTCGGTTTCCTAGGTGAGTCACCGCTTCTCCCGCAGACTGTCCTCTTCACTGACATTGCTGAATAGCCTATATGATCGTCAGCCCCGTCCGTCTCTATGATCATATGGTACGATCGAATTACGAATGGTGTTTCAGTTGTACTCGCAATTCCCCATCTCACTCCATTCATCGCATCACCGTAGCGTCTATCGTCTGTTCTCGAATCCTCTAGCTGTATAGGCGTATTACGGAGATCTCCTAGTGTATTATACACCGTGTAATACAGAGTCCCTGCTGACCGCTGGCCTCCTTCCTCCTTCGTCCGAGGCTGTGCGCGACCCCCGCTAGATCTGTTCACCCGTGAGTCGTTGAGGTGCCGCACCACTCTCTCAACAGGTTCTCCCGGGAACGCGTTCCCTAGTATGTACTCAACGCATCTCGGTCGTCTAGAAATCTAGAAGTGTAGCTGAGATCCAGTGAATACCCAGTACACGCCGGCGCCCTTGTGTGAGCCGCGCAATGGCACTGTTCAGTGAGATTTGACGAAGTTTGTTACGAGCGCCTTGAATTCATTCGGTCTACAAGACGAGGCGCGTCAGCGAATGCATACCGCTATACAGTTGTTCACGTACTTCTCCGCATGAACTATGGGTGCACGTGTCAGTTCGGAGCCAGGTGCGAAGAAGACGGACATACCCCAGTGGCCAGCCTCCAGCTTCTCGAGAACCATATGCGGGAAGAATTGCTTAGCAATGGGAATGTTCCGATTGTTGATGTACCTTCCGGAAGATGAGCAGCATCAGCCAAGCCAGGACACTTATAACCGTACTCAGCCGCGGGACCAAGCCACGCACTTGCTGTGTGTTCCCTTGATGAAGAGCGTGGGCCCCCCCCAGACGCGCTCGCCAGGCTCGTACGGAAACGAGCCTATTTCTGGGATGCTGTCGCCGATGATCTGCAGGGGTATTTGGAACTCGAGGGGCTTGTGGGGGTGGTGGTGGTCGCTCGGCTTGAGGTTCGTCAGCAGGAACGCGCGGGTCATTGGGTCCTGCGGTGTGTGTGTCGGCGCGGGATGTGCCATGCAGGGGAGCGGGCGCGACACACCTGCTCGTACGGCGTGAGGATGTGCTGCGCGTCCTTGCGCGACGTGACTTTCGCGTCCTCAATTTTGCGCAAAGCTTCTACGTAGCCGTTGAATTCAGGGGAGAGGGCACCCTTTGAAGGTGCCATGTCCGCAACAATGAGGTGGGAGAGAAGGTCGCGGGGACAATCCGGACTCAAGGCAAATGCCATGGCGACCTTTCCGCCCCTGCCGCGGCGTTCTGTGAGACACAGTCAGGGCGGAAAGGGTATCAGCGACAAGACGCACATGGAGTGGCCCAGGAGGGACACGTTGGTCAGGGAGTGCTCGCGGCAGAAGTGCAGCACATCTGCGGCCATGGCTGAGTAGGTCATGGGTCGTGCGTGGGGAGAATTTCCGTGATTGCGGAGATCCTTACTTGTGTTCAAATAGGTCGGCGGGTGCGTAACGGAATGGGTACTCACGAGGCAATATATGGGCGTGTTCAGGTCGCGTAGGAAGGCTTTGGATAATGAGAGCCAGTTCCTCTTCATTCCACTGTAAATCAAGTTACAATATGATGTTCTGGAGCGCGCGCGCACTCACAAGAGACCATGCATAATGACGAGCGGCCTGTCGGTCTCGTTGCCGTTGGAGGGAACCAGCTTGTCATATTGCAGAGGAACTGGAAGTATGGGGCCTGCGGACGACAAATGGCGTGCACGAATGCCGCGGTATGTGTGGGGGACGTTTGTGTGTATTCGCATTCTGACGGGGGTAGAGTGAGTCTACTGTAAGGCTGAGTTGAGGCCAAGTGCGGTGGCCGAGTCGCGTCCGTCGCGCGTATATTAGACCACGTGAGACGGCGAGTCGATCGTCGGCGTCGGGTTACTTCGGAGAAGATTCAAGTGTACCGGACAGTCTCTCAATGCCGCCTACTAAGATATATAGTAGGAGGGTCTCGTCCCGCCAGATGCGGCGTCCGAAGAGGTCGTTGGACGAAGCTGACTGGGTAGCTAGCTAGAACATAAAATAGTATTTTCGCACAATACGAAAGACGACGCGATGCTCAGCCTCGAAAATACGACAATACAACAATCTACTCACCGGATACGTGAGATATTACAGCCGCCCGTCCGTATTGAACAGTACACAGTAGTGGTTTGAGGGAAAGCGGGAAAGCGGGAAAGCGGGAAAGCGGTGTCAAACCCAGTAGATAAGAAAACAAAGCCACGGTCGACAGGTATGACGTCAGAAGCTTTTAACATATGAGCTTCGTCGCTGTCCGATCAAATGCAAGCCGCTAAAATGATAATATGTGCAGCTCCCACTCTACTTGTTGTGATGCGGCACAATCGGAGTCGGGTAGATATGCAACTATCGGTACAAGGTAACGTCTACGAATCTCGTTCCAGGGCCGCCAATTCTTCTTTAAGTTTCTTCAGCTCATCTACCGCCGCCGTCGTCTCCTGCTCCAGCTCGGGCGTCTTGGGTGTCTGCCCCTTCAGCGCCCGCACCTTCTGCCCCTGCTCGGCCACCTTCTGCTCCCATGCCAGCACTTCCGCCGACTTCGGGTTCGACTCGTCTGCAACGGTCGCTGCCTTCTCCGCCGCCTTCTTCGCCGCCGCCGCCTTGCGCTTCGACATGCCCAGCGCAACATGCGTCGCGTCCGCGCTGGGCTCGGGTGTCGCCTCGCTCGCCTTGCCGCCGAACCTCGCCTTCCACACCTCGACCATCTTCTCGTTGATGCGCTTGAACAGGTGGTCGGGCGTCCCAATGCGATGGCCCGGCAGGATGTCGTGCGCGAACACCTCCGGCACTGCCCGCGCCGGCGCGTTGAGCTGCAGCAGGATCGCCTCGGACGTCGACGGCATGAAGGGAAAGATCATGACGGAGAGGACGTAGATGAGGTTGATCGCGCGCGAGACGACCTGCGCACACCGCTTTGGGTCGGCGGCCATCAGCGCCTTGTTCAGGCCCGATGCCTGCAGGTACAGGTTGCCCCGCGCGGACAAGAGCATGACCGTCTGGAGGCCCAGCCGGAGCTTGACGGCCTCCATGGCGTCGATGTAGTCCTTCAGATGCCCATTGACCTCAGAAATGAACTCTGCATCAACGTCATCATTGGGGGAGAGAGGGCCGGGGACGTCGCCACCGTCGGGAACCACGCTATCGTATTGCGATGCGGCGAACTTCAGGACACGGTTGATGAAGTTACCGAAACTAAATGACTGGAATCAGCGCGAGAAGCCCCATCGTCCTAAGGATATGCCTACTTGTTCAGCAACACATTGTTGTTAGCAGCAACCTAGCAAGCCAGTCTCAGCCTTGTGGGCACTCATCGCACGACAGAGACCTACACAATCCGACCATGAGAACATGGCGTCCGCAGTCTCCGGTCGAGTCGAGATCAAGTAGTACCTCCACACCGAAGGGGGGATTCCGGTCTCTCTTGCGGCAGGCCCGAACACACCACGATTATGGCTTTTTGAGAATTTGCCTCCCTCGTAGTTGAGGTATTCTAGGTGAACGATTAGGCCAAGTCTCACTGATACGTAGACGGACGGATCGTACCGGTCGTCGACAGGTGGTACAGCGTCGTCCAAGGACGGCCGTCGCCAATCTGAATCGAAGGCCAGAAGATGGTGTGGAAGTAGACATTGTCCTTGCCCATGAACTGGTATAGTCGGACGTCCGGCTTGTTGAACCACCATTGCTTCCACTCCGAGGTGTAGTTCGCCGTGATGCTAGGGTAGCCAATGGGGGCATCGAACTAGATCATACAGTAAACCCGTGATCTCGTTGTCACACGAGACTGTCCTTACCCAAACATCTACATGGTACAATCATCAGCACACCCCCACTGTTAAGTTCAGGCCGTACTCACACAGGACCTTTCCCTTCATTCCCTGATCGTCTTCCCCTTCTACAACCGGGACAGGTACACCCCATGTCAGATCTCGCGTGACCGGACTAGGCCGCATGCCCGCCTTCAGCCGGGCATCAATCAGTTCCCCCTCCGCATTGATCACCGCATTCGGAGACCATTTTCCATCTTTCCAGGACTTCCTGATCCACTCCTCGACCTTTGGCTGGAGAGCGTCGAGCTTGACGTACATGTGGGCAGACGAGCGGGTCGTGACGGTGTGCGCCTTGCTGATGAGGCAGCGGGGATTGATCAGGTCTACAGCATCAAGGGTGCGGCTGCACACGTCGCATTGATCACCACGAGCGTCCTGGAGAAACGTCGTCAAGGCTGGTACGGCGAACACAGATAGCGGCAACGCACGTCTGCACCACAGTGGGGGCATGTTCCCTCCACAAAGCGATCCGCGAGGAATCTGGCGCCAGATTAGCCTGGTTTCGGCGGATGCAAGTACCTTCGACACACTTTGAACATCCTTCGCAGTATGTCTGCTCTTTGATTTGTTTATCGAGGTAGCCATTCTTCAGCAGATTCAGGTAAATCTCCTGGCAGATCCTGCGCGATCGGTCAGTGTGCTGTAGTCCCCAGTATGAACATACTGCTGTGAGACCAGCGAACTCTCAGAGAGAAGCCTACGAAGCAGATTCTTCGGGAATATTGACAATCAAGCGAGTAATGCAGCGCATTTTTTGCGTTCTGCGATTGCTTCAACGAACATATGGATGTACTCACTCTGTATGAAGTGGGGTGGAGGTTCGTCCGAAATGATCGAAGCTGTGTCGCCCGACAAGTCAATGACGGTGAAAGTGAGTAGCAACTTTGATGCTCACCTTAGTTGGAACCACTTGTACGTCTCAACGTGCAATGCATTGTATTTGTCACAGAGTTCTTTTGGCGTTATGCCTTCCTTCAAGGCTTGTGTTTCGGTGGCGGTTCCGTACTCATCTGTGCCGCATATATACAGTGTTCTCCGGTTTCTTGTGCCTAACATTCGATGTGAGCGATGTGCTCTGGGGGATAATGTTTTGCGTACGATTGAAACTGCGTAGAGGGAACAATTGGGGCAGGAACTAGCGAGCGAGAGGCAAGCAGCTTACCGAGCGAAGATATCGGCACTCAAGGTGCTCCCAATGATATTCCCTGCCTCACAGCTGAGGTCAGCAAAAATAACTCGTTCTCGCGGCACTCTGCAACTTACCGAGATGGGGTACATTGTTACAGTACGGCAACGCCGAAGTAATCAAAACATTCTCTTCTCCCTCCTTGGGCAGGCTTTGGGGATCTCAATAAAGGTGTCCTTGTCTTCAGCACAAGTCGTACTCTCACATAGTCTCTCCGGGTTTTGGGATGTCGCGAAGAAGGCCATTGGCCTCGCGGATTCTCTGGGTCATTGTAATCTTATGCACGTCGTCCGGTTCTCAGGGCAGCAGAAAGAATCGATATAACGAGCAGCAGCAGCAGCAGCAGATACGCCGGGATAGAAATACAGAGCAAAGCTACAGAATGTGAGTGCTTTAGGGCGCGCTGAGCGCCGATCGATGACTCGAGATCGCGTCTTGACGCGCTTCACAAACACGCGTACATAACGCGTCCGGCGGCGCAAATATTCGGTTTGTAAACGGGGCACTGTTCAGAGCTGTCCAGCATTCGCCCACAATTGGAATCGAGATTGTACACGCTACTCAAGACAGCCGTACTATTTACCGACAATTCTCTGCTTTGTCTTGCTAAATGCAGCAATGGTATCGTCCGAGACGTCTAGATGCGCCTTGACCACGGCAGGAGGTGTCAGGGCAAGCCACTACACAAGATAAAGTGAGCCAGTCAATGGGACGCATAAAGAGCGTCAAAATCAATCACCTGGGCCAGGCTGACGTCTTGGAATTTGTCTATATCTCGTCGGTTAACCGAAAACATTGACTCGACATGACTATGACACACCTGTCTTCAGGATCTCAAGAAAATGAAGAGTGGTATTCCCCGTATTCTCTATGTAGTGCCCTATTTTGATTCATCAGTATCTTGCTCTAAGAATGTTCGTGTTACGGAACACAAACCGTATGACTGAGGAATGTATCCAATGTCTCCGGCCTGCGTGCTATAAGTACAGCAAGCGATGTCACATATCTCAGACGTTGACTGACCTGAAAATCGAACGTTCTTGCATCTGCGTTGGCCGCGAAAACTGTCACACGAGCGTAACCCTCTCTAATGATGCGTCATGATTAGTGCCGGTCGTTCCAACACACAAAGTGACCACTGACATGAAATAGTCCCACTCCGTTTGCGTGGGATGCCACTATGTCGCACCATTATACGTCAATGATCTTGCAAGAACGAGAAACGACACGAGTAGACGTACATGCAGTTCCCGCATTGCACCGGGTTCCAATGTAACCTCAGCTACCGCCATGGTCTTCGACACCTTGAACGTCGTTGAGTCGACAATCTTCGTAGTGCCTCCTGGAAACTTAGTCGCCTCGACCTGTGAAAGGGGGAAGGTGTAAGGTAGTGGTGTTTGACCTTGAGGACTGGACGGTGGTTGAGCATTGGGATCAGGTGGCACTAAAAGACATTACGGTATCCACATGAGCCAGGCAATGCATCGGATACATGATTGCTGCCTACCACCAGGAAAGATGTAGAGCTCCCGATCTGGTATGTGATCGAAGGCCGATTTTGTGGCTTGGAAATTTCTGACAAGCACTTCTTTCGGGACGTGGGCCAACCAATCTGTCAACTGGAAGACGAGTTGAATTTGTCTAAGTTCTCGTCCTCGCTGCAAGTAGTAATGAACGTACTAGGAACGTCGAGTCTTCACTGAATTCGCCATTGTCAAATACCTGCGTGATGATAGAGTGAGTACAAATACACAGAGCAGGTGCAGTACCCCACCAGCAAGAACTCCGTTCCGTCAGGGTCTTGAGCTGTAGCTTGGAGAGAATGAGGCTGTCCCGGCGGGAAGTACCATAGATCCCCTTGGTTCTAATCAAAATATCAAGTATGATCCATTATTCAATGCACCTACACCGACGTACCGCCGTCGCAACATAGTTCTGGCCATCCGGAGTGACCGTAGACACTTGAGTGCTACCCTACGGCGAAACCTTAGTCTAGAAGCTAAGGATATGACGTCGAGACCAACCTTGAGGACATAAGCCCACTGAACGGCGGACCGTCAGCTCATCTTCTCACAGAAATTGGGTACATTACCTCCGCTGCCGTATGCCAATGCAGCTCACTGTGAAGCGTTGTTGAGTCATCACTTCGAGAGTCGCGAACGAATAAAGAGTCACCGGATTGCCCCCGCTTCGAGACGCATGTCTACCCCAGCCATCTCTGCGTGTTATCACGTCAGCCTCGACGATGTCCCCAAGGCAATTGTTAGCCTACCTGTACTGATCGGTAAGTCATGGACTGTAGACAAATACAATCAGCTCATCGGTAAGCGTGTTATGTTTTGTTAGTTGTCATACTGTTCTGCTGACGAGCCCATCCACCTGTATGAAGGCGATTATGACTCAAAGTAAAAGGCCACTTTATGTTCGGGCTAAATAGGAAGGGATTGGGACCTGAATTGGTCTGCTCTCAGGCCCAGTGAGTTGAGAGGTACGCACACAGAGCCATGGTCTGTAGTCGGGGGTGCCAGTAGATCTGAGTTCTGCAATTGTAGCGGCACGTTTTGCTGAGCGATGATGTCTGCTCCTAAAGTTCCCCGGATTGGCTGGGGGTCCACGTTAGACAGCGGGTTCCAAAGCTCCCGGTTCGGATCGTCAGTCGCGTATGGCACAGTCGGACTTGGGTATGCAGGGGCAGACTCTGTCAATGAAGGAGCGAGAGGGATGGCCGTTACTGATGCTGCGCATACTGCAGCGACAACGAGACTCTGGAGACGGGTGACAAGTTGTCTTCGCATGTTGATGCACTTGGTATAGCAGCAGAGGGCTAAGGTTCAAGTTGCTCTGGACGCAGAGAATATAACCTCCTGCTCCTGTCAGCCATTTCCTGTCACTGGTCAGCCATGGCGACTGACACCATCCCACCAAAAAGGTCTTCATGCTTGGGCCGCTATAGCCGGCCATGGTGAACACGTCGTCTCAAGAGAGTTTTAGAACAGGCTATAGAATCAGCGCACGCATTCATTGATAGGTTTGTGCTGCTGAAGGTACCTATTGTCACGGTCAGTCCAACGCGTGCGATGCGGACGCGTCGATCGACGCGCTCTACTGTGACGCAACGCGCCTGTCACACGCTCGGTCACGAGTTCCTGTTCACTTCCATTCACGCTTTTCCGCGCACTCTCTACCTCCGTCCACTATCATTGCATAGGTTCCGGGTTTTAACCGTAGATATACGAAGACTGGAGGGTACTCCATATTGAGTGGGCATACAACAGTGCTGTGACACGCTGGACTCTTGAATGGCACCGTTCTGGGCAACCTACAAGCCCTTCGGTCAACTTGAGCACCCGTATTTCGGCTCCTTCCGCGGCAGAAAATCATGACGGTCAAACGGTCCCAGTCAGTTGCATTTTGCCTATTGGAGACATTACCGACCCTACCCTTGAGCACGACAAACCGACGACGCCCGCCATTGCCGCTCACGAAGCACAGCACGCGCCTCAGGAGGTAACCCCGGTTACAGTGGAGGACTTTCTGCAATGGTCCACGCGCACCTCAACCAGACACTATACTCGCCAAAAAAGACGCCGCGTTCAATTCCACCAAGATAGAGGACTGTCTACCCAGAGAGAACACAATGCTTGCGACTCCACTTATTCTGGGTCCGAGTCTAGCGATTACGACACAGATCATGCGCCCAAGGGAATGCATCGAGGGGGTAGCAAGAAGCTTGGATCATCGCGGAAAGGCAGGTCACTGGCTCTCACGACCCAGCGCGCTCGACGTCAGCGCAAGAAAGATGCCTTCTCCAAGCGACTAGTCACCGCGGCACAGCTCACCCAGGTCGAGGTAGATCCGGTCTTCCGCCATAAAGACGCGCATATAGGCAGTCGCCCTCCGCTGAAATTTGTCCCTGACCAGTATGAGCCTTTATCGGGTTCCGCCGCGCGGCCGGACCGCGGTAAACGCGTTGATCCACGGACGACCGACCCGTTCGACGGCGCGCCGTCTAGGTTAATGTTCTCAGCAGACCCACCGGCATCGCCAGTTCTAGCGCGAGCGAAGAGGCCGGTATCTGGCTGGAGGCCACAAAGCTATGAGAATGTCGAAGCACAGTCTGTGACGGCACCCAGACGTAAGGGTAGAGCAAGTGCGTCAGATAGAGGCCCAGAGCGATTGGATGTGATACCCTTAGTCCTCGTCCCTCTAGAGGATGAGGTAGATCGCCGAATGAAGTATTTGTCGTCTGGGTGACTCCGGAGCTTTCCTTGATAAACGCAAAGTCTGACTTAATGGGATTCTACAGGCCTGACTCTGCAGCGAGTAACACACGAGGATCTCTATGTCGTAAGGACGGTGAGACTCATTCCGAGTATACCCCGCTGTCTGTCGTTGCCGCAGCGTCTCCTCGAACACAATCTATCCAAGGCAGTTGGGCGTCTCGTGCTATAGCCAACGCAAATACATCTCTACAGCTGCATGTCATTTCTACAACGGCTGTCCATACTTCGTTGGCCCATTCGACACCCTGTTCAGCCACAAATGGTCTCGTTCCCGCTCAGCAGTCTCCTGACAACTCTGGTTTCGCTGCTCAACGCACCCCTATACCACTCCATCCTGAGCCATGTGTCGCCACTCCTCTACATCTTGCTACCTCTACTCAAAACGACAGCTCTCCACGATTGACTGATGACCCACGTTCTCACATTGCTCTCGGAAATGGACTGGGTTTGGAACATCGTCTAGATTGTTCTGCTATCGTATCTCCTGGTGCTGTTTCCTCATCTTCGAAGATCCTTGGGACATCTACCAACTCTCGTAGTCTCTGCCGCCACTCACGCGATGTCACTGCTGGGCCGGTAAAGATCCTCAGGCCGCTGGGTTCATTCCTAGATAGCTTTCGTGAAACCGCTCGTCAGGTGACTCATCTTCAAGCATCCGAACGTGTACATCAAGCAAGACCGCGTCACTGTGAGGTTTTTTGAGATCATACTACCGTTGGGTCGGCTCATATGGAAACTCGTGAGGGGAGCAGATTCCCGTCAAATGCGCGTGTTGCAGGAGCCTGCTCTCGCGACCATGGTCCGTCAAACATCGCCATTACCTTTTATCCCGAATAGCGGCGCAGAGGATGAGGACGAGGATGAGGACGGAGACTCGATGTTGGACCGCTCGGCCGACTTGTTCGTCTATATGCGTTGAGGATAGCATACTACTTTTCTCCATGTGTATTCTTATCAGTAATTCAGTTGTTTGTGGCTGCAGTTTTCTATGAGTATCTCTCATGAAGCCATGAGAAGGAGAGGCGTCCGATGCAGCGTAAGCCGCGACGCGTCAAATATGCGTCTCGTGACCGTGAATTAGACTGCGGTGCGCTCAAGCTGCGCGCCTGGCACTGCCAGTCATTTCCTTGTTAGACGTCAACCCCTCCGCCCCGCTGATTTATACCACAGCCCGATAGTGCATCCAGTAGACACAACATCAATCACACAAGAATTGCACCATGTGGAACGATTATCCGGGTAATCAGCGTCCATATGTGCCGCCTTCGGGACCGCCACCACCCAGAGATGGTGATCCGTACGTCTTGACACCTCAGCAATAGCTTGCGCCAGCTCACGATAACATACAGTTATAACTTTCCTTCTCCGTAAGTAGTGTGCGTAAGGACAGTGAATGTCGGGAGACCTAATCCGGATGCGGCGGCCTCAGCGATGTACCATTCCAACATCCACGTGGATATGAGCCATCTTATGGACCGCCGCCAGGACCTGCACTGAGAGAGTGAGTCCTGTACAACATCTCCTTTCACTCTTGATACTGAACATAATCTAGTGGAAGCCCATTCAGGCCACCCCCAGGACCACCTCTGGGCATGCCGGGTTTTCCTGGTGAACACCATCACCATCACCATCACCATGATAGCGAAAGAGGCTTTGCACCTCCTCAGGGACCTCCTCCGGGATATGGTCCGCCGCCGCCTATCCCTCCCCGACCGTCTTCTGGTCAGTACGCACCCCCTCCAGGTCCTCCTCCACCTTCGTCGTCTCTATATGTTCCATCGTCTGGTCCCCCGCCTCGGCATCATACTCCGGGTGGGTATGCCCCGCCTCCAGGTCCACCTCCAAGGAGTCCATACGGCGGCTACGCCCCTCCGCGTACGTCTGCGACATGATTAGTGCACAGTTTGTATTAAAGATGTCGGTCCATCATTAGCGGGGCCACCCCCGCGGCCGCCTACTGGGCAGCAGCAGTACGGGCCTGTATTTACGGGGCACAACAATCAACAGCAGCAACCCTTCTTCCAGTACTCACAATGTACAGGGAGGAAGAGGGCCCTGTGTGTATGTTCCCTCTCGATGTGTGGCCTAAAATCAAGGGTTCATATCTCCTGATAGATTGGCATTAACTATAGAGGGCAATCTTCAGAGCTGAAAGGATGCATCAATGACGCGCACAACATGCGGCGCTTCCTTGTTCGTGCGTGTGACTGCAATTCGGTCATAGCTGACATTCACGTTAACCTGCTTCATGCAGAGGAATTTGGCTATCAGGAGAATGATATTGTGATGCTAACAGACGACCAGGCGAACCCACGGTCGGTTCCAACAAGAGCTAACATGGTGCGTGGGCTTAGAGATGACGAATGCGAGCTCATGTTCCATATGATATTACACTTTTGGCGATTGTAGTTAGCCGCTATGCAGTGGCTTGTGCGTGACGCGCGGCCGAATGATTCGCTCTTCTTGCATTGTGGGGATGTCTCTCTAACTGCATGCAAATTTGTGTATTCACAGTATACGTAACAGACTCGGGTCATGGTGGCCTCACTAAGGACCTTGATGGCGATGAAGAAAGTGGTTATGACGAAGTCATTTATCCAGTAGACTTCCAGGCGAACGGACAGATCGTAGACGATGTGAGTGTGCCGCCTCCGGCACGCGTCATCGCACGTCTGACAATTGCGTGTAGGAGATACACGACATTGTGGTGAAGCCGCTTCCGCCAGGGTGTCGTCTCACGGCCATCTTTGATGTAAGCCGCTCCATTCTTCTGTCTTCCGAAATGCACCCGATGGCTCAATGATACTGTTGGCAGTCGTGCCACTCCGGATCCGTTCTCGGTAGGTCAAACATGATTCTCGTGTGCCCGCGCCGGCTGACATAGGTATGTAGATTTACCATACATGTACAGTCATGAGGGCAAAATCAAAGAACCCAACCTGGCTGCAGAGGCGGCACAGGGTCTTCTTGGCGCTGTCAGCTCGTACGCGCGGGGTGACCTCGTAAGTTTGATATCTAGCTCGAGAGCGCCCTCAAATGGGCATGTCGAACTTACTTGGGTGTAGATGGGCGCCTTTGGCTCCGTGAGCGGCCTTGTAAAGGAAGTTGGCGGATTCAACCGGGGCGCGCGCGAGAGGAAGCAGCAGACGAAGACCAGTCCAGCTGACGTGGTGAGATTAGTGTGCGCTCGCTGAGCGATAAGCGATATCCTGATACCCTCTACCAGATCTGCTGGGGAGGATGCAAAGATCAACAGACAAGCGCCGATACATTTGAAGGAGGACAGGCTGTAGGCGCCATGAGCTACGTGAGTTCGCATATTTACGTGCACATCCGCAATCACTCATACACTCCGTTATAGGCATTCATGACTGTGCTGAGTTCGTACAACTATATATCGGCATTGTGGTCGGCCTGGCTGATGACCCTAATGTAGGACAAAACAAGCAACAAAGCTACCAGCAACTGCTCGTGAACGTGCGGTACGTACCATACACCCGATATTTACATTTCGAGACGTCCCTAATTGATGATTTTGCCACGTCCATTTGAATAGCGAGATTCTATATGGCAAGTACAGCCAGAAGCCGCAGCTATCGAGTTCCCATCCCATGGTGGGTGATCATGCATGTTAGGGCCGAGCCGATCTGACGTCTATTCCAGGACATGAATGTCATGTTTATATGCTGAATGTGTTTCGCCAATCTTTCTTGGACTCAATCAGAGTGATCGCATGGCATCCTGGATGCATTCGCGCAGTGCAGATATGTTATTTAAAGATGAACGCTCACACAACTTAACTCGAAACCGGGCTTGATTGGCCAATAAACATGTATATAGCCCTACAAAAACAGGCTGTATTAATGTCGACTATATCCATAGGATCTCTGGGCCTACATGTTCTTCCTCCATGTCCGAATATTCGAACGTCAGAAGAGGCCTCGGCGCGTTTGTTAAATGGTCGATCGTTGCATAGCTGACCAATGCGAGTAGTTACCGTTCGCACCCAATCAGATGGGTCCCGCCAAAGATGCCGCACGCATAAGTGACGTTCTCCATGAGGGAGCCCGCCAGACAAGCGTGTAACACTACCGCCCAGTGAGTCTGCACCAGAGGGATCATCTGAGTCAGAGTTCGCACGATCGACGTCGAAACTATCCCGTTGACCGGGGACCGTCTCCTGCCCTATCGAGCTCATGCCGGAAGCACAGAGACAGAGCAAGCGCAACAAGGGCAGGGTGACGCAGGAATAGGTTAACCACAAAGACCGAAAGCCTCCGTGCTTTTTTATACGCGGCTCGACGGGGCTCCCGCTTTCGGGGGCGATGACGTCGAGTATATATATTGTATACCTATAGTGAGCACTGCAGATCGCTACGGCTCCGCTTCCATGTTTCCGAGGATAGGAAGGCTGTGGGGTATGCGGGGCACGAAGCAGGGAAGTGGAACGCTGATCCCAGCCCGTGCTTGCAGTCCGTGTGGCGCGGAAACACGTCGGTAGGGGTGTTGGCGTAGCCTTACGTCGTATTAGTGCGTTAAAGACACAGTGGGAAGGCGTAAGGGCCTTCCTGGCCGGCGCGGACGATCTGCAATGTCGAGTGGGGCCGTCTCGGATGATCAACACCCTTCGGTATGGTACAGACCGAGATTAAGTGCATTTTTACCGAGCAGCCTGACGCGAGCAGCCGCCAGAAACCAAGAAACGAGCACAATACGGCAGCTGGAAGTTAGAGAACTTCCATGAAGAGGAACCTAGTCGGAAACAACGGCAAAGCCTTAGGCGGGGGAGAGCCAGCTATGCGAATAATAAGATCATAGTATGCCAAGATATCGGAAATGAAGGGATCCCGTCTTGTAGCGGCTTGTCCGGCGCAACCCTGCCAGCCAAAGGTACGGAAGTGCCTCGGAACGCCCTGTCCCGCAGCTCGTGAGTTAGATGGCACGAGGTGTTCATACTTTACGCCGACCTGGGTGCCTCGACGAGGCGCTACGGCGGCCGACGTTCATCCGTCGCAGCTGTCGGCCGGGTCCTGCGCTATGACTCCGTTAACTAAACAAGCTCTCCGCGCAGCATTCCAGGGTATTTATGTTATAGATGCCTTCACTCACGGCCATCTCGCCTTTCTGAGGGCTTCGAAAGGATGATGACTATCAAGAGTGTGAAGTTGCTGTGAAGACCAGAGGGACCCGCTTGGCTCCACGGTAAAGCTTATGTCGGAAGGTTTATTTCACACTCCGCAGAGCTACAGACTCTCGGGAGAACGATCGTCCGTCCCAAGTGCAAGACTTCTGACGCGTGCGATATCTTGATCCGAATAACAACCGTGAGCAAACGAAGAGTCCGATATGAGTGTCGGAGTGGGGGCATGGACGAACTCGACGCTAAGTTCTGGACAACAACTGCAATTAAGGGAACGCTTTGGGCTGGGACGACAAGCGCGGCGAGGACGAGTCACCTTGGGCGGAAAATGGCACAACGATCGTGTCGGGTACCCCTGATCGTGGATAGTGGGGCGAATCTGAGATGCGGCAGAACGACCCACGGGGCCCCGGGCCGCGAGAGGCAAGCAATGCGGGGGCGGGGGAGCCTTTGATTGGTTGATGGGGTCGACTCAACGCCCTCGAGTCGACTCTCCGCTAGACCCCGCTTTCCAAATTTGCTAGAAAGGCTCATCACAAGCAGGTCAGGTCCCCAAGCGGACATTCCAAAGCATACTCCGCGCGTCTCGGATCCTTCTGAACCTTTTCCTCCGTGCCTGGAGGGCCGGCTGAGACCCAAAGCTAAGGCGACTCGCGATCATGTGCGTTTCCGTGGAGTTGCCGCGGTAAAGAAGTATAAGTAGCTGTGATATCGTGGACGCCATGCCTTGGCTTTTCCCTGATCTTCTCCCCCCTTCCATCGCCCGTTAATTGACAATGGCTGGAGGTGGTGTCGTGCAAGCTACGAGCCGTCGGAGAATTCTCCAGGGCAAGTCAGGATGGGTGCGTCCTCTCCTACTTCCTGGCCAATTGTGACTCACCGGTAGTTTACCATGATCAGGCCGGCCTGGTAGCGAATCGTAAAACCTTCGCGATTGCCGTCTTCGCCTCACTCGGTGGACTGTAAGTCGATATTTCGCTTTGACGGTCATGAGTCTGACGATTGTTTGCAGGTTGTATGGTAAGTGGCTCTCTGCTCTGGAACATTATTGTGCTTAACATTAGCGCGCCCACAAAGGCTACAACCAGGTAAGCTGACCTTTATGTTCCGCGTGTCAGCATTCTAACGTCCTTGTCGAATAGGGTGTTTTCTCTAGTGTTCTCGAGTATGTATTTGACTATCATGGCGGCTATCGTCAGTGCTTGATGCCGGATAACTTGACAGCATGTATAATTTCGACCAGCGGATGGGAGATGCTGTGACAAATACTGATACGAAGGGTTGGCTTGTGTCGGTCTTGGAGCTCGGTGCCTGGTTTGGTGTCCTCTGCACTGGTTACCTTGCGGATAGGCTGTCTCGAAAGTACTCCATTGTTCTCGGTGAGACTCTTGTGATGCTCGATGCTGCGTCTGGGAACTCAAAACATCCACGCCATAGCCGTTTTCGTTTTCTGTATCGGCGTGATCGTTCAAGACACTGCCTTCCACCCTTCTTCCATCTTTGCAGGTGCGTTTTTTGTAACCATTTTTCTTCATCGAGTCGTACGAGCTGGATACAGGTCGATTTATCACTGGATGGGGTGTCGGTTCGCTAAGCATGTGTGTCCCCCTCTACAAGTGAGTTCCCGGTTTCCCTCTTCACACGTCCGGGAAGGAACTCACCTCGCATAAAAGCGCCGAACTCGCACCACCGGAGGTCCGTGGAAGTCTGGTTGCTTTGCAGCAACTCGCTATCACATTCGGTATCATGATATCCTTCTGGATCGACTACGGCACCAACTACATCGGAGGCACTGGCGCCACCCAATCGCCCGCTGCTTGGCGTTTGCCCATTGCCATGCAATTGATTCCAGCTATGATCCTGGGCTTTGGGATCATGTTCATGCCGTTCTCACCCAGGTGCGTTTCAGACACCGTGAGCGGTCGATGGCCAGAAATCTAAAGAGTGCTGTCAGATGGCTCGTCAACAACGGCCGTGATGAGGAAGCCTTGATGGTACTGAGCAGGGCGCGTGGCATGCCACCTGACTCAGAGGTCGTCCAGATCGAATTCTTGTGCGTGCTTCCCGTCGCTGAATACGCTCTTATCTGAATTGATGTATCTGTGCTTGACAGGGAGATCAAGGCGCAATACTTGTTCGAGCAGGAGACATCCGCGATGCAGTTCCCCCAGTATCAAGATGGCACGTTCAAGTCTAACTTCAAGCTCGGTCTTTTCAGCTATTTGAGTCTCCTGAAGTCAGCAAGTGAGTCGGTGTCCAAACGAGCCACTCACATGAGATACTGAATCATTTGGCTATCTCAGCGCTTCTTCGCCGTGTTGCCATTGGGACCTTGACAATGTTCTTCCAGCAATGGACCGGTGTCAACGCCATCTTATACTACGCACCGTCCATCTTCACAGATCTTGGTCTGACAGGCAATACTATTTCGCTCTTGGCCACAGGAGTTGTCGGCATTGTGTATGTTGCAACGACCCAGTTTGCATTACGGTCACTGACCTCACGACAGCATGTTCCTCGCGACTATTCCGGCTGTCATCTGGGTTGACAGCGTTGGTCGGAAGCCCGTCTTGGTTTCAGGTGCACTATTGATGGCCGCGTGAGTGATACGTGTAACTTGATAGACCTTCGAGGCCGACCGCGTTTTTCCAGATGTCATTTGACAATCGCTGTCCTGATCGGTCTCTACCACAACTCATGGCCAGAGTGAGTGTTCTCTCACACTCGTGTGCATATGTTATTATCACTTTACTGATACGCCAAAAGACACAAGGCTGCTGGTTGGGCTGCCTGCGCACTCGTTTGGGTTTTTGCTATGGGTTTCGGCTACAGTTGGGGTGAGTGCAAATCATGCTTTCGTATAAGCGCGGCACTGACCTTTTTGACAGGTCCGTGCTCGTGGATCGTTGTTGCCGAGATCTGGCCGCTGTCTGTTCGTGGAAAGGGTCTGTCTATTTCTGCCTCCTCTAACTGGGTGAGTCCAGTAAGCCAAGTTGTTCTATATGAAACTGACTTTCTATATGTCTGACAGATGAACAACTTCATTGTGGGCCAAGTAACGCCGACGATGCTCAAGCACATCGGATTCGGAACCTTCGTGTTCTTTGGAGTGAGTATCAAACGCCGATTATTGTTCGGCTGGGAAACTCAACCTATCTTTACGACTTCAGTCATTTTCGTTCCTTGGTGCCCTGTTCATCCTCTTCTTCGTGAGTAAAGAATCTCATGCCCGATATATTCTCCGGGCGGTGTTATCTGACCCTGCGAATCGGCATCAGGTTCCCGAGACGAAGGGCCTCACCCTCGAGGAGATGGACGACGTGTTTGGCTCGGAAGGTCTTGCTGTCGCGGACCAGGAGCGCCAGCTCGCGATCGAGAAGCGCATCGGGCTCGACCAGTACGCCTTCACTTCGTCGGACGTGGACAGTTCGGAAAAGCAGGAGATAGTCATGAAGGCGTGAAAGCGTCGTTGATGATCGGTTACGAATCTACGATTTCTGTATTATGTGTGACGCGCATCTATGAATTTTCTATCATCATTGTATATTGTATACATAATAATGCATCTGACTCGATCCTCACCGCATCGAGTAATGTTTCAGGACCCTTCGAGAGGTCGTTGATTCACACCCTGACATCTTACTCTGATGCAAGAATCAGAACGAGAAGTATCGTAGCCCTTTTCCGGAGATGGGCGAGAGCCTACAGAGTGGCATGGCGAGACGGCGCAGGCATAGGTTCAGAAGTCGTACACTATGCCTGCGTGATAGAGTGTAGTTGTTCAATGCTGTCTTATTCTGTAGGGACCTCAGGCTCAAGCCGGATTTCTTCTTTCGTCCTGGAGTAAATAGTCAATATGCGATGTCAACTTCCTGAGAGAGAGGTGAAAATCCCCACCTAAGTTCTGCAGCCATTGAGGCAAAATACCGCTTGCCGCCAGTACTTGGATGTGGCCAGGCCGGAGACACGCCACGGGCACGTGATGCACGCGACGCGTTTCGGACGCGTCAAGCGTCTGAATTCGTCTTCACGCCTTCATCATCCCTGACCCCAATGCCAGGAAGTCATCTACAGAATCTCAACCATGCTCAGCTACGAGGTATCAGATACACCTACTATGAGAGTATAATTCCTGATGTCATTGCCATGCATATAGCCGTCCAGCATCCCCCAAGTATTCCATTACAGATATTGGCGGGTCCTGGTAGCGGGAAGACTAAAGTCCTCACCGCTCGTATTGCGAATCTCATATCTGAACACAACATTCCTCCATATGCTATATGCGCTGTAACCTTCACGAATAAAGCCGCGAGCGAGATGCGCGAACGTCTGACGAAGCTCATTGGGAAGGCCCAAACTAGTCAGATCAAGATGGGGACATTCCATGCTCTCTGTGCGACATTTCTAAGAAGATACCCAAGACTTGTTGGGGTGGAAGGGAATTTCACAGTCTGCGATGCTGATGAGAGGTGTGTTGTCTACGGTTCCGCCATGCCCCTTACTCTTGACGAGTTCCTAGCAAGAAGATTGTCAAGAAGCTTCTTGAGAAATACAAGCAGTTCTTGGTAGAGCGCGATATCTCTTTGAAAGAAGCAACCGTGCTCTCCATGATCTCCAAGGCCAAAGCCAAGGGCCGCTCCGCGATCGACCTCCAAGAAGAACACTTGAATAGAGATAATCGGTCGTCCATAACAGCCGAGATTGACAGAGTGGTTGCGGAAATATATGGAGAATACGAGAGAATACTCAGGAGAAACAACAGTCTGGATTTCGACGATCTCCTTGTATTTGGCGTCAAACTATTTAGTGGACACCGCAAGGTCGGTCTATGGTGCCAGCACGTTCTCGTAGACGAATTGTGAGCAGCTCACTCCGAGAAATGGTCTATCAAATCTGACACATTCGCGGCTAGCCAAGATACAAACACCGTCCAATATGAACTCATGAAGTGCATCGCTGCCGCCAACAAATGTGTCACCATAGTTGGTGATCCTGATCAATCCAGTGAGTAAAATTTCACTGTCACTGTTGTTCTTATTGAGGCATTCCTCTAGTCTATGGCTGGAGATCAGCTGAAATCGAGAATCTGGAACGCATGCAGAAAGGTAGGCTTGTGTCATGTTGTTTGTCACAAGCATGCGACTTACCTGCATATACCGACCTTAGATTTCCCCACTACCCAGCAGATCTTCCTGGAGCAAAACTATAGATCAACTGCATCCATCCTGGCAGCAAGCATGGCGATTGTGTCTCAAGGTGTATATATCGGCTCCCCTCAGGAATAACCTTTCTCACCCACATCTAGACAATACAAGAGTGCCGAAAACACTCCGAACTTCGTGCCCAACAGGCCCCACACCCGTACTTCAGTCATTTCCATATGACAATAACGAAGCTGCGTTCATTGCTGCAGAGATAAAGAGATTAGTAGCTGTGACAGGAGGTATGCTCGGATGGGGCGACTTCGTTATCCTTCGTGAGTACTTCACTAGCTCTGGTACACCAGACTTACTTTTAACGCATTCGGATGAATACCCTGCTGACGGAACCCAGTGCGATTCAATGCACTATCACGATCCATCGAGAGTGCTCTGCAGAAAGAGGGAATACCAAACCGTGTCTTGGCGGGACATAAATTCTTCGATCGTCTAGAGGTACGCAAACACTTCAGTTTGAGGACCTTATGAGATGAAATGTACAAGTCATGGATAGGTCAAGGATATCTTGGCATACTTACAGTTCGTCGATAATCCGCACTTTGCACCAGCATTCTCAAGAGCAATCAATGTGCCCGGGCGAAGCATTGGGGAAAAGGCAAGTGAGACGCTAGAAAGTGGTTATATCCCGGATGTACTAAATTTCTGCCATCGGGTTAGACAATATCCGAGCTCTTGTCCGCCGCACAACGGCTGCAGATCAGTCCTTTTGAGGTGGTACAACGTATCTATGATGGAAAGACTCCTGACATTAAGCCCCCTGTCAAACGCAAGCTCGCCTCGTTCCTGCCACCTCTGCGAGAATTACGCAAATTGGCGCAGTCGGTAGGTCTTTTCTGCAATGATGGTAAGGTACATAACTAGACATTGCCGCTTCAGGGCATGCAGCCACCGGACCTCATCCGTCGCTTCCTGGATCTCATCGACTACAAAAGTCATTTGATGAAGACGCAGCCAGACTGGGAAAGTCGATGGGACAATGTGCAAGAACTCATCAACTACGCGAGCGAGGTTGAAATCACTGCGTCGTCGCAACAACGAGATTATGACGATGTTTCTGACGGAGAGTGGGATGTTCTCGAAGAATACGACAGAGATCAAGTCGAGGATGTTCCCGAGACTAGAGTACAATCCGACAAGGGCAAAGGCAAAGCAACGTCAGAAGGCGCAAAGTAAGGTAGACTTCACTCCATTCCACGTGCACGCTTACTGAATGGCGCAAAGGGACACTCCATTACGATTGTTTCTCCAGGCATCAATGCTCTCTACAGACACCGAGACACAAGGAGATGATGGGAAGGAGGTGCGTCCCCTATGACTGGCAAGTTTTCTTATATCCAACCTTACATTTTGATCACTCGCATAGAAGGTAACAATTGCCACTTGCCATGCTGCGAAAGGCTTGGAATGGCCAGTAGTAATGATACCTGCAGGTAGGCTTCTGCGATAACCAATCCTTGCATGATGCTCATATGGGGATAGTGGAGAAAGGCACTTTTCCATCCTCACGAGCAGAAGATATTCACGAGGAAAGGTCCGTTGCATTGAAGTTGTATATCAGATATCTTGTTTGTTTTACTCATCTCATGCCAGACGTTTGTTATATGTGGCCTGCACACGAGCGCAAGGTCTGCTCTACCTCTCATATTCCACGGCAAGGATGGTATCCGGCGAAGTCAAGCGGAAAGAGCCATCGGATTTCCTCCTTCCTTTACACGGTCAGGTTCGTTGCGGGCTTCAACCGAATGCATTTTGGCGTCATGTTCATTTCACTCTTAGGACTTGTTCAGCAATCAGACACCGAATTTGACACCCTCTGACCGTGTACTACTGGCCAACTTACTGGGTAGACCACCACCTTCCGAACCTGAGGTTGTCCGTAGGGTGTCCGAACAGTGCGTAGTGGTCTTCGCATGTCATCCCTCGTCTCATCCCATCTGTCAGCCATCGCACCGCAAAACAGAATTCTTGGGGTTACTCTGACCAAAGTCATAATTCTTTATCAGAGAGGAGGAACTGGTCACAGCACTCTGCTCCTATACCTCAAGGTGCTTTATATAAACATTCACTCGTGTGTTGCTAAACCAGGCTTACAGCCGCTACTACCTTCCGCTCCACAAAAGAGTCGTTTCCAACCGCTTTACATCAACAGTCCCTTCCAGATACACTGCCGCGGTCACAGCCGTTGTCGCCGTCCCGAGCTCACGCTGTGAATATTTCATCCGGTCGCATGACGCAGCCGCGGGTCTCTCCCGCTTCAGGATCGCTCATTCGATCCACTTTGAGGAATGTTGCTGCTGTATCAACGGCGGTTGCAGGCAGACTAGGCTCATTGACCGGTCCATCTGTTAGCGTGCAGAAGCAGAGAGTACCACCGCGACCACAAGCCCAGGAGCGACCATCAAAGCTCTCTACCACACAAGCTGCCTCTCTGAGGCGCCACGAGATCATCGACCTGACCCTAGCTCCTCCTTCGTCCCACTCGTCAACGTCAGACTCATCACCAGCTACCGCATCACCAGCCACCACATCACCAGCCCTCATGGCGACGACATCGTCGATAGCCCCACCAGCAGGGACAAAGCGACGCCTCGGTATGGGGCGAACGGGTGGTGGATATGCTAATAAGAAGTTCAAGACACCGGGCGCAAACTCATGAACTCCGCAATTACTGCTTAATGTTGCTTATTTGCGACGACGGACTGCGATGTTGACCGCTGATCTTCCTACCGACTCTACTGTGGTGATGTTGGACATCTTCGTACTACGATATTTCCCAAACATTGTATACGCATAGCACGTTGTACAATACTTACGCCCTATAGCGGGTTGTGGTTATTCCTCATGAAGTACCGAAGAGCAACGATAACAGTGGCGCTTATGCTCAATTGCCTCATGGCTGCCTCGAGGCGAGGATGCCATGTATTGCTATGATCAGTTTTACTTGACCGATTCATTCTACACCTCATTAAGATATACAGATGCTCAGGTCTTATTGCTCATCACTGAGGTCTCTAAAACGCGATTCTGGTCGCAACAATTTCAGACCTTCACGTCGTGTCCCTGAGCAACAAACATGCGCGTCAACTCGTGAATCTCGACCTGATCCAGAGGGCAATCCGCTTGCGCTCGCAACACGCGGCGGTTCGCATAATACGGTCGACCAGCCCGCCTCGTGGCCCACACCTGCACTGACTCTTTCCACGTCTCCATCATAATCAAGCTCGTCACTTCTTAGCTTCAGTGAGCTCGTCCGATCCCCCCCCCCCCCCTCCCAGCCCGACATTTGCCTAGAGGTTCAATGCCGACCACGCCAAGCAAGAGCACGAGTAGTGTTGCAAAACCACGTCGCCCGTTCGATGCGTTAGACAGACTGCTCGACAAGGCATTCGCGCAGCGCGACACGCCCACGAGCACGCCGGTCCTGCGCCCGCACATACCAGCACAGCAACCTCCATCGTTAACGGACGTGCAGCAGACATCATCGTCACGGGCAAAAGCGAGACGCCCACGCAAGCATCCATCCAGGTGAGCCGTCGTCCGTCAGTCCCCCCGCAAAGATGCCTTCCGAACGCCGACGCAGTGCAAGCTTCAAGGAGTCGGCAGACGGTCGCACGGTATGAGAGTACACCCAGACCAGGTGATGCGCGCATGACAGCTGAGCGCGCTGTGCACAGGTGACCGCAACCTTCGATGTGCCCGGTGTGCGAAAGGAGGACATGCATGTGAGCTACTGCGGCCGACACCTCGTCGTGAGCTGGCGGACGTCGCGCGTTACGGAGCGGCGCGAGGGCGATGTGCTTGTGCGCGAGCGGGAGGTCGTAGGAAATAATCAAATTATTTCCCTCGCAGACGGAACGCAGGTGAGCTTGGCGGACGCTTTGGTCAGGGCGGCTGTTGAAACAGTGTACGGTAGTTTGCAGATATCTGGGCGCTGAAGGATAGTAAGCGGCTAGCACTGACCTACCCAAATCCGCGGCGCGCTCCGAGAAACGCGCCTCGCCCGAAGGTGCGTCATTTGATCAGTTGAAAGCGCTAGCATTGTAGCAGCACTCATGGCCTGCTAGACTGCGATGTCCGGTATCACCGAATACCACAGTTGTGTCCCTGCGGATGACAGCACAATAGTTTGAAAGATTAGATCTGGATAATGAGAGAAAATAAGGGAACAAACAGTGTAATTGTGAGGCAAATGACCTTGAAATGACTGTTAACGAGTATGAGGACGTATTTCTTGGTTTTGTGAGGTTGTACCCCGTGTTATTCAGTATTTTCCAATTGAAATGGCATCACTGGGCAGATGAGCTGAGTGGTAGAAGATAGATGAATTGTATCGCGGTAGGAAAACAGTACAGAAAACGTAAGACACGAGCGTAACTTGACAAATTTACATCAACCCATGCTCGTCTAGTAGGTCCAGCCGAGCGACCTGCCTGAGCACGACTCATGAACCTACATGGGCAGATGAATATTACGAGTGACTCACTTGTCGCGCACCGCCTCCTGCCACCGCTGCAGTTTCGCAATTTCATTCACCTGGAAGCCAAAAATGCGTGGTCTGTACCGCTCCGCCTTCAACGCGACGCTCGTCGTATTGAAGCCCTCCCCGACAATGTCAGATGGCGGCTCCTGCTCGTCCCGCGCACGCCGACTGCGCCTGCTGCCCTCGGCCTCCCCACCAGCGCGTAAGGCCGGGAAGTCGACGGGGCCACTCTTTGGTGGAATGAGGTTGGGGTAGACGAGGAAGAGCAGGTGGGGGAAGGATGTGCCGAAATAAGCACCGTCGATGGAGCCGTGCCGTGAGGACTTGGGTGAGTAGATGTCTTCACAGCGCCCACAGTAAAGCTTGACGGATTTCTCGTACGGAACATCAGTAAGGCCGACGGGGAGAAGAGGTTGTGACTGGCAGAGCACACGAGGACAGCGTCCGAAGTCAGCGCGCTTGTACTTCTCGAGCTGCGGGGAACGATGTGCTGCGATGAATACGGAACGAAGCACAGCAACAGATTAAATACCATCTTTGCAAGGCCACGCGCCGTAACAATCCATCGTGCGTGAATCAGCCCGTACAACAAACGCGCTTGCACGTCCAATGTCGATCTGATCTCGTCTTGAATGTCGTCGTCTGCAGGCGCATCAGCGTTTGAAAGTCGAGCACGCCACGCCACTGACCTAGATTGTCGGTGATGAGGTCCAGTGCTTGCGAATAGTGCTGGACTTCGGTGTTCAGACCCGTGAGATTGAATCGGTCGAGGATGTAGTCCTCCTCGACTTCGCAGAAGTATTCATTGCCCTTGGACGACAAGAACCAAGATATCCACTGTTATAGTATGGGTCAGAATTTTCGACGCAGTTATTCGAGATTGTCTACTACCGAGCTTTGGTGGTGAATGAGTATAATACAATGCAGAAAAGCGGCAGTCACGTACTTTGTGTAATCCGAATCTGAGCCGGTCGAGTTGTCTTCCACTGCACGACGAAGCATTGTCTGATCAGTTCAGCGACTTTTCGAATGGTTGTTGTGGTCGTGCACTGACTTGTGAGTGTAGCGAGCGGCGAGTGAGGATGGAAGTGAGGGTAGAGGTGCAAAGTCGGCAGGAGGCCCCGTGCTTGATCGACTCTGTATTTCATTGACTTCCTGCCACCACAGTCGCTCTGGGCTCTGCGTGCTGCTACACTTGAACTTGTCTACTTTCATGCACTGATTTCCCGTTCGCGAGGATCAAGACTGCTAATGCACGGTGACACTATTCTGCAAATGCCCACCGATTTGCGCCCACCCACATCGTCCTTCGAGCTCGTTCATGAAGGCACCAGAAAGCGCAGGGGCCTTACGAGGCTCACCGTAGACATACCATCTTCATATAAACCTCAGGTTGAGAATGAACCTCACCCACTGCCGAGATGGAGAACGCCAGAGTTCATCGCCTACATTATAATAGTCTGCATCGTTGTGCCAATAATGATCTGGATACCCATTTCACTCAGCCACCGTGCGTCGCAAGCTTGCATGTACATGTACATTGCCTTTCTCTAAGCTGACCTGTTGGCCTAGCATCACATACTAACTATCCGCTCTACCAGCGCCGACTGTCTAAAGGCTGGTTATTCGGTCGCTCAGTGGTAAGTACGTAGCTCGATGAGATACGATTTCAATATGCGTCATGCTGTACGAGTATTTGTCGGCTTCGCACATCAGGGCGTCCCATTTTCACCAACATTCGCCAAATTATGCTCTACGTGCTTGCTCGTCACAACATAGCTCACATTCTTGTTCAATCACCAGGATAACAGTGATGTACAATACCGCTCGTTTCGTAACAACCTTCCATCTCTCATGCTTCTATCTGGGGCTTTCTTCGGTTGCAAGCTACTCTATACCCACATTTCACGAAGGCTGACGTCTTTGTCTCCTAATAATTTACATCTCGTTCCGTTCCTTTTCGCATTTTCGTTGTTGATGCTTGCGGGTCTTCATGGCATGAGCGCTGTCAAGGTCCTTGTCATCCTCACACTCAACTATGTGATTGCGAAGTCATGCCGTGGATCAAAATTGGGACCAGTCTTAACATGGATATTCAATGCCATTGTCCTCTTCGCCAACGAACGCAATGAGGGTTATCGGTTTGCCGCTATTCACCCGTCTCTTGATGTTCTGGTATGTACAATACCGAAGAAATACACTCATTTGCTCAGCATTATCCTCGATGTCAATAGGATAATATAAAGGGTGTCTATCCGCGGTGGCATGTTAGCTTCAACATCACAATGCTACGTTTGGTCTCGTTCAATATGGACTACTACTGGGCATGCAACAAGGCGGGCCCCGTTGATGTGAGTTGACTCCATTCCGTTTTACTTCAGCTTCTCAAGAGACAATAAGCCAGACACCGCGTTGTCCGAAAAGCAGCGGCCCAGGATCGCGCACTCGCTCAACACCTATACCTATATGAACTATATTGCGTACGCGCTATACGCGCCACTATATATTGCTGGGCCGATCATGACATTCAACGACTTCATGTGGCAGGTCCGTACCGTATATACGCGACGTTTCGGACGCTGATTATGATGTAGCTCTCGCGACCAATCGCTGTCCCCGTACGGACTACCATCAGCTACCTGTTGCGCTTCGTTGTCTGCTTGCTTACCATGGAGTTTATCCTGCACTTCATGTACGTTGTGGCCATCAAAGACTCAAAGGCGTGGGGAGGCGATACCCCTGCAGAGCTCAGTATGATTGGTTTCTGGAACCTAATCATCGTCTGGTTGAAGGCTCGTGTTCCACGGCTCTAAAGCGGTCAAGTCATTAACGTGGCGGCGATCTAGTTGCTGATACCATGGCGGTTCTTCCGCTTGTGGGCCCTCGCGGACGGCATCGACCCCCCTGAAAATATGGTGCGGTGTATGGCAAATAATTACTCGACTCTCGGGTTCTGGCGCAGCTGGCACCGCAGTTACAACCTGTGGATCGTAAGGTGAGACCACGCACAGACCCTGAGACTCACAATGTGAACGCGCTATGCATATCATCAGGTACATCTACATCCCCCTCGGTGGCTCGAACAACGTTGTCTTCACGACATTGCTGGTTTTCTCCTTCGTCGCCCTATGGCACGACCTCTCGTTCAAGCTACTCGCGTGGGGATGGCTAGTCAGCCTGTTTATCTTGCCCGAACTGGTTGCCAGGCACCTTTTGCCCCCTAGGAAGGTACGCGACCTTGTATGATGTGCCCCTGGAAGGCTGCTAACGCGCGTTCCATGTCTCAAATCAGTATGGCACGCAAACGTGGTATCGACACGTTTGCGCTATCGGTGCCGTCTTCAGCATCCTCATGATGATGACCGCCAATCTGGTGGGCTTCGTCATCGGCACGGACGGCATGAGCTTCATGCTGCAGCAGCTGATCAGCGGCTGGGAAGGTACGTATCGCCTCTTCGCCTTCGCACGACTCGTCGCTCTGATCTTGCAACGGCGAACACAGGTATACGTTTCATGGCCGTCGCGTGCGGGTGTCTATTCGTTGCGGCACAGGTCATGTTCGAATACCGGTAAGCGTTCGCTGTTAATTCGGTCCTTGGGCAAGCTCGGCTAACACCCGTGACAGGGAAGAGGAGTTGCGGCAGGGCATTGTCCGGCGTTGCTGAGCGTTCACCAGATGTGGACTCCGATGTATTCCCTGCCAAACTCTAGAGTGTTCCTGCGAGGGACGCGTGCTGTAGCCTGTTCAATTGTGCCCGTCGTAGGACCGCCGCAGTGCAATAGAATTCGACATAAATATATGTAAGTGCAAGCGAATACTATGCCCAGGGCAAGCAATATACTAGATCGTCACCGCGAAAGCCGTATCATAATCAAAATGCAGAGAAGAACGCGTCACAGACGCAACATAGTACGTCCCAAGGTGGGAGATCACGACCACAGTCGTCTCCAAAATCATACGAGATCATCACTCGCCTACGTTTTCACTGACCCGAATGGCCACGTTGCCCCAGTCAAACCTATTGCTTTCCCGCCATGGCGACCTTACGCCGCCCGTTTCCTTCGCATGCTCCCTCAGCAGGCCCCACTTGATCCACCAGTTATCCGCCTCGTCCTCGCAGTTGTACCCAAAAATGGTGCGGATCTCCTCCCACTGCGGCGCATCTTCCTCACCGTCCTCGCCCTCCATGACGTTCTTGCCCGCACGGAATTTCGCGCGCATCCCGTCGTCACGCATCCGCTGTTCGGGCCCGTTCTCCATGGTCATCCAGGCGATCGTGCTGACTTCTGTATTGCGCACCGAGGTACAGCGCCCGAGCCGCAGGTCCTGATATGCCCAGAGGAAGCTTGGAATCTGGTCGCGCGTGCTGAGATGCGCGAAGAGCTTCGCGAGGACAGCTGCGTCTTCGGTCGCCATGGCTGTCCCTTGGATGGAACCCGGCTACACAGAGCCTCAGCGCACCGACGAGGTTCGAGAACAGCGGCAGCTTACGGGGAAGGGATGGGCTGCCTGGCCAACGAGGACCAGCTTCTCGCTCTCGTGGATCCAGTCCTGCAGGTCTGCGTAGTCCTTTATTGGCACGCGGACAGCATTCGTTGAGAGGTTAGCGACTAGGCGCAATCTGATCACGATGTCGGCCAGAGCGCACGTAACATACGCAAGCGACATACCTAGTATCACAAGGGTCCGGGACGCGGCTGGCGAGGTCACCGGTCGGGGGGTCACCGTAGGCCCCATCAGGGCGGTCGTCGCGCAGGATGAAATGGAAAGCAACTTCTTTATGTTGGTGCTGGCTGTGGTGTCAGCAAAGTACCCGTATTAAGGCTCGATACAGGCTCACAATTGGGTATCCTGACGCAGCACAGCCATTGCCGAACGCCATGTAGACGGTGCCCTGTATCCAATCAGCTCCTGAATGTACGCGGGTGAGAGCAATGCGTAGACTTACGCCCTCTACATTGATGATTTGTGCCAGCTCTGGTGTGAGGTCTTTTGTCGCTATGGCAGTACTGAAGGTAGCGCTACAAGAAGCTGCTATCAGAAAGTACAGCATGCCAGCGTCGATGTGCCACGTACTCAAACATGCTGAGGCCTATGAATGTCCCCCGGTCCTCTTGACCGATCACTGTCTGCCGAGAGATACCTCTCTCGCTGTCTGCGCCGATTATAACATCCGCTGTGAGGATTTCTCCGGATGCCAGCTCAACGCTGGAGTTGTCGCAGTCAATAGCGACGACCTCTGCATTGTTGCGGATTTTTGCACCTTGTCCTATGGCAGTCTCATAGAGCAGGTCATGGAGGTCGGCGTGCTAGTAAGTTGCGTCAAATTGCGCGGTGCAACGCGACTAGACTGGCATGACTCACTGTTGTCAACATGAACTCCCCCTGCGTGTCTCGTAGAAGCTCATTGTCCCATAATTGAATTCCCAGGAGATCTGCATCCTCGACTGCAGGCCATTTAGCTCACCCACACTCGTGGAACACTTCACTGTGACGTACACCGTGAGAAGAGAATTGGCTGTGATGTGAGGGCAATCCTCCGCAGATCCGACTTCAATCCCCAATGAAATAGAATCTTCGACATGTTGGGCGGTATGCGGACGCCACCAGCCCGTCGCTATGCATGGTCAGCCATCCTTGTCAGCGATACTATTGCCCGCGAACGGAAGGCATCGTCGCTTACATTTCGAAGGCCATCACTCTTTTCTAGAACGAGCACTCTGTGTCCCGCACGACTCAGCGCCACTGCACTCGCCAACCCAGCGATCCCTGTTCGAAGGCTGCATCAGAGTGTGCACCCGCGAAGGCTGCCTAGCGACCGCACCTCCGCCCACAACCAGGAAGTCGATGGCGAGCGACGCCCTCAACGGGACCGGTGATCGCTACGCGGTTGCTATCGCGTCAGGCTCGACGCGGCACGTATGGCGCAGACCACACACCTCAGAGTCCGAGCTCATGGGGGGCGTGCAAGTCCAGGTTTACCGAGAAGCAGGTATCGACGCAAAGCGAAGCGGGCCAATATGAGGGCCCGGAAGCATTTATAATGGGCGTGCCCCGACATCGTGCTCGGGGGTGAGAGATCGGGGCGGTGATGGCTGCCTTCAGATGGCTCCGTCCGTCGGCTAACAATGTCGTATGTCACAGGGGTCCAATTTTCCGAGTGAATTGTCACGCCGAACTTGTCCCTGCGCCCAGACCTGGTGTTGCCGGAGCCCGTGGCATGATACCGCGTCGATGACCGGAAATAATTGTCTCGTATAACCCCACCCCAGATGATAGAACATCTGGGGCATCCCTGTCAATTGCCCTCTCTTGAACCCCTCAACCATGATGTAACACGCTGCTGCCGAGGATTCTTCGACTGCCTCTACAGTCTGCTGTGCAGTGCTGCAGTTCCTATAGTATGCATGCACATGGCTTATGTTTGGTTAGTTGGCTGCAGCAGGGGTGCGCGCAGAAGTTGCTAGGAGTAGTTACCAAAATAAGCTAGGGAGATCGTCGGAATTAGATCGACGGAATGATAGATACTATTGTCAAATTTGTGACCGTTACACAGGCGCTAATAGAGCGCTAAACATAAAAGGGCAGGAAATATTGCCCCAGATCAGCGGGATGAGACAACGGTGCAGAACATTCACGACGGTAGCAACTCATGCCTGGCGCCGGCGCAGAGTCCTCAAATTCCTGGCATAGTCTGAGGTTTAACTTAACGAACAAGTTAAGGGCGCACTGACACCGCCAGACAGCGTACGTTACGACAGCGCTTGCATTTATGCATTTCCTAGGATGGCCTAGTCAGCATGAACCAGACGGAGCGGAAGAATACGAGTGTCCGCGCCATGAGAAGGGTGTTAGCCGGATTTGAAAAGGCACCATTGGCAGAGCCGCGGAGGCTAAGCAAGCTTTCGACTAGCCAAGGGGAGTAGAGTCCAAGCATCGATCATTCCGCGAACATTCATAGGGACGAGCCCGTGTGGGTTGTTCGCCTCAACGGTAACATGACCCGTCTCCTGAGAACTTAATAGCTCAGGGTGGAGGAAACACGTTCGACGCGGACAAATTCGTCGTCAAAAATTGCGGAAACCAGGCTAATGAAATGATCGCACCGGTTGCCCGGGCTGGACGAGCAAAGTCCAGAGTGCCACGATCAGGCTTCCATTCCTTCGTACTCGGCCGGCCAAATGATGCAGGCGCTGTATGGAATCGAGGTCACAAGATTGTGCATCGGAGCAGGGGTCGGTACGGCATTATCAAATTACCGTTCTCTCAACCAGACGAAATTAGAAGGAAGAACATAAGGAAAACATACCCAAAGCTGCTTTAGTGTAGTATCCATTAGGCTTTCTCCACAGTGTTCATGGTGCATGGCCTGGTGAGTACCTTCACAATGTTAACACTGCAATTATCAATCGTACGACGGCAGCACTTCGCAGGTTTGCGCTCACCAAAGATACATCCATGATTGATGGCGGAAGTGACTCTGTATACTCTAATGCCTGACACAAGACAACCCGGCCTCTAAGGCTAAGCCCTATGACAGTTCGTATCCATTGACGGCCCCCACTTAGCTTGCCCTGCGTGATCCGCGATATCAGCAGATTCGAAGGCACCGATGATGGGTGTTGCAGATTTAAACGAAGAGCGATAACTTGTGCACGATCATCTAGTGCGTATGAAGTCCTGAAGTGGAAGGATTCAGACAGCTAAATTAGGCTACTTGTCTTTAAATGCTAGCTTATTGCTGACAAAGCTATGTCGCAAAATAGCCTTGTGTATATTATTAGCATTCAAATTGATATTGTAACACCTGATCCAGGTGTTCCTCGACTTTCCAGCGTCCTGAATGCATATTCAGTGGTACTACTCGTCCTCTACCTGTTGGATCTCAATGTCTTCATGAATATCTCTGGATCCTCCTCGGCTAAGTGCTCGAATCATACTCTGCACGCAACAGCTGGGGCCCGCGTGGAACGTGTATCGGTGCCCGAAGCTGGATCGTCTCGCTATTCGAGGCCTCATTTACCAACTCTCCATATCTTTTTCTTCTCGGGCACTTGTATGCCGTTATGGCCGGACAAGCGCAGCTAGAGCCTATGAATGCTTCGCCTCACCATGCAAAGGTGAAGGTGTCGCTGCAGCTTGCTGACTCTATGTACGTTTCCGGGAATGCCATCACGGGAAAGGTGCAGCTCGAATGCAAGGCGGACAAGGGCCTCGGTATTGGCGTGGTTATGGTCGAGCTCTACGCTGTCGAGGGTCTGTCCCGTGTTCAGCTTGGTCTGTTGCAGCTCGCTCATGGCCCACAGAGTTGACGTCCCGCGATCACTCCGCCACCTCGACGTTCCTGCACACCCGCCGATTCTTCCAGGGTCCTGGCCTACCTCCGTCGAACGCAGTGCAGCCGCACCCCCTGCCTGGTGACCCGCCTGTGCCGACGCACTATCACACCGCGCGGCGCGGGATCACGACGTTTCTTTTCCGCCTTCCCCTCCCCGCCTCGTCCCCGTCCGCGATCGATTTCGGCTCGGGGCTTGCGCAGGTGCGGTACGAAGTGCGCGCGACTGTCGGCGTCGCATGGAAGGGCGAGAACCGCCTCGTGTTTGACAAGAAGCCGATTGACGTAGTAGAGACCTTCGAAGAAGACCTTAGAGGCGGGGACCCGGAGGCTGTTGTCGTCGGTGAGAACGGCAGGATCTGGGTGCAGGGGAGGGTGATTGGCGGATTCATGATCGCTGGTCAGCCTGGCTGCGTAGAGCTGCAGGTCAAGAATCATTCGTCGAAGAAGGTAAGTGTGCGACTGGGCACTGCCGGTCTCAATTTGCCTAAGTTGTTCACCGCAGAACTCGGGCCTCTCCGTGGCGCTCACCAGAGAGCTCTATCTACCAAATCAGCCGTCAGGGAGCACGCAGCCACTGCAGATCAATGACACGCTGACAAGCGTTACATTTCGAGGGCCCGAATACATCATACACCCCGGCGCGGAGGGAGTAGCTACCCTTGTCTTCGATCTACCACCGCACGCGAGAGGTGTGAGAGGTGGACGCCGGCAGGGCGATGAAGAGGGTCGTCGGACGGCCGAGGCCCTTTTTGAGGTGAGGTGCCATGTTAACGTCAAGCTGTCCATGGGGATTGGAAGGCAAGGGCGTTCTCTACTCTCCTAATGTGTGTTACTGACATCAGCGATAGCAAGGATATTATCCTCACCGTCCCTGTCACGATCTTGCATCCTTCTGCTATCCCTCTACTTCCTGATCGCGACCTATATTCACAGCCATACGAGGTGGCGGCAGTGTACGACCCCTCACCCGGTGCCATACACTCTCCTCCACCTCTGTCGCCCCCGCCGATACTGGAGCGGCCTTTGAGCCCCTACGCTTATGCTCCCCCGCCGCCCATGTCGCCCACGCTTCTGCCTTATGTAGACCATGGTCAGGTCTGGCTCCCGCCACCTATACCGGCTCACTCAGCATACGATGCGATTTATTCGCCACCTGTATCTCCCCCGCTATCTCACCACTACTACTATTATCTCCAGCCTCACTCGCTCCCTGTTCCATATATACCACAAGCCCGACCCTCGAGCACCGAACCTGTCCCCTCGCAGCCGCTATATTCTGCACCTGTGTCACCTTTAACCTCCACGCAGCAGCCCCTACTGCCCATGCCAATGTCCAGCAATTCCGCCGCAGTGCGCGAGGAAGGGAAAGGCGAGCGCGCCTCGCGCATCGCGTCGCACCTCCGCATGTCCTCACGCCATCGTTCCGTGTCGCCGCCTGCGCACCGCTACGCCTTGCCGACCGCACCCGAAGCCCACGCGCCTGTCGCGCCTCCTCCCGCATCGTCGTCCATACCTGTCCCCGTGCAGGCGCCCGCAGACCTCAGCCCCTCCTCCTCCCCGTTGACTCAGCGCCGTCTCCCGACGCTCAACCTCTCCGTATCGCCCGCCCCCTCGCAGGGATCCGTCGTCTCTCCACGCCCCATGCTGTCGCCAAAACACTCCTTCTCCCTGGACCCGTCCATGCAGGTGACGCAGGTGGAACAGCTCGAGCGCATTGCCGCCCTGGCGGATAGCGAGAACCCCGGCATGTCGGCATCTGGCGCGTCGCCGCGTGCAGACGCCGGAATGATGGACAAGACCCTCCCCCGCGTCCCAGACGTAGAGAAGGGCACATTCCGTGCTGCCGCACCACGTGTTGACACCCTGTTTCCTGAGAGTGCCGCGCGACCGGAAGAGACGCCGCCGACCCCGACACTTGCAGCGGTCACTTCCCTCAAGGTGCCCCGGGCTCTTGATGCAGAGGCGGGCGGCGGCGGCCTCAGCGGACTCGACGCCTTGGAGGCGAAGCTGCTCGCGCAGGTGGGGACGCGAAAGATTGAGAAGGCGACACGACCGGACGTACGCACGGTGCTGCCCATCGCGATACCTCGTCCAACAGAAGGTGACCCTGCCAACGACTCCGCCATATCCAGCTTGACGCTGCCCGGGCTCGACTCGGACGCGAAGACACTCAAGGTCGGGCAGCCCAATCCGGGCCCCGAGCTCGAGCCGGACGCGGACGACCAGGACGACGATCGGGCACTGACGGAGCGCTGGCGCGACCGCGAGAGCAAGAAGGCAAGCTCTATCGGGGCGCGGAAGTCGAAAGACAAGGAGCGGCACGGCGGGCCCAAGAGCGGCGAAGGCAAGGTGAAGGACGAGGAGCTGCAGAAGCTGCGCAAGACCGCGCAGGGCAGGGTCGCGGCGTGGCTCGGGAGCATCGAGCCCGCGGTGCCGCCCCCGTCTGGCACGCCGCCGCCCGCCAATCCTGATGCGCCGGTGGGCCTGGCCGACCTCGCGCGTGAAGACTCGCACGGCCGTGTTGCGGCGTGGCTCGGGCGCATGCAGGCCGAGAAACCTGACGACGCGACGGCGCCGCACCCCCCAGCTGGCATGCCCGCACCTGCGGCGGACCCCACGAGCCCACCTACTCCGAGTGTCCCGAGCAGCGACGCCCCGCAGGAGCCCCGTCCTAATGTAAGTGAAGAGGATGTAACTGCAGCCCCCAATCCGCGCTCGTCCGGTTTCGTGCCCATCAGCACCTTACGCGCAGAAGCCCCCCACCGCGCCGCTGCCGCTGCCGCCAGGCCCGCAGACCCCAGCCAAGGCGGGGACGCCAAGACTTCGGTCGTGCCACCGCGCTTGCTCGCGCTCCCCGCGCGTCCCGTTGACCCGCAGGTGCGCTACGACATCCGCTCTGCGCGCGGCGGACGAGGCGGGAAGGTGACTGCCGTCGCCGCCATTTGGGCCTCTGCCACGCAGCAGCGCGACAGCCATCCCGAGCCCAAGGCGAAGCCTGTTCCGCCTCAGCGCGCGAATGGCGCGCCTGCACGAGCAGACGTGGCCCCGGTCTCGGTCCCGGGCGCGAGCTCAGCCAGCGCGAAGCCGATCGCGCGGCTCGTCCACCTGCCGACGCCCAAGCCTCCAAAGGCGGCGCCTCCGCCGCCGCGCCCACGGCCTACTGCCGGCGACGCGAGACCGTCGCCAGCGGCGGACCTCGCGGCGCGGCGTGCGCGGATGATCAAGTCCACGTCTGTGCCCGCGATGATATCCTCGTCGCACGCGACGCCAATGCTCTCCTCGACGGCGTCGCTCGCGCGCGCGCCGCCCGTGCTGGCGGAGCGGAACAAGACGAACGCGCGGCTCGCGCCGATCGCGTCGGAGGACCCGCCGCCGGCGGGCAAGACGGAGCCGGCGAAGGCGCCTTCCCCGCGGGCGGAGCTCGCGTTCGGGCAGGCGCGGCTGCGCGAGCTCATCAAGCGGTACCAGGGGCAGGGGAATACGTGACGGCGCGGCTGCTTCCATTCTCCCATTTTCCCATCTTCCGTTGGACGGGGCGCGAGATGCCCTTGTGCTCTCCGTCTCTCTCATCTCTGTTTTGGGTCTTGCATCCCACATGCCTGCTGGACCATTGCGCACTGATTTATTATCTATTGCTGCTGTACGGTCTGTACTACTCATCTTCGCATCTCTGTAGCATCCTGTAGCGACGACGGCTGACGACCTGTTACGAATCCATGTAATCGCAAGTGCTTGGCCATTTAACCATGCGAAAACTTGGGGCGCCCGCGAGGCTCGAAGCTCAAAGCTTGGCTTGGCCGGCTGCGCGAGAAGAGCTCCAGTCGTACATTCTTGAAAGGCACATGCACGTCGCGGAAACTTGTACTTTCCGGTGCATCGACACCGGCTTACATCCGGTGTCTGAATTGAAGGTACCTTCGGCATCGACAGCCGTCATGGAAGACGCCGCGGTGAGGACTTGCTACTCGGATCCCGTTGTACATGCATCAGAATCGAGCGCGCAAATGGTATGAACGAGTGGAGCAATACCAGATGCGTGATGTCGGTTCCCCTCTCCAGCAGTATGGTCCCTTCAACGTCAACGCTGGCAGCAGTACGTGTGCAATTATGCGATTCAATCGGAATTTTGTGTTCATACGTTTTCCAGGCTCAAGCTGCATCGGTGCTAGCGGCAGCGCCTCTTCGGGTGCATCATCGTCTCGTCTACGCGACCGTTTGCCTTGCGTGCGGTCTGCGTGTTGGCCTTCGAGTGCGTTTGGGTTGTGAGATTTATCTTGTAGCAGCCACTTGATACCAGGCACGTCCCCCTTATTTCCCCGAATGAAACCTCTTTACTACCCACAATGAACTAGATCCGTGCGACAATTCAGTTCAGAATTGAAATATTGATACGTGCTATCTGTCATGTTCATGGGTTGGGCGCGTAGACTGATGCAATAACATAGTGATGTCCTATAGGAAGGTATAGTTGGTCGCTGCAATGGGATATTCGGAGACGAATTCATAGAGATCCCCCCCATGGAGACTCAATGCCGCCAACGTCAGACACTCGCGAATGCGCATTGAAGCCGAGTTGACTTGTCCGGCAAGACCAGAAAGGCTAAACCGCTCCCTTGCTGTCAGTATTTCTTTCCACATTGTCCCATGGGTGTCATACAGCTGTCACCGTCCTCGGTATAATTAGCCTTTGGTGGAATGCGGGATAGGGGGACCCTTTCGCGAGTGCGGATGCCATTGTCCGGGAAGGATAGCATTGATTAGGGCCTGGGTCTATCAGACCCGTCCGACATATCTATCGCCTATCTCGTTCATCACATTGAATGAGAACTAACCTTGCTCATGGCAGGTCAATCAGTGCGTATCGTATATATACGCACATGCATGCAGCTACACCTTGTGTCATTCTCCTGTTACCGGCCATGACTTCCTCTGAAACAAAGACTTTCGGCCCACATGGTCCCGTTGGTGTTTTCACACAATGCCCAGGTGGTACTGTAGTCTCTCTTCCAGGGGATTCTGCAGGCGAGGAAACATCTTGCGCCGTACTATACTGGTTTGACTAACAGCCTACATGAAGGGAAATGCACTTGCAATCCAAAGTGCAAATGTGCATCAACATGCCGTAAGGCTTTCTTTCAATACATGTAGGCAGCCCTCAAAATGTCTCGACAGATTGCAGAAAGACGCCGGAGCCAAGTAGCAAGTAATCTGGAGTTAACGAGATTGATACTCGGAGAGCCTGGACAGGAGATCTGAAGCACGGAAGCGTCGCACATTGAGGATTCCTTGTATTGTTTCGCAGCGATCCAACCTACGCACCACTATTCACGGCTCTATCAGTGCCTGACACACATTCGACACAGAGCGCGGGACTTACTTGGATGTCGTCAACTGGTGTCAGAGCGCGGCATATCCGGATCTGAAGTCACTAGCCGAGCGGTATTTGAGTCAAATGCGACGATGTCAACAACTCCCCAGCCTGGGCTGTAAGCGGCCTCCCGGGCCTTGTATAGTTTTCCAGGCCACCGCGCCGCCCTTCCATCTCACTAAGAAGTAGTATCACAACAGGCTGATAACAAACTTTTAGACAATTTTCTGACTTTGAGATTGGGTTCAGCTCGGACGGACATCAGCAAAACCAGGTTCGACGTGTGATACAATATATTAGTTATGAGTATTCATCATGATTGTCCATGCTTGTTATTTGCTGATATGTAATTACACGCCTGTCTAATTATGGGACATGATCATGAAGTAGTCAACATTCAGGTGATGCGTGTGCAACTTAGAGCCAGAATGGTATGTGTCTGATAATCGATTGCAGACACGTCATCATAATTTTACTTGATTGTATGGATGCCCAGATATTGTGATAGTCTGCTAAGGCTTGGTATGTATTTTAAATAAAGCAATATAAATATTCTAATTCCAATCACGTTGCGTATCGTATGGATTCCGACACTGCATGCTGACAAATGCAACAACGGATGCGATGTAAGGGTGCGCTGACCGATCGTACAGATAATCAGGCTTCAAAAGTCATTACATTAGCATATCTAGTACATTGTTTCGTCCTCTGTGTCCTGACTCCTCGTCATCCTCAGGGTCTAAGCTCGTCTAAGTCTATGTCGTTGTCTAAATGTCCGAGCCATGAGCACTAGCGCCGGCATCAACAGACTCACTCGGGGCATAGTCTGCTAGGTGTGCCAAATACACTAATGTCTTCACAGCTGTGACTTGAGGAAATGTGGTGTAGAGTACTAGGTGAGTCTTCCAGTATGCTGTTGGAGCATTAGAATGATGAGTCGCTGGCCAGATCTCAACTGTTACGATGATACAATGACTACGCCCATCACGCATGCAGCCATATGGTATTTGTCTCGCACCCAGACCCACAGTATCCATACCCCATTTTGCAGCGATGGGGCATGGATACAGTAGGTCTGGATACAAGGTAAAATTATATTTTGCTTTTAGCCGGTTTGTCTGTCAGCAGCTATATTCAGTGAGTCGCCGAATGGCGAGGCTCATGATTATTGGTGAGCCAGACACATGCTATTTGAAAATTCCTTTGCCGACTGCAGATAAGAGAGCGCACCTGAGCGCATATGAGTACAGTACAGTCCTCGCCAGCCCGAGGACCTCAAATATCCCATTCAATTCTGCTCTTCAAGTTGGTAAGTTACAGCCTTTTCAAATCCCTCTTTCCGGCTGTGTCTCATCATGCTTATAATCTAGCACTCACATAGTGTGATTTACAGGTTGCAAATCTGCATAACTCAACACAAAGCTGAACTGCTTGAGTGGTAGAACAAGTAAGTTTCATACTTTCTGTGACTGGAATGACCTGCTGATATCACATTGAGCCAGAACATTGAGACACAGTAGCACCAGCTGCCAGCCTCAGGAGCCCAGCTTGCGGCTTGACGCCCACAGGATCAGGCGGCTGGATCAGGCGAGAACCTGTAGACTGGCGCACCTGTAATAGTAGTTAGTACCTATATAATTATGAGAAAATAAACATTATTTGTAATGTTTCTGCCACAATTTATTTGTGAGGACCCCGGGGGCCAGGGAACCGGGGACAGCCGCTGATGAATACACAGAGACTGAAGTATCTCCCTATGACAGAGATCGAAGTGTCTCCGGCATGGGGAGATATCTCCGGTGTCTAAGAGATATTTCTCTGAGGGGGCGCTTAGCTCCCTGAACGGAAATTCTATCACGTGCAGTGTGAGAGAAATACCCAAGTCACGTGCACTTGCCGCTTTGGGTGGTGACCAAGATTTTGTCTCGTATAGTATCGGGGAGTTTCATTATGGCCAGTTTTCGGCCTCTAATGGAAATATATTTATCATGGCCAGTGCCGGAAAAGGCAGGAGGGTGCGGGAAAGTATGTAAAAAGTGAGTTTCTAACCCTAATCTCAGTTAGCCTGATTTGGCAGCAACTCAGATTAGATAACGAGAAAGAACCGGACTTTACCGAAAGCCGATGAAGAGATCGGGCGATGGTGATCCAGTCACGTGATCGCCCAAAGGGGACACAAATAATTTGAAGCAAGCGCCCCACGGTGGAAAATTGATGGAGGTGTCTCCACACGCCGGAGATGTCTCCCCATGCCGGAGACACTTTGATCTCCATCATAGGGAGATACTTCAGTCTCCGTGTATTCATCAGCGGCTGTCCCGGGAACCGTGACCAGGTGAGAGTAATTAAGCCTGTTCAGGCAATCGACATTCACTATTAAAGCATAACATTATAATATTATGTGTAGGAATATAATGGTGGTACATTCATGCCAGGTGATGCAAGAAATGTGTATCTTGCCAATAGCCGCCAATATTGCACCTATTGCAATGGATTGGGAAATTGCCAAAGCAGACTCGCCTCAATAATCGTATATCTCTCATGTACAATTATGGTGCTCGATTACATTGATTGTGTCGTCAGGTAATAGATTGCAGGATGAATCTGGTTTTGCTGATGGAGATGAGACTCGGATAGATGATGTGTATAAAGATGACATCAGGATGCGGGGCTTACCGGGTGATCTGGTTTTCGTGGATGATCAATCATCACGCAAATGTAGCGGTCCTTTGAAGACTCCGTGGCCTACTGTCAGACATGCCACCCGCCACGGAACCAGTATCTGCACCTCAGCCAATCTCGTTTGTCAGTATGGTAATGTTCCGTGCAGTGCAGGACTCAGATAGGATGGTGTAGTCGCTGTCTAAAGGCTTGGATAAGTCACTTCCAAAACTAGTCAAAAACTATCAGTGCCTCATAGTAATAATAATAACCTGTCAAAAACTCTTGAGGAGCCTTTCCCGGAACAGGCCCTTTGTCATCGACAGCAGTCATAGACAGAAATGCCATTGGCCATCGCGTGCACGACACGGAATAACAACAATGATATTGTATGGCATTTGCTGGTGTAGATATCGCGCGGGACAGGTGAATTGTAGTCTGACTCAATTTGAGGGGT